GATAAGTCGGGAGACACCCCTTTTGGGATGTAAATGGAGTTTTTCCTATTTCGAAAACTTTCTTTCATTGCTGACGTTTGGTTGTGAGCGGCGACTAATATTCAATATTCATTCTGTACAATAGTTGTACAATAGTTGTACGGCAGGTCAGCTTCGCCCATGGGCGCAAGTCCAGGCTAGAGACATTGGAGGTGACCTGCATTGCATGCTGGCTGCTGGCTGCTGGCTGCTGCAATAGGAGACGCGGAGAGCCTGGAGCTGAGGTGAAAAAACATATCAAGGGGAATACATATGCGGGTGTTGCAGACGAACGAACGAACGAACGAACGAACGAACGTAACTCCGCACGGCACAACACACCATGATGTGGTCATTCCAGATGATTAAGAAGGTCTCAGTCCTTGAATAGAATACGTACACGTGGGTATTCCTGGGCTTTCTGTTATCAAGATATTTACACAGATAACCAACACGAAGGGGTCAGTCGGCCTCACAGGTAGGAGAAATAAGCCCGTCTTTCGTTAGAATTCGAATCGCAGCAGAGACAGACAATTAAATATTCGCAGGTGATGATGATATTGCAACACATTTAATATAATTGTGGCTTTGGTGACGATCAGTCCACCCTCCCTGCCTCCCCAGACATGGAATAGTGAATACATAAAGCTGAATTAGGTTCATAGTTTGAATCCATGTACGTAACTGTCCGTTGAATACATAATCCTCAAGTTTGTTCTTACCCTATTAAATCTATCAAACCTTCCACCGCGTGACTCGTACACCACGAAACGATTTTAAGTATGCACCTGCACCTACATACATGTATGTCCATACATAGGTACATGTATGTATGTATCATGTAGCAAGCGGCGTACTCCACCCTGTAGGTGCGACCGGCCGATATCAGGTTCTGAAAGCCCCACCTGACTAGGGGACTAACACACCAAAAAATCTGATGGTGGTTACCCCCTTGAACAAATCGAGACGAGAAAAATAAGGAAAAAATAGCATTAAAAAGGTGAAGGTGCTAGGAAGATGATGCACAGCCGCCGCAACGGTGGGTTCCTTCTTCGCTTCCACCATAGCGGCCCATGCTTCCATGATCCATTACACTGCATGTATCTGTGCATGTATCTACCTAGCTGGCCTACATTGAATATAGGAGGTGTTGTATGTATTCTTTTCTCTACTTCCCTTTCATGATCTACCTCAAGCGTAGATCCCGGCCGGCTATCACCGTCTCTAACCCAGCCGATCCAAGTTCCAGCCAAGTTCCATTTTTGCCCCTGGCAATCGGGCAATCGTAGGTTCAAGGTTGCTTGAGACCCTCTTGACCCTCTAACCCTTACGAAGTCTCTTGACTGGCTGGTATGTAACGCTGGGCATGAGAGAGAGGGAAAAACCTGCCCACGAGCTAGAAAAATGGGACGAGCTGCCCGACGGCGGCGGCGGAATTATCCTTATCCTCTGCCTCCTGCTAGGTTGCTGCTGTGGTTACTGCTGGATGATGGATGAGTGACTTACAATTTAGTTCCCGTCGCCAAAACCGTTGCAATTTCCAGTCCCTCCCGTCCTGTCTATTCCTATTTCATCAGACCTGACCCATCCTCAAAGAAGAAAAGAAAAAAAATAAAAAAGGCCGATATCAAGGGACTTGATATAACTAAAAGTATCAGTACCCACACGCTAGGAATCTCTCCTCGTATCTTTGTGTCATACATGTCCCTGCGAGCTGTTCCATGCTCTTTGTAACTGCTAAGGACGCTAAGATCAGCTTGTCTCTATTGTTTCGATTTATACTCCTTTAATAATCCTGTCTCTCCCACCAACATATTCTCAGGTTCTACTCATGACCAACTCTCACCACTTACCGTTCACATTTCGTGGACGAAATCCCTTGGCCACCTTTCCGCCAAGTGCAGGCGTCACTTCCAAAGCAATAATACATGCTGTCGAATCTGCCGAATTAAAAATGCCTTCTTTTAACCCTTTTACTTCGGTAGCTGGTCGGAATGTCTGTACCCTGTTTGAGATACGGTAAGCTGAGCAGTTGACACAAACCAAAGCTAACTCGACAACATCTTACTGAGAATTCGCCGCAGTCTCGAGAACGATTTCATCGTCTTTCGTGGAAACGAGCATGAGGCTTCCGGTCAGCTATTAAAGGGCGTCTTGGTCTTGTGCTTAAGAGAATCATTGAAGGTCGAAGATGTTCACTTGCGGCTTATGGGTAGCTGCCGTGTGGCTTGGGTCGACGGAAAACAGACACCATCCGGTATTCACAATCAGAAAATGGATAGGACAACTACAATTCTAAGACATACTTGGCCGCCTTTCGTGGGCGAGACGACGCATCACAACACTTTAGCCCCCGGAAATTATGAGTGGCCATTCGAGTTTCTACTACCGGGAGACACCTCCGAGAGCGTTGAGGGACTCTACCAAACTGGTATCACCTATGTCTTAAAAGCCACCATCTCGAGAGGAAAGCTGGCCAAGAATGTACATGCCTTTAAACGATTTCGAATTATTCGAACCCTGGAACCTGCCGCGCTCGAATTCAACCATGCCATGAGTGTAGAGAACATATGGCCAAACAAGATCGAGTATTCCGTGGTCGTTCCGCAAAAAGCCGTTGTCTTTGGTACCAATATCCCTCTGGAGATGCGGTTTACTCCTCTCCTGAAAGGGTTAGAAATGGGCGTCATTACGGTTAAGCTTATTGAAATCCAGGAATTTAGCGTGCAAAGCTACCAAGCTCCAACCAGATCATATAAGCACGATCGTGATGTTACCTCGTGGAATCTCGAAGTCACCCGTGATCAACATTGGCAGGACAACATCGAAGAAACTGGCCAAGAAGGGTGGGTTGTTAACAGGGAATTACCCCTACCCAAGAAGTTAAGCAAGTGCATTCAAGACTGCTCAGTTCACGGCATTAAGATTCGCCACAAGCTTAAGCTCACAGTTGCACTACAAAATCCCGATGGTCATATTTCTGAGGTATGATTTACGTCTATCTCCGATGGTCGAGAATTTAGTACTAACAATGGCGCGAATAGCTTCGGGCATCATTACCGATAACTATATTCATCTCGCCAAATATGCCTTTAGACGAAGAAGGCAATCTTGTTTCGCAGGCGCATGAAACCCCCAGCGAAGTAAATGAGAGCGACGCTTCAGTGATGGCTCCACCGGGCTACGGAATGCACGTCCTAGATCAGCTGTACGAAGACGTTGATCTGAGCGGGATCAATACACCTGGGATTCACAGCGGGCTTAACAGTCCATTCTACGCACAGTCCCGGGCAGGTTCGACAGAAAATCTAGCAGCTATGGCTCATGCTATAGCAGTTCCGCCTGCAGTTTTGTCTTCTAGGTTGCAGAACGTCTCTCTTGACGAATCTCGGAGGAACGAGTCTTTCATTTCAACCGGATCTGGGTCAGGAGCGACAACACCATTCAACCACCCACATGACAGCGAGCACACTGGGGATTTATCACAGGTACACTCAACGCAGCTGTCGCGACAGACAAGCGAGGAGGATCATCCGAATCACGCAGGGGGTCACCACACTCCGCCTGAGCATACTGAGTTTTTAGACATGGAGGAGCTAAGCAAGGTGCCAAGCTATGCAACGGCCACGAGAGCACCGCTGCCAAGGACGCAAAGCTACACGGGCTCCATCATCCTTCCGGATTATCAAACCGCAACGAGTGCGCCGGGCTCTCCAACGCGAATAGTATTGAACGACCCCATGGCAACCATTGTGGAGGGCCCACAAGTCGAAGTTACAGTATCAAGCACCCGATCGAGAAGCACATCAAGGAGTAGGCAGACCAATCGGCATTCGATAGGAGGATTCAGTTTTTTCCCCAGTCACACAGCTGTAGGCGGTACTGATGGCGAGCGACGACTACGACTCATCCAAGGCAGAAGTGGCTAGATAATTGCCACGACGGTCTTGTGCAACTGCTACTTTACCATTTGGGATTGCACCCCAATCTAAGCATTTCCATGGGCTACCAAAGCCATCTGAGCGCAATGTTTATTGGTTTCTGTCGTGGTTAGGCGTTTTAATGGCTCAGGGGATATCCACATGTACCATGGTTCGCAGGAAGGTTGGTATCATCGGGACGGGCCATACTTGCATTGAGCGGCGAAATGGCATCTGGTTGCGGACTCTGAACAAGGAATTGAATTGGCTGGTTACGTTTTTGTGGAGGCACATATCTAAGAATTGCTATATACCCATCATGTTGCTTTTGCTATTGGCATTTAGACACCAAGAGACTCGGCGTTAGGAGGCAATGTCACTCTCCAATCCCTCAGTTCGGCAAGTTTGAGACCGATACTGAATAAATAGAAGAAAAGTTTTTACATCCTCATCACGGATAATTGCGGTTGTGTGCTTGCATAATGTATGGAGCGTTGCATGTTCATGTCGTATCAAGTATAAATAAATAAAAAGCAGAAAATCTCGCTTGCTACCTATGTCCTGGGGTTATGTGGAGGATACCTCTCTGGCACTTGCAGTAAAATACGACGTTTGTCTATCCCGAACCCTCGGTCTGTCCGTAATCGGAATTATCGCACTCACGATGCTAGACTTGGCTATAAGTCCCGTTGGTGTTTGCGATCTGCGGGAATTATCTTCAGTCACGGCCGTAATCTATAGGATTTTGAAAATTCTGTCGCATTGGCAGAACTTGACTAGGTTAGCTCCTATGAGCGTTGCCCAGTTGAATGATACAAGTTGCATCATGCAACGTTTTCAATAAGTTTCGTGATATGTAGATATGTACATGTATGTAGTTAGGTACCTACTTATGTAGGTATGTCCATACATGTAGGTTAGGCACTTGGTTACACGCAGTAGGTATTATGTACAGAATTACTTGCAGACGGGGTTTATTAATTTCTTCAAAGCTTACTAACGTACCTAACATAGCACGTAGATGATGTCATTCTTCCACAGGTCCTTTCCTTATGAGAGGAAGTGTCAGTTGCGAACTTGATATTGTGTAATTATCGCACTATCTAATTGGTTTAAGCTGCTAGACTGAGACTAAGGTAACTAATGTAATACCCTTTTCTCTCAACTACTTTGGTACCTTAACCTGTTCGGGCTAGGAAAGAGGTTCTAGCTTCTTAAAGCTTGAATGGTCTGATATGTATCAATCATCGATTAGCAGCGTCATATCAGATTCGAATGTGCCCACTGCCAGGGTTCGAAGCTCATTGATCAGCGCAGGGGTCCGTTCTCCGCGAATTTCGCATCACTATTCCGACTCAACTTGTCCCCCCCAATTTGCCCAATTTACCTAATTGTGCCCTTGACATACTTGATTCAACTTGAGAATTACCAGACAAAACCAGAGTAATACTATCGCGTCGACTTGAAGCCTATAATAGCACCGCTACTCCTGTCACGAAGGAATAGCCGACAACCTTCGAATAGGTATTCGATCCAATCCAGCCCGACACACCGCAACATAACGCAGTATTATACCAAGCCAGCGAAACGTCGAAATCTAGTACATATATAATATTAAAAGTTTCTACATAATGAGCGGCGACAGTCATGCGCTTCCTATGAGGCAGGCCACTACTCTCAGCGAAGAAGCCGTATCGGGGATCGACCCTACTACGGTGAGTCGCATCCAAGATCCCCCCCTATTTCTATGCTCTTCGCTAACCCAAACATACTATCCTTAGACGGCCGGCCTACTCGCTGAAAGACTTCAGGCTTGGAAACATGCCGTAGGATATTTAGAAGAATATGTTGGAGCTGTCGAGAAAGTCCACAAAGCACACGCCAAGGAGTATGAGAAGGTTCTTAAGACGATTTCTCACCCGTTAAGAGAGGGGGCGCACTTCGACCAGGGTCTTGGCGGTGTGGCGGGGTTCTTCGAAAACATGCGAGTTAATACTCAGGTGAGATTTGGATCTTGTTCTGCCCCTATTCCAATTGGTGCCTAACGTGTAAAGGCTATGATCAATTCGAACGCGGAGACTGAGAAGACCATCAAGGGGTCTGTCCTACCAATTCTCGAGCGACTACATAAAGAGATTAAGGCAAAGCATAAGGAGGTATCTCATGGGGTTGAGAAGGCCGCAAAGGAGATCGAGAAGGCTAGGAATACCACCCAGAAGCATATCGAGCTTCTTGGTCAGCATGCCGCAGCTTTCGAGTCGGCAGGCGGTAAAATGACACCCACCGACGACCCTTACGTTATCCGGCGCGGCGTCGTTCACAGACTAAACAAGCAGGTTATCGAAGAAAATAACCACAGAAACGATCTCATCAGCATACAAGATGGTTTCAAGGCATTTGAGGCCCACGTGATACAAGTAGTCCAGCAAGCAATGGATGCTCTGAATCAAGTTGCCGGCGGGCAAGCTGAAAAGACCAGGGCGCTTTACGTTGACATGCTGGGCGCGGCGCAACAAATTCCACCCGACTTTGAGTGGAACGGTTTCAACGCTCGTGAGGGTCACCGACTGGTCGATCCAAACGACCCGCCTCGGAGCGTAGATGCGATTGTTTTCCCCAATCAGGATCACAACTCAACTAAGCCACTCATCGAGGGTAGCTTAGAGCGAAAGTCGCGGAACAAGTTGTCGTGGGGTACGCAATCGGCTTATTATGTCGTAACCCCTTCTAAGTACTTGCACGAGTTTAAAGACGATGATAACTTACGGCATGACCCGAAGCCCGAAGTCTCCATCTTCCTCCCAGACGCTGTAATTAGTGCTCCTACAGGTGAAAAATTCCTTATCAAAGGAAAGGATAAAGGTGGGAGCTTTAGCAGCAAACTCGCCGGCACATCTGAATTTCATTTCATAGCCCACTCGGCTGCCGAGGCTCAGAAATGGTTTGATGCAATCCGTACTGCGGCCGGCGCAGCAGGCGTAGCTTATGAAAGCCAAACACCATCACCGAGCGCTAGCATTCCGGGTTCTGTTAGCGAGAAATCAAAGCTCGAGAAGATTGATCCGAATGCGCATAAAGAACAGGACGCAGGTATTACAGGTGGCGAGACCGTCAGTAGCCCTACAACCATATCGCCTGCCGTCACTCGACAAAACACCATCAAGAGCGATACGGATAAGAAGGCATCTGCCTAGTGACACAGATGGCCTGTCTGTCCTTCGTGGTTGAGATGAGGGAATTATGAGCTGTATGCCAAGGGCCAAGGGAGCCTCGGCTTCGTGAAGCCTTGCTGGGGGCAACTGTGGAAGGACATTGCCCTAGGTTTTTACAGCTTTAACGGAAATTCTGAATAGCACATAGGAAAGGTCATCGTGGGGCGCGGCGATGCGGCTTAAAGTGCTAACTCGATGTAATGAAGAGCAAGGACAAATCAAGAGATACTTGGGAGACGGGGTGCCTGAAAATGTGACCGAAGCAAGTATGCGTCAGCAATCGAGACCGAAGTGGTATCGCTTGCAGGTAGAAGGATGAGGTGGTATTATATCTTCTTAACGAGGCTTTTCGATATATTACTTATGACTATCAATATTAATGAATTCGTCTTAAATCGTCTATTTTATATATGCTTAAAGCAAAGACCATTCTAGTGTGACTGTTGTCTATACATGTGTGATCAAGCTCACTGTTAAATTATAGATTACCTTCTCTCTTGTGAGATTTAGGGAGCAACTTTTATAGATTGAGGCACTTAATAACACCGATAGCTATGTAAGAAGCCACCGAGAAGCGCTATTCTCACGATCCTGGCGCGATGTAAGCGCTAACATGAGGATGAGAATTCTATGATTCTGAGAGATAATGTACACGCCTCGTTTCTAAGCGGGCTCGGGCTCAATTGTAAGATATCACATTCGTCATCGCTTAGGAGCGGAGCAGAACGCGATTTTTATATGCTATCCTAGTTAGGTAGGTAGGTAGGTAGGTACTCAACTCCTCACCTTGGAGCTGGTTTCAACAGCCGCCCGACGAGCAGGCGGCCTATTAATAGTATGGTAGATAGGTCGACTACAGACAGCCATGTAGCACACACTGCAGGCTAGCGTAACCTCAACTAGTGATTATTGTTGACGCCTTCAACCGTTTAGCGTGGGTGGGAACTTATCAACCTCAGGTGAAGAGCGCATTTACCGTAAAGGTGAATTTGGGCTGTGGTCGTGGGGGTTGACGGTATTTTGGGATGGGATGAGTTACATACCTACCTACCTACCTACCTACCTACTTACCTATCGGTACCTATGGATCGTGAAAGACATTCGACATCACGAGTATAATTTGGTATAGTTGCATTATACTCTTTATCCAAGCCCGGCTCTTTTTAAACAATCGGGATCTTACATGACTGCCTTACCATACCCACCATGCAATATCAGTATCTTCCGCCGCGACGATGGCGCTAGAGAAGCAGGCTCTGATGTGGCTGTATCCTACACAGAAGCGTGTGTGTTTTTGCTCGCTAATTCTTCCCCAGATCTGCAAGGACAAGCAGCCGAGCTTGGCGGGACGGGCTTGTTTCTCTGAGTCCTATTGCTTGTCTTTGCGGCAAGGCTTTGAGCTGGGGTGTTCTTATAATGTGGTCTAGACGTGTCATAACAACCCTCTCAACCCAGCCCGTCCAGCCTAGGACAGCGCAGAAACTCGGACTTAAAAGAAGAAGGCAATGTGGAGGAATAGACAGCCCGTAGCCTGCCTCTTCTCAGGGTGTTCTGTTCTGTGCCTAGCCCCGTAGGCAAATACACCCTTCTCCTTCTGTTTAAGCCTTCCTACCCTTCGCCAGTGACAAGCCCCCCTTTCCCAAAAGATCATCCAAGCTCCCCGCACATGCGCGAGAGGACTTGGTTCGGTGAGGCTCTGACCTTACTTACCTACTTCTCTGCTCTCGCCCGTATCCAGAGAGAGCTATGAGGATTAACTTATGCCATCCATGGGCACCCGTAATCAACCACCCGTTCCCCTTACATCTTTTGCCTCCTCCTCCTCCTCCTTAAGACTTCGCCGGAGAATAATGACTTAACTTGGTCCCTGCTATGAGACTCTTGCTACAATAATTGCGAAAATGACGAAGCCGTGGGATGTATATGAAGCTACGATTAAGGACCTCTACGCCGACAACACGCTGTCCGTTGTGCGGCAGATCATGATCGATCAATACGGGTTCAGAGCCTCGTGAGAATTGACTCCTTTTTTTTTTCTCCCTTCCCTATTTCCGCGTCCCCCCCTTTTCACTCTCCCTCGTTTCCTTTTTCTTATTTGGCATATCAATTATCTCCAGCATATCACATCACATATAGATAAATTCCCACTCGCCTTGTATTGCACAGGCCAAAGACATAGAAGCGTGCTAAGACCGAGGGGATCTTTCCCCCTTAATAATAGTGTTAGAGCGTATAGGGGCCGTCTGATCCGCTGGGGCGTCCGCAAGTACAACTGCCGGAAGCGCGCCTCGCCTAGCGCGAGCAACAGCAGCGCCGATGACGGGAGTAGTTTCACGAGTGGCTCGGACACAGCCTCTCCGATCATGGCTGCTGCTGCTGCCGCCGCCGTCGGTGATGCGAGGGCGATACTCCCTCGCGTTATGATGAAACAAGGAAATGTCGACGGCCAGCTCGCCATGCCGGTGCGGATGAACCAGCAGTACGGCCAGAGCCACCAGCACCAAGTATTTAGCACTGACAAGTAGGTCTTCCCAAGGCCCAGACGGTACCCTGCAACCCCTCTCTTCAGACCTGTACTAACCGCCCCTTTTCGCTTCCCCCCAACAGTTCCTTCGACTCTAAGCCTAGGGCCTTCCTTTCAGCTCCGCAACACAACACCAACAGCAGCAGCAGCAGCGACGGTATCCAATACGGGTGGGACACAGCCCTCCTCAAGAAGGACCCCGACGTCGCCGCCGCCGACGCCGACCTCGACGACTTCACCAGCAGCCCGCAAAGCGAGGCCCTCGCACCGCCGCCATTGTACTTCAGCACCCTTACCGCATCGATGATGCAGCCCGGAACCGGAAATAACAAACCCCCCTACGGCACCGGATACGGAGGCTCGACGCCCACCCAGCACCAACACCACCGGAATACGGGCGGCGGCGGTAGCCTGAACTACTACAACTCGTTGCCGTCGCAGCAGCAGCGGCAGCAGCAAGTTCGCAGCGGCGTTGTTGCTGTCAACCAGGTCCCGCCGGATATGTCGTTTGCAGCGCAGACGAGAGGGTACGGCCACGGCCCACGGCCCACGATAGGCGGGTAAGGGGGTAGCAAGGACACATCTGGTACCAATGTAGTACAGACGGGACGCTGTCTATCTATCTATCTATCTATCTATCTGTATACCTGGCAGACGATGGCTTTAAGGTTAAGAACCCTAACGAGCTGGTAACTGGGACCGGGACTGCGTAAATGAATATCATAGTATAGCGTTATGATGTATTTTTTTTTCTTTCTTTCCTGTTGTCGTGGGATTAGGGACACGTGGTTTGGAGGCGAGGGAGGCGCCGCACCCTACGGCGAGACCCCACGTCTCGAAGCCGGGAAAGGGGGTAGTTGTCCAGGGGGTTAGATGTACGACAACGGCGCGGTGGTGGAACATGGGAGGGAGGAGTATAGTGTTGTTCCTCCTATGGCCTGCCATGAGTATGACATGCATGTGTGCTATTGTCTGATGATTTTCCTTACGATTTACGTCGTTGTTTTCTCTTGTCTTCCTTTTTACACTGATGTTTACGATATGTACGAGTAGGGCGGAAGAGAACAAGACGTGGTCTGTATCGCTCACGACGCGACACGGCTACGGATTGAAATTAGTACAGCAGACTTGGAAAAGGGGTATATTGGTTGCGTGTAGGATGGGTGGTTATTTTAGATGGGAATATCAAAATGGGCAGGGAGATACTTTTATTTACTGTCTCGTTGGAATTTGTCTCTTTTAGATTCGTATGGGATATGCTGTCTCTTTTCTAATACCTGACGTAGCTCAAGAAGCATTTATAGCGAGTAGGTAACACGGAATAAACATATCAGCTTGGCTAATAGTTAACATGGTAGTATTTCCGGATGCAGCAAGTGGGTATATGATGATGTGAGGTGATAGCCTACTGTATTAGACGCTGGGGAAACATCTACCTAGGCAGCCTTGATGATTCCTTGAGAGATGGTTGGGTATGACAAGCGTTGGTAGATGCGTTGGTAGATATTATCAATTAGTTACTCCTTATATGAGTGAGATACACTAGTAAGAATCGCTCCAGGGAATATATAATTCGCTACGCGATATATGAGCTTCGAAGCATTTATTGCATTGCTATACTGTCGTCCTTTTATCATGGCTTTGAAATTTTTGGTTGATGCCCTCAGGTACCACCTAAACACCTTGCACGTTGCAAGAGGTTATTCCATGTCTCTGGTAGGCGTGTCATCCACGAACCGCCTAAGCTGAATCTTCTCGCCTATCGAAAGAATATACCTATACTTTATAGAAGCAGAAGGCTAGATAGAAGCTGGCAACTTCCATCTCTTCAGGCGAAACCAGAAGTGGTCCCCTCCCCCTCTCACGAACCCCCATACGTTCGCTTAGGGGACCCAGTATATGGTCATCTTTCTCGGCCTCCCAGATCTCATCAAACCTCTGATGGTACTGTAGCTCGAGGTTATAGTCCTCTGCTATAGCACGGAATGCTGGCCAAGGCACGACGTACTCCGGGACCTCCTCTACCGCTTCGTCGAGGAAGAAGCTGTACTTCCATCCGAACGGAGGCCGGAAGATACCGTCCTCGGGAGTTTTGCCGGGAAATCTGACCCGGTAGAGATCATTGCCCCACTCGGCCGTCTCCTCAACCTCGCCCTCCTCTTCCTCCTTATCCTCATTATCTTCCTTGTTTGAAGCGTCCTTATTTTCGGTCGTCTCGCCTTTCTTCTTTTTCGCGAACCACTCGTTGAACTTTACGACTCTATCGCCGATCACATCCGAGTTAGGTATACAACCTATGAAGCGCCCGCCTTTCTTCAGGGCCCCAGATACGTTCTGAAGCATCATCCGGGCCTTCTCTTCGCTCTCAAAGGCATAATGCATGCAGAACATCATACTGACTATATCAAATCCGCTCCTCCCCATGGGCGAATGGTCGAACCCAACTTGCCGAATGATGTCTATGTCACCAATAGACTCGCCATAACAGTCTTTGACGTAGAAGCGAGCTTCGAACGGCGGAGGCTGATGGCGCCCACCTCTATGGCCGCCCCTGCCACCCCGCCCGCCGCCACGATGGGTCATATTACGGTATCGTTCTTTCGCCTGATCGATGGAAACATTGGCAGGGTCTAACCCTACGTATAGCTCAACTCTCTGTGGGGCCTGCTGCCATTTACCTAGATCGCCACCTTTTCCGCATCCGATATCGAGGACAAGCAGCTCGTGATCCCTAGCGCCAGCCATATCGCGCCCTCGTTCGTGAGCGCCAGGCGTGTGGTCTTCGTCGGGAGAGAATTTTTGTATCAATGTACTCTTGACCCAATTGTTAAATGATCTAAGCCCCTTGATTCTGCTGTCCGTCTTTCTCCAGTCGCGACCCCTTTCTGGTACGGCGTTGTAATGCTGTCGGACAACGTCGTTGATGCCTCTCTGTTCTAGCACGGCCTGCGTGGCTGCGACTTCGGCGGCTTCGCGCTCGCGCTGCTCGTGGCGCTGGCGGATAGACGATGATTCTGCTTGAGAGAAGCGCGCACCGCGACCGGGACGTTTCAGCTTCCGGGGCGCATCGGATGGTGATCTAGAGCGCTGTCGTTTCTTGGCCGGTTCGAGCTTTTTGGCATCGAATGGTTGAGGTAGTTCGTCAAGGGGAGGTCCGCCTGCATCGTTTTCTCGGCGCTTGCTATTGCTACTGCTGCTGGGAGATCGTGAATGCTTGTGCCTTTTAGCGGGTTCGAGATGCTTCGCGTCAAAAGGCTGAGGCAGCTCTTCGGAAGCGTAGTCTCCTGCCATTGTGGGAGACGAGAGAATTTTTGACCTTTCTTCCCGTTCAGATATGTAATTGCGCAGGTGAAGTTGGAATAGATTCTGCTGATATAGGTTGAGAGTTCTAATTTGATTTGATTAATTTCTTAGACGGTGAAAGAAAATATTGAATAAAGGAAATAACGGGAAATGTTTTGGGAAAGAGGTACTTTTAGGACATTAGAATGTATTTAGGATCTCTAGCTCCTAGGTATAGCCAGCACAAGTACCAAGGTTAAGGTGATGCAGAAGCTGGAAAGGTATGCGAGTCTTGGCATTAAGCTAGTGAAGAAGAACCGGGGTAACCCGTAGTGGACCTTACGTTTTATGCCTAGGTACTTCGTACCCAGAACTGCTAGATACCTAGGTACCTACCTACATGTATGTAAGTACCAAGGTACAATACCTTGCGGCTCTAGAAGGCCCACAAGTGCTTAGTGATTGGTTCATGAGCAAGTTCAGTTGTGGAAGTTACGTCCGCCGATGGCCGCCTGCAGCTGCTTGCAACCGTTGGCAAAACAGCACCTGGGCAGCTCTTCTACTTCAATGTTATCAACTTTAAAACTTACCTCCTAACCTAGGTACCTACCACCTATCTTATGAGAGGCTTCATCAACTAACAACGGCGACGACATTCAATTCTTTACTGATTATACATGCTACCATAATTCTCTCCCTTCCATAACCCCCCATATTAAACTTCACCCCCATTCTTCCCCTCCTTCATCATGGGTTCCGACCCTCAATATGCGAAATGGCCTGCCCTACCTCTAGCCCAGCAAGTCTTCACCATCACGAATCCCTACGCCACTCGGCCCGCCCAACAAGCCGCACTTAAGAGCTTACAAGATGGCATCAACGAGAATAAGATGGCCCCTCTGTATAAGCACCTGGCACACCCCACGGAGGGCATCCTGAATGCTACCGGCGAGACCTCATCAGCATCAGCACCTCAGAGGCCCACCGGCCGGAAACCAAGCGCCGCGGGTATGGTCGCCAGCAAGACTGCCGGTGCGACCTTACCTTGGGATGAGGAGATATACAATAGGTTGAAGGCGGAGAATGACAAGGAGCTAGAGGAGTTCCAGAAGGAAGAGGACGAAGCTGTTGAGCAGGCTGGCGAAACGGAAATCATGGCTGCGAAGGGGAAGCGTGCCGATTTCTTCGCCAAGATTGGAGACAAGGTATTCTTATTACCTAGCTACTCTATAATCTAACTATCACTAATAATCTCGCAACAGGACAAGGCGATAGCAGCCTACGAGGATGTCTTCGAGAAGACGGGCATCCTGGGCACCAAGATCGACCTGGTATTGGCAATAATCCGTATGGGACTGTTCTACGGCGACAAGGCTCTGGTGAAGAAGCACGTTGCGCGCGCGAAGACGCTCGTCGAAAGTGGCGGCGACTGGGACCGTCGCAATCGCCTCAAGGCCTACGAAGGCCTACATCTGCTAACCGTCCGCTCCTACAACCTCGCCGCACCCCTCCTCCTCGACTCCCTATCGACATTCACCAGCTACGAATTATGTACGTACTCTAACCTCGTTGTGTACTCTGTTCTCGCCGGCTCCGTTTCCCTCAAGCGAGTCGACTTCAAGAGCAAGGTCGTCGACGCCCCCGAGATCAAGGCTATCCTGGGCGCCGACAGCGACGATAAGCTTCTCGCCCTGTCCGGCGCCATCTCCGCAGGCCCCGGCGCTAAGGACGCCGAGATACGGGATGTTGTTAAGGACACTGTCTCCCCTACGGCACCTACCAAGATCACTACAGCTGTCAACCTGACGACGCTCGGCACCGGCTCCGACCAGCCCGAGGCCGAGCTGGCTGTTGACTTCTCTCCACTCGCTCAACTTGTCAGTAGCTTATACAATGGCCACTACAAGCTATTCTTCCAGGCCCTCGCTCTCGTGGAGGAGCAGTTCCTCACCCAGGACCGCTACCTCCACGAGCACAAGGGCTGGTTCATCCGCGAGATGCGTCTTCGCGCCTACCAGCAGCTGCTCCAGAGTTACCGCGTCGTCGGACTCGAAAGCATGGCCAACGACTTCGGCATCACAGTCGACTTCCTAGACCGGTATGTTTTATTTATCTACTCAGTCTTTTCACCTCCTTTGTCTTCTCTTGAATTGTCCAGTACTAACCTATCCCCCCAGCGACCTCGCCAAATTCATCGCCGGCGGCCGCATCCCATGCACCATCGACCGTGTAACAGGCAAGGGCGTCATCGAGACAAACCGTCCGGACGACAAGAATAAGCAGTACCAGGACGTTGTCAAGCAGGGCGACCAGCTGATCACCAAGCTGCAGAAGTACGGCCAGGCCGTGCGGCTCCGCGGTAGCGAGAGGGCATAAAAGAGGTAGTAGCAGTAGTATGAAAATACTTAATAAAGACGAATAGAAGGACGTCGAAGATGGTTCAGCTGTTGCCGGTGACGAGATATGCGTACCTGTGCAATAGACAGATAATGTAACAATACGAATCAAACATAGATGGGCCGAAACCAACCTCGTTTTAAGCTCACAGTAAAGGACCTTGCGCGTTCGACATAAACTTTACGAGTTAGAGTAATTCTATAAGGTTCGTGATGCGTAGTGGAGAGCATGTAGGTATGTATCTAGGTATCAAAGTCTCAACGCCCTATCCTATTCTCCCACGGAACCATACACACATGAAGTTTCCTAAAGCAGCCGACATGACCAGTTTTGTAGATATCTAGGTTGTTTTTGTCCTTTCACGATTCCCGCTCCCCTCGATCTAACCCAACAACCCACCGTCGTTATTCATTCCCTCCTCTCGCTGTCTATCTGTACTTGTCCATGAATTCCTTGTGGAACTTCTTGATAGAGCCAACCCATTCAGAGCCAGGAGCTAGGAAGGTAGTGCGGAAATGTAGTGTGCCCTCGGCCTGGCCAAAACCGCTCCCGGGCACAACACACACGCCTGTAGACTCTAGCAGGCGCATGCAGTAGAATTCGTCGGGCGTACGACCCTCCTCCTTAGCAGCCTCGGCGGCCTTAGGGGACACGTGTATGGTAGGGAAGATGTACATACTACCTTGGGGTTCGCCACACTCGACGCCCTCCATCTCCTTGAAGGCCTCGTATAGAGTGTATGCGCGTGTCTTGAGGTTGTTAAATATGGCGTTGTATTCCTGGTCGTAGAGTTCGTACGAGGGCTCGCCAGGCTTGGGCGGGTTGACCATAAGTTCGACCAGACACTGTCCGATAACGGGGGCACATAGCGTAATAGATACGAACTTGTAGATCTGCTCCTCGACCTCAGGGTTGAAGCCAATCAGATCGAAGTAACCACCACGGTGACCACACTCGCCGACCATACCTTTGGAGATGGAGTGCAGAGATGCTAGTTCAACCTCGTCGTACTTTCCGGGGTGCTCCTTTTGTAGAGTGAGCAGGACTTGTCGGAAGCTGTGGAATTTTCCGATGAAGACATTGGTCTGGTAGACTTCGTCGGCCATTACCACGAGCTTCTCCTCGGCAGCAAACTCTAGGACGGACCGGATGTCCCCTTCAGACAGCGAAGCACCCGTCGGGTTACCCGGGTTAATGATAACAATAGCGCGGACGTCGATGCCGTCAGCCTTGGCCTTGTTGTAAGACTCCTTGATAGCCGCGAGCGACGTACCCCATTGAGCGGACTCGTCGAGGTAATAAGGGACGCATGTGGAGTTGAGAACGGAGAGCGAAGCAGTGTAGAGCGGGTACTGAGGAATAGGCACAAGAACTCCGGTGGTAGGAGCGGCACATATTGTGTGTAGGAGGGTGTTGACACCGGAAGACGCACCGGCCGAGAGATAGATATGTGCCGGGTCGGCGCGGAAGCCATCCCGTCCTAGGTTTACCGGTCAGCACGAAAATAGTATTAACTTTTGAATTAGCTTAAACTTACTTTCAAGGAATTTGGCAACGCTCTCCTTGATGGCGGGAACACCAGCACTGGCGCTGTATGCCCCAACGCTGCCGGCGTGATCTAAAAGCCATCTCGCGCGTTCCAGCACGTCTGTCTTATAACCCAGGGAGTTGATCAGAACATCCTCGTGCTCTAGCAGCTTAGGGTTCTCGAGAAGACTCAGAACCTGGCGGAAGAAGGTAATGGGTTTCTGATCGAGCTGCTGGGGGTTGCCGATGTTTGCGCTTATGACTTGGGAAAATGGTAGGCTCTTGTCCCCCTTTTTCAGTCTGGCACGGTATTCCTCTGACTTGACGGCGAGCTCGCCGCGGACGGCATATTTGGCCTCGACGATGTGCGGGTTTATATTTCCAAGGTTGAGTCTAGCCATTGGTGCTTGATGGTGAAAATGGCGTTTAGGGGAATGTAACAGTGGCTTTGGAGATGGCGGGGTAGTGACAGACCCTGAATATGACAGTAGTAGCGGGCGCGGGGTATCAGCTGCTACTGCCGCTCCTGATAAATAAAAAAAGCTTGGTTAGGTAATTACCTCAATGTAGGTAGGTAGGTATGGTATGTATGGGGGAAGGAACCCAATTATCAAAGTTTCAAGTACTATTTTTGTCTGTTTCTTTTTTTTAACTTTCGAATAGAGAGAAGGAAGTATCGGTATCGGGTAAAGAAATTGTGGTATGTTTATGGAATGATGAGGGAATTACAACCGGAACTAAATACGAATAATATTTTAATATAATAGGTAGGTAGGTAATAATAATAATAACAACAAGCCCCAGCTTGGAACTTCTTGTCAAACTTCACTGTTTCACCCACGCAATCCCAAGAAAAGACCCTGCGGACGTATAGTCCCCATATCTTTTTTTTTGCCGCCTGACTGCGTGCGTCGACGATTTGGCTTTGCCCCCCCGGCCTTAAAAGTGTGGGACTGAACCGCGATGCTAAGCTGTCGTGCAGCAAGGCACCGACGGTAATTGGGAGAAGCTGCATCCACTAGGAAGGCCGATAACCGGAATAGTTAAGGGAATGCTCAATAGTCATGGTGATATGGATGGCTTTCCAATATCCTTATTTGGACTCCAAGGAAGAATTGAAAAAAAGAAAAAGAAAAAGAAAAAGAAAAACAACTCGAAGGAATTACCGAAATGTAGGTGCTTACCAGTTGTTATATGTAAGTCATTATGCCGAAATCGAAGAGTTTGTGCTCTACGGCTGTAAGCTCTCTGGGAGATGATAGCGTCGAAATTTTTAACCCGAGCAGTACGAGACGCTCCCGACCTAACTGTTGCCATCTGATGCGAGGAAACAGTTCCGAGTCGAAAGGGGAGAAGGAAGTGGAGAGAATTGGTTAGAAAAGGAAAAAAAGTCACCCGAAATTAATATGAGAGTGTATTTTTTTCCCCTTCTCTTTCGCGATAACTGTAATCCAACCCTGACTGTCTATCATAGGCTAATCTTAGGATGAGAACGAGACCGAAATCTAAGAAAGTCCTTCACCGCTAACGGCCGATTGCGCCCCGGGATATCGGAGTTAATTTGGCGGAGATAAAGTGCAGTTTAAGGGTCCTGGGTCTCAGACAGAAATCAGTATTCTCTTCAACCTACCCAAGAGCAATATGCTAAAAGCTACCCAGCCACTCAGATGATGATGAATTCTTCACGACTCCCGGAGATAAAAGTATAACTCAGCTCCAAATTCGATAGAGACACAATCATCCTCTTTAGTACATCTACCACATCTTCTCCTCCGTGAACTTGAGACAGTGGTATCATGAAATTTCCCCAATCTCCAATTATATATTTTATAACCAACTCAAAAATGGGATCGAATGCTTCATAAGAGCCAAAGTATTCCCAGCCTCTTTCACAAAACACCGTATGGATGGAGTCAACAACCGAAAATATACTGATTTCTTTAGCACAAGGATAGTCGTCCCCGGTATACCAACACCATTCCTTCTCTCCGAATGGTATTGTATAGTCATTTCTCCGGTTCATCTCGCCTCTCAGGCACATTGATGACTCCCACCATCTCTGAATTTTCCCTCTAAGGAAGAACATTGGTATCCTCTGGCTTAGATCCCTAGAGCATTTAGTGGCGGCAGACCTGGCTACGTAAAAGTCCAGCAACCATTGATACCACCGTTTATCATAGTAGGATGGGAAAGATTCAAGAATTTCCCCTGGCCCCATAGGATTAATGCCTGGCCACATAAATTTAGTAAGGCGATTCATGAGATCTTGGCTCGACTCTGATCTAAGTGCCCAGGGAAACCAAGAGAGTGTGTTAGAGGTAATATATTTTGTTTCCTATGAACCATTAGATTAAAATTATTCCGGCCTCGAGTAAATTTTGCCTACCATAAAAAACCGTAGCCGCCGGGAACTAAGATTGGTATCCAAATGAGAGTTTTCCTTGAGGAAGTTGCGCACCGTCAGAGTTTCGGGGTCGTTAGGAATAGAGAAGTACCCAGGTTGACCCTTTTTTTTATTACTGCTGTCGGCATAATCGCAAAATAGCCCAACCTTGCATAGCCCAATGAAGGTGTAGCAATTAGTACGGTTACGAGAATCAATCTTCCGAAGATGTAGGGCGTACGGCTTAGAATACTTAATACACGGTAACATGATGATGTCCATGGCCGAGTCGAATAACCTTTGGAATTCGACCATAAGCTCGAATCTCGGATGGCGTTCGTGGATAACATCTCGTTTCGGACCTCCAATGTTAATACCTTTTAGTATTCTATGTCCATGGATAACCAGGGATCCAGTCCGACTGAGGACAACTTCGGGGATAGGTTGTGATCGTTGGTCAGGCGAATCCGGTTGAATATAGACCGGACGGAACCGGGGGCTTAAATGGATTTCATGGCTGTAGGCCGCACAACGAAAGTCGGGAACCCATGAAGGGAGATCGAGGGGTCGGTTATTATGCATCGCTTGAGATCCTCCGCTTACTCGCTCCAGAAGGTTCATTAAGTGACCTTTGGACACCAAAAAGGTGGCAATGCCGGTATAGACCTGTTCCACTGCAATATTGTAATTCGCAACCAGTCCCTTCATGCTCGCGCCATCCATCATACCAAAGAATGCGAATATCTTATCCTCCGGTCTCGAAGCCTCGCTATGTGTACCGTCGAATATCAGATTCACAATTTCTTCCCAGGAACTCAACTTCCGTCCTCCGCAGTGCTGTAGCCAACGAGGCAGAAACTTTTCAGGGTGAACTTCTTTGAACACACGCTTAATTTTATCTAGGGAATGGTAAAGCTCGAGCGATTGGGTGTCGTACCCGTGATAGAAGCTGGCATCCCTAGCCAGAGCTAATTCCTGTATAATCCAGATGCGGGAGAAATAAGGACGAGAGAATAACCATTTTATTTCGTCAAAATAATGACCGTTCTTCACATATCCTTGAGATGACTTTTTATCCGAGTTGAGAGCGAACATCGCGTCACTTGTGGACTTCGAGCCTTCTCCTAGATAGACTAGAACCTTTTGCGCCCGAGAGTATATTTCAGGCATCAGTCCGACCTGCTCGCGTCTTTCGTCGGCATCGCCTTGGTTGATACACACAGAGTCTATCCATAGATCCTTTGATTTTGTCCTATCTCGGAACCGTCGAAGCACCGCAGCGCAGTTTTCAGTAATAGGGAGTCTATACCAATTATTTTCGAGATACAGAGGTCGCCGCCTTACGCTGTCGCCGGCCTCGTTCGCCCACATATACGAAATAGCCTCATATTTCGGCGGAGTGTCGACGGATTCAATGACTAATCTTCCATGTAGCGGGTCTTCGGGCTCGCCCTTAGACAATTGAAGGATTCTAATACATAGGTTTCCTGTTGTAGGCGGCATGGCATCTAGGGACTGGTACTGATAGTACTTATATGGTACAGGGCTTGTATTTTGCATCGGGGGATGAACTGTTGAATCCCCTCTATCGTTGGGATGTGAAATGTTGATTATTTGGTCTGGGCTATATACGCTTTCCTCTAGGATACGAACGACTTCATCGGCAAGGTCGTTGTCATTATTGTATTCGACACTTCGTGGCCAAGATAAGTTCAGTGATGACCTCTTAAGCACGCAGGGTCTCACTTCCTCTCGTGTGCTAGGATCTTGAAGCTCTTCATCTTTTGGAACCTGCGTCCAGCATTGGACACAACACCATGCGACTTCTGGTACTTTCTCGAAGGCGGGGCGGTTACATGGACATAGGCTTGTCATCGTGCTAATTTTAATTGCCTATCAACGGCGGGCAAAGTGTGGTTTTAGAAATGGTTGTTGAATAGTTCGAGTACAGAAAAGTTCCGGGAAGGAGGCCAAGGCTAGATAGGTATCCAAGTACGAAAAAGACTCATGTCGAGGTGAAGTGGCTGTACAGAAATTATCTTTGCTAGTGATATGTAACGAAAGGTAGGCTACGAGTTGCGTATCCGGGATTGGTGTCCAGTCGATTCCGCCACGTAACGGCCTGTCGTTTTTCTTACATAGGTAGCCTATCAAATGAGCAAGCTATTGATTAGGTAGGCATTCTCAGTGGCGCTGCAGCCACCGATAGGCGATGAAGCTACCTGAGTATCTTAGGTAGGTACTCAGGAGATTTCGTGAACTCAGCCTCTATAGAGTACCTAACTAGGTAGGTAAACTACCTATATCTAAGAACTTGACATATAAACCCCGCTTCCCGGTATTGGTGCCTAGTATTTCACATTAACATCTCAAACTATCGAATTCCTTTTCTAGTTCTCTTTACTATAACTCCCAAATTTGCCCAACCGTGGTTAAAACCTAGCTTTAGCGCAACTAATCCAATAATGCTCACTAAAAAGTCTCATTTTGACACATTTATACTCTAGACACTACAGGCTAAAGAGAGCTAGTCATAAGAAATTTGTCATAGTGATGTAAAATATGAGAGTTTCTAATAACTCAATATATAACATGAAAGCCCTTATTATTACGCAACCACCTGTTGCTTGACATTTGTAATAAGACAATAAAATGTTGTTCTTAGGGGCCATTTCTTCAACGAATCTTAAATCAGATTAAAGTGAAGCTCGGAGACGTTGCGTTTCCTTCAGTCATCATAAACACATTACTATCACTATGAGTATCGACGTGAGTTGTATTAATGAGATCATATGCTTATTATATTAGATTGTTTTGTAAACTTATATATATCCTTAAAATACCCTCGTGGTGTTATTCAAAACTCACCTTATTAAGACTTGACAAGATAAAACCAAAATAAAACAAAACTCACTTTTCTCAGCATACTCTCATTTCAGTTATCCTCTGTGTATATTGCCAAATTTGCGTCTTGATGGAAAGTTGTTTCCACGCGCATAATAACTCATATGAATGAGACAGAATGGTCGAACAATTCATTAATGTATGATGAAAATGAAGAGAATCTTAAAGGCTCACGAAGAAGCTTACATACACTAGCTTCGTAAATTCTTATAAAATCATTCAATACAGCAAAATGATTTCAACGTTCTACTACCCAATGCATATAGCTATGCTGGTATGAGATAATTTCAGGAGTAGCATCTCGCTAGCCCATCGCGTATTACGTCGACATCCTCTCCTAGCGAGTAAGTAATATAACAAATAGCAATGGATCTACTTCAATTACGCAATACTCATAGGCAGCGAATCATATCTCGCAAATTGGAACGTGGCGATCCTCACTGGCCTCTTATGCACGCCGGCGGGGATGATGTGGATTGCCGCCAATCTCTTTAGTGCCGGTTGAATTCGAGACTTGGCTGTGTGATACGGCGTTCCGTGCCATCTCGCTACCTGCTTATTTGGTCGCTTTAGGTAGGTATATGCCGTCGACATACACAGGATACAATGGACGTAGTTCGTCGTGAGGATCCCCTTCAGTAGCCGAAACCCACCACCCCACTGGCGAAAAAGGTATTGGGGGTAGGGCTTCTGTTGAGACGTGGGGGCTTGGCTAGAGAGAGCCCGGTATGGGCTATCTGCTTGCTTGCTTCGTCACGGTGTAGCCCGTTAAACTTCAAGACTGGTTCTCTTCCGTGAGTCGACGAGATTCAATCTGTGCGTAATCATGAATCCCACGCGCCCGGTTCTTCGTCGATTTGCTCAGCCGCTGGTTCGGCCCGTTCGATGTAATAGTATCCGATCGTTCACGACGGCGTCATCTCGCTCATCTGCTGCTGCTGCTGCTGCTGCTGCCGCGGTCCAGCCGCAACACTTTGATCAGCCGCCTTTCTCTATTCCTAGTCCGGCCCATGTTAGGCAAGAAGTTCCTATTCAAAATACTAAGAACACTCTCCGTGATGCCGTCTCCGCGACTCAACCGAGGAACGACTGGACGAGGGATGAGATAGCAGTAATCTACAACCATCCATTGATGGATTTAGTTCACCAAGCGGTAAGAAAATAATGCTTTTAGCTGTCGGTTTATATGAAATCAGGTACACGATAGTTATGGAAGTGGACTTGACTGATAACACCAGCCGTAATAGAGTCTTGTCCACCGACGCTTTCACGACCCGGGCGAAGTCCAGCTCTGCACACTCATGAATATCAAGGTAAGTTAACACTAAATTAAGAAAAAAGAAAATACTCGCTAACAGACATGTATCAAGACCGGCGGATGCACAGAGGACTGCTCCTACTGCGCCCAAGCGACGCGATACCAGAAAGGCACAGGACTCCAAGCGAAGAAGATCGAGACAGTCGAGTCGGTGCTAGCAGCCGCGCAAGCAGCCAGAGCAAACGGCAGCACGCGGTTCTGCATGGGCGCCGCATGGCGGGACATGCGCGGGCGCAAGAACAGCCTGCGCAACATCGCCGAGATGATCAAGGGCGTGCGAGCCCTCGGCATGGAAGCGTGCGTCACGCTGGGCATGATCGACTCGGCGCAGGCGAAGGAGCTCAAAGACGCCGGACTGACGGCGTACAACCACAATGTCGACACGAGCCGCGAGTTCTACCCTTCTGTCATCTCGACGCGCACCTACGACGAGCGATTGCAGACTCTTAGCTACGTGCGTGACGCCGGCATCAACGTCTGCTCCGGTGGAATTCTCGGCCTTGGCGAGACGTCGACGGATCGTGTCGGCTTGCTGCATACCGTGTCGACGCTTCCCAAGCACCCGGAGAGTTTCCCGGTAAACGCTCTGGTGCCTATTAAAGGCACGCCTCTTGGAGATCGCGAGCCGATCGATTTTACAAGTAGTGAGTACACCTAGATATCATATGCTTGCAGAATCTATATTTAATCGCTTTCTAACTCTACGAACTCTAGTGCTTCGAACCATTGCTACCGCCCGCATCATCATGCCCGCCACCATCGTTCGAATAGCTGCTGGTAGGAAGACCATGTCGGAGGAGAAGCAAGCGCTATGCTTCATGGCTGGCGCAAACGCCATCTTCACTGGCGAGAAGATGCTGACAACAGAATGCAATGGCTGGGATGAGGACAAGGTTATGTTTGACCGATGGGGTTTGGAGCCGATGAAGAGCTTTGACAAGTCTCCGCCTCCCACGATTGGTGACTCATAGCATAGCTTATAACTAGTTCAAGTTATAGACATCATAATCGCGCCTTATCTCCCTTGGTGAACACGTCTGTAATTTCTGTACCCTTTTTAAGAATCTCTTCGGCCATTTGAGCTTTTACCCACAGCTCAATCACACCGCATAGTTCATCAACTTGCTCTTTTGTGTTAGAATAATGCAAGCAGACTCTTACTCGCTCGCTTCCTATGGGTACGGTTGGGCTTACGATAGGACGTACCATGAAGCCGAAGCGTTGACAATGTTTCGCGAGGCTACGAGGGGAGGCGGTTAGAATCGGGATAATGGGTGACTTCAGGGTTGTTTGCTCAACATAAAGTGTGTGTCGATTTGGATTTAAACGAGAGTAGAGAGTATGAAGTTGATGGCGCGTGTAGTAAATGAGAGTTTCCAAATGTCGTCGCAATGGTTCGGACTGTCCGCTTATGAGAAAATCGTAAACAACATCTATGCTGGCCAGTGACGTAAAGGTCATCGATGTCGTATATATAAGACTTCTGGCGTAGTTTATCAAGTAATATCGAGTAATAAGGGAGCATAAAACGACGCCTAGTGCGGGATGTGTTAATACTCATACTCCTTGTGGTGACGGTGCCTTAGCAAGCGTCAAGTTCATAAATAAAATACCGCAATATTCGCGGACGGGCATAGAATACATACCTCCGGCACACCCCAACGCTTTCCCAAAACCAAGTACCCTCGCCCATATTCGATTCTCTAAGCCGAGCTGGCATACTAGCCCACGGCCATCTTTGCCGAACACACCTACCGAGTGCGCTTCATCGACTATGATGTATCCGTTTCCAGATGGTAGGTATCGATCAACCGTCTCAACAATTTCTTTCAAGTGTATAGTATCACCGTCCATGCTGTAAAGCCCTTCTACGCAAATGAAAACGTTGGCTTGGCAGTTAGTGACACGCTTATCTTTCATTAATTCCCTCAGAACATGATCGAGCCCGTAGTTCTTACTACCACTAGCCGCACGGCTTTCCTTGGTGTCAGAAACTCGTCCCCGTTGGGCCTCTGATATGGAACTATGCGCAAATGGGATCCTTCTAGTGGCCCGGCTCATACGCATTCCGTCATGAACGCTCGCATGAATCAGCTCGTCGTAGAGAATCACATCTCCGGGCTGCGGGACAGAACCAAGCAATCCGGTGTTGGCATCATATGCGGAAGTAAATAGAAGCGCAGATTCCGCGCCATGAAAAGAGGCAATCTTGGTTTCAAGCGACTCTGCAAGGGGCGAATTGCCGTCAAGGAGACGAGAACCTCCTGAGCCGAGGAGCGACCTACGCAAATCGCGCGATCCGTTGCAATCCTCTAGAGCTGCGACTTCGGCCTGTAAGCGAGAAAGTAATGATTTCTGAATTTCCCGGTTTGTTGATAAAGACAAATAACCATTGGATGAAAAATCGATAAAGTTGGCTGGGATAATACTCAATTTTCTGAGCCTGTCGTGAGTTTTTCGACGCGCTAAGACCTCCCCGAGTGTATCATCGAGTCGCCTCCGTGTACCTGTCATTGCTGTCCTGTGACTTGAGCACACACAGGATGAGGGCTGACTATAATTATATTCATCTGTATGTAATGTTGATCATATGTCGATCAATACACTACTTATCTAGGTGTACCCTAGTACGAGATGAAAACTCCCGGACCGATGTCACGGCTGCAGGGTAGTGGGGTATATATTGTTGCTTTACCGGATTAATTGGGAATATTAATTAGCACGTAATCTTGCATCTGGATTCAGCTCCCTTCAACAACCCCAGGAACCAACTCACAATCCTACGAGGGTGGTGTAGTGTAAATGGCACCCGCCCACCCTCTGCTTTGGAGCTCTCTTCGAGTCTTTCAAGTCTATGGAGCCAACACTGATGTTGGCAAAACCATCATAGCCACGCTTCTCTGCAGGGCTGCCAATAGTATATGGAGAAAAGAGCAGACATCGTACCTTAAGCCCGTCTCAACAGGCCCGGAAGATGAAGCCGATGATCGGTGTACGTGAGCTCTTGGCTACTCCATCTTGTGAAACTGATAATACTAACCTATAGGAGTTATAGGAGAGTGAAGGTAGAAAACATTGGGTTACATGTGTTGATGTGAATATAGCCATATCGAAAGATACGCCCCTGGGGTCCTTCGCAAAACATTGCTGCAGTATGATCTGGCGATGAGCCCGCATGCTGCGGCAAAGGGCAAGGTACGAAACACTTTGTCTTTGACCTTGATAATGTTGGCGACTTAACAATTGGCTATGAAGTTAGTACCTTCGGATAAAGAGCTCCTTTCTAGGATATATCAATTCGCATCTCGGAGTGCGGCTCAACAACCCGGATGGCTCTTCATAGAAACTGCCGGCGGCGTTCACTCCCCTGGACCGACAGGCACTACGCAAGCGGACCTATATGCAGCAGTGCGATGTCCCGTCATACTTATCGCCGACTCTAAGCTTGGAGGAATCTCTTTAACCATCTCCGCTTTTGAATCCCTAAAACTACGTGGATATGATGTTGAGAGTATCCTCGTGTTCCAGGATAGCGAATATGATAATGAGAAGTATCTGAGAGACTACTTCACAGCCTCTCATGGCATACCTGTTGCATCGTTACCAAAACCCCCTCCAAGGGCGCAGGATAAAAATGCAGACGCGAAGGCGATGTTGCAGTATTACAAGGATGAAAGTCAAAGTACAGGTACTCGCTATATCCTTGAGCACCTGAATCGCAAGCACCAGGCTCGTATTGAGAGGCTCGAGTCAATGCCTGGGGATGCATATAAACGTATATGGTACCCCTTCACGCAACACACATTTCTCTCACCCGACAAGATTGTCGCTATTGATAGTGCTCGAGGGGACTTCTTCCAGACTGTGGTACCAAAGGCAGAAAGGGCAATCAATCAACATGCGCCTATTCTACAGCCTTCATTTGATGGTTCTGCGTCGTGGTGGACTCAAGGACTCGGACACGGCAATCCCTCACTCACGATGGCCGCAGCCTACGCAGCGGGTCGCTACGGCCATGTCATGTTTGCTGGGGCTATTCACGAGCCCGCTCTAGCCTTAGCAGACACCCTCTTATATGGGATGAAGAATCCTCGCCTTACTCGCGTATTTTATTCGGACAATGGCAGTACGGGTGTAGAGGTTGCGGTAAAGATGGGTCTACGAGCGGCTAGACTCCGGTACGGATGGGATGCGAGTACAGATATTGGAATCATTGGACTAAAGGGTGGGTATCACGGCGATACCATGGGTGCCATGGATTGTGCCGAGCCGAGTACGTATAACGAAAACATCGAGTGGTATAATGGAAGAGGTATCTGGTTTAACTACCCGAATGTCAAGTGTAGTCATGGCCAATGGATCGTCGAAATATCCGATGAGTTGAAAGCAGGTATCGGCAGCAACAAAACTTTCAATAGTCTATCCGATGTGTTTGATATCGACTCTCGAGAATCAAACGACGAGCAGCAGGCGTATGAGAAGTATATCGAAGGGAAACTATCGTATTACGTTAGCAAGGGCCGAAAGTTTGGTGCTTTACTTATGGAGCCGGTAGTGATCGGAGCTGGGGGTATGGAGTTGGTGTAAGTTAAAGGCGCGCAGTTGGTTCTTTTGGAAAAAGTAAAGACTAATTTGGATACAGGGACCCCCTTTTCCAGCGTGCCCTTGTCAACGTCGTCCGCCGCTCAGCGAAACTCTTTGGTTCATATCCCGAGCCGGATACTTCGGATCCTACGTCTTGGACTGGCCTTCCCGTCATATTTGATGAAGTCTTCACGGGGCTGTATCGACTCGGAAGGTTTACTGCATCGTCGTTTCTTAAAACTGAGGCTGATGTCTCTGTTCATGCTAAGCTCTTAACTGGCGGCTTGGTGCCACTCAGCACTACATTGGCGTCTGAGAGCATTTTCAAAGCCTTTGAGAGTGAGGACAAAGCTGATGCCCTGCTTCATGGACATAGTTACACAGCCCATCCTATCGGCTGCCAGGTCGCAGTAGAATCGTTGCGACAGATGCAGTCAATGGAGAAGCGAGGTGAATGGGATTGGGCGAAAGGTAGTGACTGGTCGGGGTCTTTACTTGGCCAGTCTGACGCTATGAAACCCGAGGTGTGGTCCATCTGGCCCTGGGACTTATTGAATTGGATTTCGAATCAAACAGAGCTTATAGCTGGGACTTGGGCTCTCGGTAGTGTGCTTGCTATTCACATGAATGCTTCGGATGGCCTAGGCTATAAGAGTAACGCAGCCCTAAAGCTGCAAGGTGTTTTACTAGAGGGCAACCGAGAGACGATGTGGAATATCCATAGTCGGGTTTTGGGCAATGTGTTGTACCTCATGGGAGGTCAAAAGACGAGCAAGGATGATATTACGGAGATTGCTGGCTTGGTCAGACGTGCACTGACAGCGCGTTAAGGAAGATCCAATTCTAGGATAGTTAGTGAATAAACAGACTTAAGATAATGCCTTTGAATCTGATCAAGTTAGATATCTTCATATTAAAGATCTTAATATTAAAGCTACTAATGTGAAGAGTGAGTAAATATACTTTAGGTACCTAACCTATGAAGGTGGTCTAGGTAGATCTTCTTCGTCTAGCATCTGATGTGAAGTTAAGGTAGACTAGAAAGAAAAATAAAGAAGCTGATTAAAGTCTAAAAATGAGTAGGCGTTGGTCCTACTAATAGATCTTGAATTTATCGGGGCCTTATAGTGGATTTTGTGTGTACCTTCCGTCTAGACCATCTGACCATCTAGTAACTAGGGGTTTAAATTAAGAGTATCGTCGAAGCTTAAAAGTCATAGGTAACTGATTGCTCAACTTTAGACGCTTACCTAATTGCGCACGAGCCTCTTTCCAGGTACCCAACTAAGCTAAACAAGCTAATCAGGCTAACCAAGAGATACTGCAAGTAGGTACGTAGTCCCGCGTCGCGCATGAACCGGGACGTTCCCCAAATTCTTCCAACTTCAACCTTTTGCGACAAGCACTCAAAATTCTAACTCTCGCCCGGTGCCACCAGGCAGATTATACGATCCTTATGATTCTATTCTATTAGACTTTAGCAGAGGGCATATGTCCCAGTCCACACATTTTTCTCAATTTCTCTGAATTTCCTTTTCGTATTCAATCCGCCATAATCACAAAATGGGTATTTGCGCCTCCTGCCTCGGCCACCGGCGCCGCGATTCCTACGATGAAGTATGTGCCCGGGATATTTATATTGTCTTTTAAGCATTAGCTAATTATAAAAGGATGATGTATCCCGACTACTTTTCGACGACCCGAATAATCTCCAGTATGGAAGCTTTGGCGAACATAATTTAAACGCTCAAGCTGACCCGCTTGAGTCGCAACGAGAAGTAGAAGCTCTGCAGAGGGTAGTAGCGCGGACGTCTAAGTATGCGCGTTCCTTGTTTTATATTCGCTTTTTATTCAATATACTAATGGTTTCAGCAATCTTGTCGACGTCTTTGAAATCACCTCACAGGAGTCTCAGAGGACTCAGCCTGCTTTATTCTCAGGGCAAGACGCCCGTTTAGCCCGGTACCAAAACATATTATCCAAGCTTTCGCGAGAAGGCGAAACTCCCCCCACAGACAGTGCTTTCGGCGCCATAGACTGGTTATTAGACGATGACGATACTATCGAGATACAAGTCAAACCTCCCAGTATCAAGGATGAAGTAGGGGGCTTACTTGTGGGTACCTTTGGAGATATAAATGCGACGCGGCTATAAAGAGTGCTGGTTTTGAATGGGTTAATGACGCAAGTCTACCCATACGGATGCCCATTTGACTCCGCCTATTGATAGCAGAATACGAGCCGATCAAAGACCGATTTGGTAATGGGTTTTTCTATGACCTAGCCAAGATTCGTGGGGGGTCTTATTCTAGTCCGGTCTTGGGTTATACAGCAGGGGAAAGCAAGATTCACATACTAAATTAAGTCGACGAATAAACCCTACATATGTAGTGCCAAAATAACCAATCAGGGATTGGCTTTCAGGGGGACCTAAAGAAAAGCAAGTCCATTAAGGGGTAGACACGTGCCTAGTCAATAACATTTTCTTTGCTAGCGAGTTGGTTCCTATGAGAGTCCCGCCTGTTTGGTACGCGGTTCTGTAGATATTTTTGTATTCTAATCTTGAAATGTATTCATCCGGCTTCGGTACTGAAGAGTATAAAGAATCGCGGGCCGAAGAGGCTCACGATGTTGTTTTCTAGAATTATAAACGGGAGTCTGTGCGTCAGATTCTAGCCAGTGAGCGGGGAATCCGGGAAGGGCCGCAACCACCCCCCTAAATTCCATGTGTCACCCGGTCTCCTCCACTCATTTAGGGTTAACAAGTTGATAATAATAATCCACCTACCAAAGACGATACCACAAGAATAATATATCGCCCAGGTTTTTTTTTTTTTTTTTTTTTCAACCCCCGGTTACATTCCGTTCCTACGGACGGCCTATACATATGAATAGTCTAGTGATATTTCCGTTGTGCCCATTTTCATCACTATGCCAGGGTGAACGTATCTAGCTGTGGCTCTTCTGAATGCTTTCATCAATCTATTGATGAAATTTCTTTTACCCCCTTAATTTCTTCGTAAAGTCTCCGCCAGACGGTCACCGGCTTGAACTATCCATCGTAGACACGAGTGGAGAAGAGACGACGGAGTAGAAGCCTTCAAAAGCAGTGGTATACGTATAAGATCTATTTGAGAATCCAAGATTTGATCCTGGTGGACCACTGCGGAGGTCTCTAGCTCTTTAAAAATCAGATAATCGCATCGAGTATAGCGTACAAAAGACCGGCTTTCCAACGTGTTTAAACATTCAGAGACCATAACCTTCCATGAATGCCCATTTCCAAATTTTGAGATTGACCTCTCCTACTCTTCTGAGTTCTTATATAAAGCCCCCTTCTTGAGTCTTTGATGAGTGAAACTCTACTGATATCTCGTAGTTGTGTTGACCACCCCCCCACCATCGCGTACACCGTTGACCAGACAGAGTGTCTACACCACCGAGTACTGCCTATTATGATGTTGTTGAAGCATGTTTTGGATTGCCTCGTCGACCTCTCCCATGTCCCTTTGGGCTTTCTCGATCGTTGCCGTCCGGTTTCCTTCCCTCTGCCACCGGTAGATGTCGTTTTGGAGCTTGGTGAACTTCCGTTGCTTCTTCTCGATGTCCTTGCAGAGTTTGCAGTTATCTTGCTCTTGGTTGGTACAGTATACCAACTTCAGCCCGCAGGTCTCCCCGGTTCGATACTCCTTCGTACATTGTTGACGGAAGTGGCCCCATCGCCAATACCCACACATCCAACGTGTCTGTTCGAAATAGCACATCGTTCACCGTTCGGAAGAGTTGTCGGTCTGGAATAGGGAAACCCCGGCGTGGCGGTTCGCTGATTAGCTTAGCCGATACACGTAGCTCTGTCGAAAAGGAACGTGGGTCGTCAAGCAGTTTATACTCTTATCAACCAAGATATTGTTGCTGGTGTTCACGATAGGCTGAGGCTGAGGCTGAGGCTGAGGCTGGTATTCCGTTCTTCTTCTTCTTCTTCTTCTTCTTCTTCTTTTAATTTCTTTTATATCGACTGAAGTTCTTGAAACCTTGGTTCGGGTTACTCCACCATTAGGTGCAAGTGACATCGATAAGGGGGGACAGAAATACTTATACTTGTCGCTCACGTCCTGGGTTTCCCTCTTGCCCTTCCCACCCGGTACTCGTTCTCGACCTGCGTTGGCCCTTAACCTTTCACTACATATTCGTCGACACTGTGTCCAGAGTTACTACAAACAGCCGCTGAGGATTGGCCGTTGACAACTCAGCCTGTCTGGTAATTGGGGTTGCATGTCCATTTCGCAGCCAGTCCGTCTAACATGTTTCCTAGAATGCTGGATGGATGCCACGTTGGTCTAGTGCTTCAATTTCCACCGGCTCAACTTCCCCACTCTGGATACAGCCTACGAGTACCCTGACTGATGAGTAGCTTACCAGCTACTTGATTCGAGAAAGATAGATGGTGGCCCCTCTTCCCTTTCGCTGTTCTCTATTGGGTCGATTCTAACGTCTTTGTGCGGTCCGCCCTTAACCTTGGGACGTGAGCCCATCAGCCTCGAATTTGACACCCTGTTACTACACCCCCGTTGCACGCATAGTTTGATCCTTTCCCGTCTGCAACCAGGATGTGGCCTATCCCCACTACCTGCTTATGCAAGCCATCTGGCTAGCCGCGGGTAGGTCTCCTACCCCCCCTAGGCCCTAAGCCTGTGAGGCAACTTGCCTTTTAAGACGAGCATGTACTGTCAATCACTGGAACAGGGGAGCATGTTTCGTCCCTTGCCACGTCTCGGGTGATTACCTTAAACAGATGCCCAGTCACTTGCCCTAAAACTCCGAAGACTATATCCTGCATCTATAGCAGACGAAGCTGGTGTTTTCGTTTAGGCTTAGACAGTCCCATATTGCGTGGTTTATCAAACTAGCAGACTTGATTGCTTTTGCCACACTATTTTGTTGCCGCTTCTCGCCTGATTTTGTTTGATTGGGTTTCCATTGACAATGTTTTTCGAGCTTGTCCAGCTCATCATCAAGCCACATCGGGAAAGACGATATCTTCCTGATGCACTCTGGCCAGCACTTGCAGCTAACATCCACTACTCGTAGCTTGAGATTTCTCAGCATCCGAAATACCCGTCCCAGAAGTTACGGAAATTTTCTTTTCGTCTTGTCTGAGCCTTTCCCGGAAAATGAACAACACATCGTTTATACAGGGGGGTTGGGTTACTATGACGACTTCGTCGATAGCAGTACCCCTTTGGGTCGTGGAAGTAGGCTCCCCTCTCTGCGGCCGCCTATCCAAGGCCAGATAGGTAGGCCCAGGGGAATTGTTTCCCACGATACCACAAAACCTCCCATTCACGTGAAACTACATCAAGACACATATAGAAATCTCCTATTCTGGCTTTACACGAGTCAGGTAAACTCTCAAGATCTTCAACGGGTTAGTTAGGCCCGCGACGTGGCAATGATTTTCTGGCCATGCCAGGCCCACCTGCACGATTTCGCCCCCGGCCTGTGCAAGATGCGTGCCTAGGAAGTCTGGGGATCGAAGAGGGTCCTAGTGTTTCCTAATTTATCATCGTTAAAAGACCCGCTACGATCATGGCTGTATCTAGTTCTCGGTACCTGCTCATACGACTATACCAGAAGAGTCAATGTACAAACACACTCGATGGGGTCGGTATAACCCCATACGATGTTTCGATGCTGGTGAGTGTAACATGAGTCCCTTACGATGGAAATCACAAGGGGATTTAATCTAGGCTCCTCATTAGGCTTGACGTTGTGCTAAAGGGGCCAGCACGCTGGTGAAATTTGCTGTGTTACAAATGGCAATGTCATATTTAGGTAGATATCTGGTCGAAATATTACAATACCATACATACTACAAATTAGATCTCGTTCCTGAATGGAGTTTATCTTGCTTTGTTGTGCCACGGACGATCCAATTGCTAAAATGCCTAGTGCTATGTCAAGCTTGTGACGTGATCTCATGCGTACGAGGCGTTTGCTCCATCTACATACATATGGCCATAGTTCCATTTTTAGCTCTATAATATAGAACAACACCACAGCACATTAGCTGATAATTTAGTAGCAACGTTGCGTGTTATTCTGCTAAATGGAGTTGACCCGTGTCCTAGTAAAAACGGAGGTTTCTTCCGGCGGCAAGGGATAATAATATGGAAATCCAAATCTCGGTGTAATATTAAGGTGATTCTTTTGACTATTGCCATCGTTGTTTGCATTCACTTACATGCTACGTGCAAAGCGCGAACCCTGGGTCAACAAGGCCGCCTTAGGCGGCCAAGTAGTGTTGTGAATAAATCCTTTCTCCGGGAAATTATGGGCGCCTGGTCTCGTACCCCACGGCCCGTTCCGTACATAGATTTAGACGTAATCGTTGATCTATCCGTCAGAGAACCATCGCTTCTAGCTAGACGGCCGCAGCATCAATGCATATCATCTCTTCTAATAGGGGGATATTCGACGTTGAGTTTTAATTCGAACTGACCAATCAAGACCTCTGAGACATTCGACGCCATGGAAAGTTCTACGAAGACCATGGTATTCCGGCCACACTATGTGGAAATCATGTGCAAGAAATGATATGCGCATTCCCTTAGTTCAGAGTAAGCAGAAGAGCCTACTCACACCTCTGACCCAATGATACCTCACGTCCTCGGAGACACTTTCCCACCACCGCTACCCACCTTTGTCTCTATAAAGGTGTGCCACCCCCTGGGGGGCGTGGGGAGTACAAGACTCCCCCCCCGGACGTAGTGGTATGCGTCTGAACCCACCGTCGAGAGGCTTGGGCCAGAGGGAGAGAGGATCATCCATGTGTTCCTGGCTTGTTAACAGCCTCTCGAGGCCCTGCAGTGCCAGCTCATTGGTTGGGGGCCAGAACCAGAGAAGGAAATGTTGCGGGATGTATCTCAGTTCGATCCGGAGGATGTCGATAGAATAGTTCTTGAAGGCTTTGGTATGGTCTACCGAAAGGAGAAGGGGTATGTGATACCTGGCTGAGGCTCTTACCTGATTCGCCATCCAAACTTCTCTTTGGTTATGTGGTACTACGTTTGCTCGTATATATAGGATCGCTCGGATTTGTCGAACCCTCATGCAAATGTACGTCTCTCTGCTCACCGTCTCCCAGAAGTACCAAACGAGGCTTCATCGACTCATCCTTAATGGTTGTCTAGATTTCCACACCATTCTTGGTTGGACATAATTATGAGTTGTCCTTCAATGCCATCAGTTTTCAAGGTCAGACAAGGGTAAGTGATTGGAACGGCTCCATTGCCGACTCTGCCTGGAAATGGGTTCACAGATACTCCACAGCGGATGTACTCGCATCGCATAGATATGCAGGGTGATCTAGTTTCCCATCCGTTTGCATTGCATGGTTACAACTAGTTAGTTGAGCAAGTATGTAAATAGTTAGCTAGCTCGCTATACACACGAAGATATAGGCCGACTACCTGCGTTGCTTCACCCCGAGACGAGAAGAAAGACTGGGCATGTTGGCCACGCCCTTTAGCCTGCTCTCGGAGCCCAATTGGCCGGTGGTACGAAAAGTACCAGTTCCTGCTCATTGGGCACTGATGCTAACCGAAAGAGAGAGGCCGAAGGGGGGTCGGAGGGATCGCGACCACGTTGACGGCCAGAAAAGGAGACCGCATTCGGCCCTCCAGGCCGTACCGAGCTCCACCGTTCGTCGGCGGTGCTTACAGGGAACTTGTGTCTTGGGGAGGGTAAGATCCACGTCATTTTGTGTCGAGAGGACATTCTGACTTACAGCACCACGTTCTTCATATGCCAGGTACATAATGTAACGCGTGGGCAGGTTTCCGGGAATTGTGGCAAGTAACAAGAAATATGCTAGGTTAGTTGCTAGTTGCTAGTTGCGATTTCCGGGCCGGGAGGACCTCGAATAGCCTCATCGCGATTAGGTAAGACAAGGCTTTTGTTTTTTCCGTCTAGACCTTTGAGATGGAAACAATAGGATTCCGGGGGGTCGTAGGTGGCTTGCTCCAGATGGCTACATTGGTCTATGTGCCGAGATCTTATTGGCTCGACTTACACGTGGGACTATTATATGTGTACATACCTCCCAACCCAGCATACCTTTAGTAGGTACCTAGGCCGGCTAGGTAGGTAGTCTAAAGTTATAATATGGGTGGATAGGTGATAGAAGATTTACTACCTTAGTCTAACTAACTAAGGTCATCTGTACGGGATCCCGTTATAGCACCTCTATTAAGATTCTATAGTACAACTCGGACCATGTTTTCTTACTACTCGGGTTGCCGCTACTGTGTGCAGAGGCATGGGACTAGATTGGACAACACATTAGTTGGATTACCTAGATAGGTAACCATATACATGTATAATGTATTTGTTGTAAGCAAAGGTACTAGTGTTGATGTAAGTCAAATATCATTGAATGCTATGTAGGTACATGTTAATATATAGTTTTACCCCTGTTCCTTTCCGATACTGTGTTTAAGCTAAGCGACCACGATGCAATGGAAGTGTACGTGTGGGGTACCTAGCAAAAGCCTTGTTGAGGATCAATATAAGCACGCCCTTACTATAACTACCTACATACCTACTTATACATGTACCTATCTTATATGCCTGCTTATCTTATATGCATCTACCTTCTTTACGCGTGACCCGTATATGGCATGACTTAGGTTAGTTATGTAGCTATGACATCCCACGCTTGAAAAGAGCCCTTTTTAAAATGCCATGACGAACTTGTTCCGTAGATCTCCCGTCTGCCTCGGCACGGTCCACCCCCGGAATTTAAAATATCACCTAAATATCACCTACAGGTAGATTAGGCAGGTAGGTACTTGATGGGATGAGCAGAAACATTTACTTGTATAGAGCACGCATCTGCCGTTCTGTACCTACATAAGTCACAAATCTTGGATCATCTGGTCCCGCTCTCGTGCGATATTCCGTACAGCTACGATCTTGATCTAGCATTGCAACGAGGAAATCGGAAATCGGGTGGGTAGGCTATCAAGCGTGGCCCTTTTGTCCCACTGGATATGGTGTAAGTGGTGTAAGTTATAAGCCTGCTAAGGTGGGATTATACGTATTACTATCCTCACCGGCTTTCCTTCGGGGTAATCTGTGAACGGGCACTACGTACCTGAAAATCATGGGTACCTCTCTTTTTGGCCCTTACGTGCATTCTACATTACACATTATACAGTATACATTAAGTACATGCATATAAGACTTTTAAAAGAGACAATATTGAAAAAAAAAATTAAGTGTACACTTTAGGTAGGTAGTTGTCAGGTTCTTGATGGTTGTTTTACCTAATTCATACTCGATTTCGGGTGTTTAATGACTTACATGACTTACATATTTGTACCTACTAAGATACCTAGGTATGTATGCAGGTACATATGTACTTACAAGATCAACGTAACAGCACTGTAATCAATTCCGAGATCGACATCCCGGACACTGTGACCGGGCATCTAACTAATGGTCTGTGCATTTTGCATTTTTGGCTTAGCTAAACGTGGAGATGACATGAGGTATCTCGGTACGTACTATGTATATGTGCGCATGATGTCTGGGACAGTGTTCTGTACCTGCCTTATTATCAGCATTAAAATACAGAACTAACTTAATCTAACCTTATGTACCTTGTTATGTAGGTAGGTACATATCTCACGAACGGCAAGTGCCTTGGTAGTGTATGATGTTGGTACTTTTTGGCATCTTATTAATATTCCTGACGAACTGGAAACGAATTGCGTTTCGTATCACGGGCCATCTTCAAGAACAAGAATACATCATCTGTAGCCGCTCACCAATTCACCATTTCACCATTTCACCATTTCGACTAGGATTATTACCAACGCCCTCGCGCTTCACCTAGGTATTTAACCTACCAGGTACCTACTTAGGTATTTACATATGCAAACATATGCAAACAGGGTCCCTGTTATGCTGTTCTGTCAGCCCCCTCCATCTCCATACCCCTCAACGCCCCTCAAGGCTCAGGCACATTCTTGCGGTTGCTTGCCTGCCTGCTTGCTTGCTTGCCTGAATCGCTTTAATGAATCGCCCTATGGCCCTTAAAGTGCTGCCTTGCTGTGATCTCGACCCCTAACAACAGATAGTTGACAGCTGGCTCGTGTGTTATTATCTCGTGTGTTATTATCAACTGCATCGTCTTATCAACGTCACTGCATACCTACACACCTACACACCTACACACCTCAATACATACCTCTTACGACACGTTAATCCCTCCCGCTATTCGCGCCGCTACCTTTTGCTTCCCCCTCATTAAGAACCCCGTGCCTACGTAAGTCCTACCGGCTGGGAATATCTTCCTTAGGTAGCTGTCGCTCGCCTCACTCGGTATTAACAGCTGTTGATATAGGCCCAACGGAACACGCACACACATACACACATACACCCAGTACAAAATATGCATTTTCCAATTCAGATAGCTAACCGCGCATAAGACACTCGCCTACCTTTTATCATATTGATTATTCTAGCGGTTTAGCCTCTCTGACCACTCGGGGAACTCGGATCTTATCGAACTGACATAAGATACAGCGGCTGACACTTACCATCGTGTCTTGCTGTTGTCCTGCGGCATATATTTACGCAATCTCTCACCGAGGGCTGACCTTGTACAGTATACAGTTCTCATCCTACTCTGTGCTTCGTCGGAGATACACATAGCAGAGGAGAGTTATCCCTACTGCCACTTCATCACTATTGCTACCTGGCACCTCCCATCACGGCTAGGCTGTAAACATGTCGGAACGTCCAACCCGCAGGGAAGCTGACTTGGGACAGCATCTCGTCACTAGGGCCTACGATCTGACCTTGGTCACGTCAAGTCACACCACGACGCTGGTGCCGCATGCGTCTTTACCTTTCTCGCCGCCGGCTGCCGAGAGTGGCGATACTACCTCACGGGAGCCGGCCTCTAGAACGGTCACCACTGTTGATGCCCAACCAGGCGCCTTAGTTGCGGACTCTTTGAACTCCGACCACCTGGAAACTCACTGTGGAATGCTCTATGACGGGATTCGGCCAGCCGCGGGTCAAGCTGTGCATGTTTCAAGGTTATCACCAGATACGGCGGCTTCATCGTCGAGGCCGCCTCTTTCTACGTCTAATGCGCCATCTACCTCCAGACAAGGCCCTCATAGGGAAAGATTAGTAGATGCTATGGTGACAAGAGGCTCGACTTTGTTGCGCTGGGGGTGGGACTTGCTGAGTTTGGACGGCCTGCCGAATGAGATCTTGACGCATATACTCACCTTCTTAGACGTGAGCGATCTACTAGCCATTTCAAGGGTATGTTTTTGTCCTTTGGCCTTCTACATATTCATGATGTCGATACAGTATTCGGCTTATACGCCGACGTCCTCCTGGTTAAGGCTTGATACGGGTTGGAGACCCCTAGGTTTCACTCCCGCATACAACCTAGCTATGAGCCATTATTCTCATATTCGTATTCTTCTCGCGCAAAAGCTCCGTTGAAACGTAGCCGCGCGTCGATATCGGTTCAATATGCCCTTTCTATTGGTTTTCTATCCTCCACAAATACCAGTTCCCTCAAATGATATAATGCTTCGTAGATCATACTATACTAACGGTAGAGGTAGATTAACCATCACTTTAGGACTCTGTCCTTACACCCCATCTTGCACACCCTTCGCCTCCGGCGTGCCCGCCTATCACTTCCGCCCCTTTTAACCTCGCCCTCGCGGCCTACCCTTACGGAGCTCATCTCCCGCCACATCTTCTTAACGCACACGACGCAGATCTCGCGGCGGTTAGCGCGCAGCCTCGTGTCAATCCGGCTGTCACGCAGCTTGCCGCTCCGGCCTTCCGCCGAGTCTCTGGTGCAGCGCGGCGTGCTTCCGCCAGAAGTCGTAGAGAGCAGTGTAGCCCCTGGCCTCATTGCTAAGAAGCGCGCTGTTGAGAAGGAGAAGCTCAAAGATGGCCTCCGGCGATGGGTCGGAGCTGTCTGGCGCGGCGAGGTGCGGGAAAGAAGCGAAGGGGTCAAAAAATGGGAGGAGCGTGCCGGTGTTGGGAGGGTATGGCGACTGAGGAAGTATTGGGAGCGCGTAGGAAGCGATAGTGACGACGCGCCCGGCGTGGGATGGGGCACCTGATTTACCTTTTGAAAAGCCACATTCCGTCCGACACTTATTGCTATCTGTCTCTGGTCGATAGATACCGATCTCTGCCTTTACAAATCACACCTAATTTGGATTGATGAATGCTATATGGCTAACGAAGGTAAGAGCTCATTAGTGAGAGCACTTGCATTACAGGTGAACTAGGCTCTGCTATTTCTGTAGAGGACATTACGCTTTGATGACTCCTTTTGAATGATGTAACTTAATGACCAGGCGTTCCGGGCATGTCTATTGGGTTTCAGTTTCTCTTTTGGGAGTTGCCCATCTCCCTTATCGTACAATATTGTATATACATCAATATAAGAAGCAATTATGTATGCCGAGTCCCAGATAAATGCAACTAGATGCTCTCACCTTTTTGAATTCATTTAGCCCTTATGCTCAGAATAACGCCGTCGTGGCCCTATGCAAAGTAGCACTCCTTTTTCCTATTAATCAAGCTGAAGTTGGGTCCAGTATTATTATGTCTCGTCATCATTCCTCCCTTATACAAATTCTTGATTTTCGCGCCTCTGCTACCGAAGTCGAAATGCATCCCAATCATCGTCTTCGTCATCATCTTCGTCGTCATCGTCTTCTTCGGGCATACTGGAGTCATTATTCTCCTTGCCGTCCGCCGGGCTCTTAGCCATGACTACGTCATCATCGGCGGCAGCGGCACTGCGGAGATTGGCCACGCCGCCCTTGCGCAGCTGCTCTCGGCGCTCTTTGAGGCGGCGCACGCGGCCTTCTAGCTCTTCCATTTCTTCGAATTCGGCCTCCAGCGCACGCGTGGCGTCTTCGCGCTCGTCGGCGATTTGCGCGTCTACGAAGTGCTTCTGCGACTTGGCGGCGATCTGGGCGGCGGTCATCGCTGGCGCCGAGATGGTGGCGTCGGCGGAGTAGCCTTGCGGACCAGATGTTGGCGCGGGTTCGGCGGCGAGCTCGGCTTCGAAGGCTGCCCATTCGGCCTCGTCTACGGCGCTGTTGGATGGTTGGGCTTGTGGCGGGACGGTGGCTGTGGTTGTGGAGGATGGTACGGAGAGAGATTGCGTCGAGATGGGGAGGTTCGAGGGCGTGGATGTGGCTGTAGATGTGGTCTCGGAGCCGATGAGCGGTGAGCGGCCGACGGGGGCGCCTTTGGGCGTCGAGGTTGCGGAGTTGGAACCGGCTGCTGGCGTGGCGGGTCGCGACGGTATCGCGATCTCGACTCCTTGCACGGGTGGATGTGAAGTCCGTCTCGATAGCTCTGGGGGCGACTGCCTCTTCTCACCGCCATTGCTCATGGATAAGGCCAGGTCGGGCTTGCTACGCTTCTTCCGTATTGCCTCTTCCGCGTCGTCATCTGCATCGGATATGCCTTCGTCCACGTCGTCGTGTTTCCGCTTGGCGTTACCCCCGTCGGCTGAAGATGCCGTCTGTGGTTGCTCGGGGAGGTTGCTTTGCAGTGCCTGTGCTCTTTTCCTATGGTTCGAGTTTCGGATGTGACTTTCCCATAGGGCCTCTGTCTTTACGGGCTCGTGACATAGCTTGCACAATAGTTTCCCGGCATCCGAGTATGCGGCATGAGGATGTTTGATACGGTTCTCGGCGCGGTGAGCGCGAAGCAGAGCTCGGGCGTCTGCCATTGCGGTCGTCGTTGCTACCGATATGAGTAGTAGCCTCGTAGGGAGGTAGTCAGCTGGCTGGTAAGTCTCAGACCGCTGCTTGTAAATCTGTAAAGAGCTTCGAGTATATGCTATTCGGGTTTAGAGGGCACACGTAATTTTAGGGATTGACGTGATTGACGTGATTGACGTGATGATCGTTTTGTGGCTGCTCCTTAGTGGTTTGGTCTTTAATGAAGCGGACTGACCTCAGAGATGGATGCCGGATTACCTTAGCTCTTGTACCTGTGTAAGGGTTCAGCCACAAGGCCACAAGAAAGCTTCTGAAATGCCCCGCACTTGGATGGATCCCCCCCCCAATTGAAGCTCCAATTGCGGAGTACCTATTGCCGTTGCCGTTAGCATGTGCGTAGGTACCTAAGGTACCTTACCTAGGTATTTAAAGCTACCCGGATCTACTACCGTAGCGGCGTATTTGTTACGCTACATGCATCGCTGGATATACTTAATCTAATCGATAAGACTTACCTAGCTGCCTCTCTTCAAAGCTTAGGTAGAAACAAACCTAAGAAATACAAGATCACACGCCTTCTTTTCTACCAGGTATGTACTCCAATCAACACATCCACATAGCCTCCGTTGCTTGTTTCAACCCATTAATCCGATATACTATAGTCTGCAACCGATAACAAAATGGAGGAAGAAGACCAAGTCCTGGTGTCATCCACTTGGCCGCCGCCACCTCCCTTCTGGCGCGACTTTACGCCCGAAAACCTTGCACGTATTGACGAGCTACGCAAGCAAGAAGCAGAAAATGATGGAATTGACGATGCCTCAAAAGTCCGTCTTCAGGGCTTACCTCGCGAGCTACGTAATCTCCAGCCACCACTAGAACCCACAGATGGAGTATGGAGAGTCTTTGGAGATACCTATAAATTAAAGGATGAGCTTCCGCGGCTTGAGGATACGGATGTCAAGCCGCTATTTCCGAATCCAGAAGAAAGAGATCGAGATGGCAAACACTTCGATCGTGCACTGATCCTCAAAAGATTGGCCAAGTCGTTACTATTAAACTTCCTAGAGCTTACAGGATTGCTAGCTATCAACCCTGAAGCTGTACGTCATTACATTTATAGTGGAATGATAATGATATTTACGATATTCTCTCTAACATGGATATTATAGGCTGAAGAGAAGACCCAAGACATGCGCCACCTGTTTCTCAACTTTCACCACCTTATCAACGAATACCGACCCCACCAAGCCCGCGAGTCGCTGATCTCTATGATGCAGGCGCAGTTGGACCGTACACGAGCCGAGACTAACGCGATCCGGGACGCTAAGGATAAGGCTGAACGTATCATGGAAGGCCTCGGCAGTTTGAAGATCGAATATGAACTTGTCGATAAGTTAACAACGTCTAAAAAGGCGGAATCATGGAGCTACCAGAGAGAGACGTGGACGTCGGTCACCAGAGATCTCTAGGAAGGGACGCCACATGCTGCTTCTCTGTTAAGCTGTAGTTATAAAGTGTATATAGATTATGACTTGGAGTCAAGGTTTTTATAATGGATAAGCGCGTCGGTATTGATACCCATCTCGATAGGAAGGGCGGGAATGCGCTTGAGGAAAATGCATTGATTTAATCCTATGAAGAATACTCCTAGTCCTGCATCGCCAAGTGAAATCAACCCAGTGCCTGCAAAACGCAAGTTCGTGTTTAATAACGCCTCATAAATCGTGTCTTATATGGCGTCTACTATTAAACCTCGTTTCCTCACATAACAGTGCAAGGAATCGGGATACAACAACATTCGAAATCGCCACAGTCAATGCATCTAGTCTTGTCTCCTGTGGCATCGGCGGGTTTGATGATGTTCTCAAAAGTCGATGATGCGGCGCTGCCAGGGCCGTTCCGGTTGACGAGGGAATGAGATGAGCTGCAAGCCATGGCTAATAAATTACTGAGTTATCTGTTATAAATAACTAATACTTTTTTTTAGCTCTTTTCTTAGAGATAACAGGTAATGAGTGTATCGCCTACCAGTTGATAGATTGATATGTTTTAAATTGATGTGGTCTAATACTTTCTTTCGTTATAAGTAAGACGGTGTAGGTTAGTATGTAGAATTCTAAGTTAGAAGTAGGTTTAGTTAGGCTTTAAGACTTTGTCCTAGTTCCAGTCTGCTTCTTTTCTTTCCTTTCCTTCGCCAATAATATCATGCATTTATGGCTGTGCAGTGAGTACGTACCTACCCTACAAGCATCTGATAGAAAATGTAACTGAAACAGGGAAAAACCAAGGAGGAGCTTCGTCATAAGTTATAACTGTGCTTCTGTGGCTAGCCTATCAGACGCGTCAACCGAAGCCACCTTGGAACTTAGTGGCATCCACCATCCCGTCTTATCCACTATTCTGTGTAAGAGGTATCCAGCCACCCAATTTTGTATGCAAAGGTACAAATTCTTCATATATTTCAGGAACCGCTAAGGTTACTTGACTTTTTACCACGACTCTCTGCTTTCAGTTTTGAGGCTATTCGCACCGATATTTTACAGTAAAATGGATCTACAAGAACAGGTCGCCCGGGTATGTCGTCAACGGCTAGTAGTCACGTCACCGAAGATTGAGCCTGCTGAAAGGCTCGTTGAACGGCAACAGGCCCCTTGGCCCCTCCAACCCGTACAAGCGAATCGACGTCCTCACTGGCGATATAAGAACGCCGAGAACACGAGAAAAAAGGCAAAGGAGCTTACGAGGGATCAACGGCACGAGATACAAGTTTTGAAGAAATATCACCCTGAGCTGACGTACCTGGACTTGTCAAAATGGACCGGATTTACGTATAGCCAAGTTCAAAGGGCCCTCACTGGCCCTCTATCGCCACAAAAGCGTGCCGGCCCATATAGAACAAATACATTTAGATGCTCGGATTGCCCCGAGACTTATACTATTGAATGGCTGCCTATTAGCCCTGATTTGAATCCTATTGAGAACCTATTGACCTGGGTGAGAAATTGGCTTGAATTGAATTACAGCATGAGGAATTCGGGGTCTCAGGAATTGAAAGAGGCTATTCTTAGGGCCTGGGAAGCCGTTCCTGAGGATCGATTGATGTCGCTTTCGTTGTCAATGTATAGTAGAATGGGGGATGTTCGAAATAACGGTGGTAGGGAACAAGACTATTGATCTTTGCTAAATCTATGTACTTGAGTCTTCCTAATAGACCTTGTGGCACGCGGTCAACTGTCATGAATTGGGGAAACGGAGTTGATCCTAGTTGCATTACAACAAAAAGGAAGACTACGCGTTAAACATCGTTGAACGCTTTTGAATTGTCCCGGAGGCATACAAAACTCCTCGTCCATTCGTTCCAACATAGACCTGTCCCGCCGTATTTCCACTGCCAGCAAGTTTACAGCTATCAATGGAACCAAATCCTTGACTGCCCTGAATGTCAGTCCAAGAAGCCCCATCATCTGCACTCCCATACAACTTGGCTCCGGCAGAACCTGTACCAAACGCGTATACATTCCAGGTCGTGCCTGAACCGAGCCCGAGCGCGATTTGATAAGTATTCTTAAGGTTCGTGGAGACCTGTGTAAAGGAAGAGCCATAGTTTGTCGAGTGGAAAACACCTACATCGGTTGATACCCAAACATCACCGGCTTTGGTCGGATGGGCCGCGATGTCACGGACTGCAGTGGCGCTGCCCAAAGACTCAGCTTTCGCAAACGACGTCCCGGTATCAGTGCTAACATAGAAACTGGCTGCAGAACCGCCGTAGAAAACGGCATTGTTCTGCTTGTCCGACGCGATGACGGCGCCCGAGGGGAGACTAGAGACTGCTGAAAAGGTGCCTTGATTCTGGGAACGCTGCACGCCGTTCGTCGATGTCGACCAAAGCACCGTGTCCGCCTTGGCAGAATAAGCCACTGTGCCGCCGTTCATATTATTGTCTGCGCCAGAATACACGTTCCAACTCTCTCCACCATCGCTTGATACCGCAACCTGTTGTGATCCGGCCGAGTTGCCAATACGAACGATATTCTTCACCGATGATCCGGCGTAGTCTACACTTGAAGACGTCGACCAGATGGGATTCATCCAGGGCGTCTTCGGGGAGGTCTTTAGGCTGGCTGTGTCTTTGAACGTAAACCCGCTATCATCGCCCACAGCTGCCAGTAACTCGCTTCCTCCAGGTGGCGAAGCGAGGTCCTGAACGGCGAATTCCTCTATGCCGTCGGCGAGCGACTGGATTGAGACGTTGTGGGCTGTGTCCCATTTTGTCAGATCGTGGCCGCCGAATACCGTCAACCCGGTAGAATACAGCCAGTGGTCGCTGTCGAGGGGGTTAATAACCAATGCTTCTATCATCCATCCAAGATCCTTTGTATCCGTGTCAATGAACCCCGTCTTAATCCATGGGGCTTTGGAAGTCTACAGAGGCCGGCATCAGTACATTTTCCCTTTCGGTATCTCATCGAATTACTTACTGTGAGTCCGTAGTAAAGGTTCATGTCCGGGTAGTTGGCCCAAGCCCAGATCTTAGACCAGGTGGCTCCCGAGTCGGTCGATCTAAATATCTGCGCGTCCGGGTACCACGAGTTCAAGCTCGCCACGACAATCGTTCCAGGTTTCTGCATGTCTACGCCGAGCCCGCCAAAGCCAAAATACAGATCGCCGCCAGACACCGGTGTGATGTCTTTCCACGTACCCGCAGAGATGTCGTATCGATATACCGCACCTAGGGTCCCATCATATGGGCCTGTGCCATCGCTGTATGTGAGATACAGCGCCTTCTCTTTCGGTTGAAGGACGCACTTGTGGGGGAAATAGGTGCCCGGCTGCCCCTTTACCGGGTTCCACGTGGTACCCGCATCCTCGGAGACATAGACGCTTGCGGTAGTGTTATCCGCCGTACCGACGAAGATTCTCTTAGTAGCACCGCCAGTTGTGTCGCTCGTAGAGTCAAACGTCACAAATGCTAGCCCTTGCTTGTCCCCATTGTACCCACCGACATCATTAGGGTCAGGAATAAATGTCCCTGCGGCTGTAAACGAGGACACTTTGGTAAATGTCTCACCGCCGTCTGTACTCTTCCACAACCCATTACCGCTGCGGGCTCCAAAGTACAAGATCTTGGAGTTGGCCGGGTCGACGGCAAGACGCTCGCCCATTCCCCGGCCAGGCATATTTCCACCGACCTTGAAAGAAAGGTTAGTCGCCTTCCATGTAGCCCCTTTATCGCTACTACGGATTATAGAGCCAGGTTTCGGGTCCCTAATCCGGCATTAGTAACTCCAGGGTTAACGAATAACTCCAACCGTAACGACATACCAGTCGTTTGTATACATGCCAACCGCAGCGTATACCACATTCTCGTCCTGCGGATCCAGAGCAAGCGCGTCGACGCCCCAATTATGCCAATTATCATGGTCCGTGATGCCGTCCGTAACAGCGGTCCACGAATCGTCATTATTAAGTCGATATAGACCACCGATATCCGTGCGGGCGTATGCGACGCCCTTGGCTGTCGGGTGGAAGACGATACCAGGGACGAAACCGCCGCCGCCGCCGATCTTCACATTCTGCCACGTGAATGCAGCCTCGACAACCGCTGCGAGCAGCTGTACTGCTGCGAGGAACTTCATCGCTAAAACCAGCAGTCGTCTATCCGGGCTTTGCACTTGGTACGGAGGGCAAGCGGCTCTGCGTAGCAAATTTTCTTCGTGGTACGGGTATCTGTGGGTAGGTACCTATTTATTTATCTTCATCTATACGCAATTTGTACCTACATACGCGCTGTCAGGGGGGGGGGGGGGGGGCCGATGTCACCCCACATACATAGGTACCTAAGACAATTCCGGAATGTCATGGTGCCAGGGGAAAAAAAAACACCAAATAGGCAAATTGCTTCTAGAACTCAGGCGAGTCGAGTTTATTTCTACGTGTTAGCCACGGCCCACCGCCTCGCGCTGGATGCCTCATTCGCAAGACGGCGGACGGTTGAGCTGCGACGGAGGGAAATAAGTGGGCACGCGTTATGCCCCGATCAATTATCCCGCGAATAGAATGTCTACGCTCCCGATGGTTCGTCCCGATTTGGCAGGGAGGTTTAGCTTCCGTAGCCGGGTTTGTTTCTCTACATGGTACGTTCAGGGCCCAGGCTCGATAAGCCGACTTGCTTGCTAAGACGAGTCTTATACTATTACGTCGCCTTAAGATCCTTTTTTGACTTATGGAGTTCTTTATATTTACGACTTCGTGGTAAGAGGTAACATTCACATATAACCCTTGATGTGCTACTATTAAACATCTTGGCGACAGGGAAAAGCGAGGGCTTTTTTATATTGTTCTATCATATTGATTCGATAAACCTTTCCTATCACGATGACTTCCAGATTTGAAGTTTGTTTCTTCGTTATAGTGTTTAGCTAGTTGACAGTATTTTCATTTCTAAGTTTATAACCAATCAGATTTCCAGGGTCTATCTCAGCTCTTATTTAGAGACTTGAATTGTTGTTGGAGAGAAAAGAAAAGACAGAGCTTCCATTGATTACTGAATAGATTAGGTACTTTATAGCGCACTATAAGGGTCAAGCGAGCAATCGGTTTCAAAGGTCATGGATCAAATATACTAAGCTATCAGAAACCTGCTGGCGGTGCACTTAATGATATACCCCTATGGCGCTACTTTGATTCCCGGTAGAGCTTTTAGGAGGTGCATCACAGTTATAAATTATAACTAAAATGATATAGTTGATATATTTAGTTCAATAGATATATCGTTCCTTTTGCTAATATACATCAAGATAACAATATTTAATATCTAACCCAAATTACTTTAACCGGGCATGGTCTTTGCTCGCTTGGCCGGTGTCATTTATATCCTAGTTCTTTCAAGCTCTTTAGTCGCTTTGGCTTTTATTGCCTCCAAAGAGTTCATGGCTTGTATAGCACCCATATTTTATTGGCGTGGAAGCGCGATAATAAATACAATACAAAACTCTGGAGGCCTACGGCGGCATCAGTTACATAGAAATACAAATTTTGTTATCTGACGAGCGTATCACAAAGCATTATAGATCTACTACATAATCAATGGACATCTTTAGCATCAGCAGCGTTGGTGATGATTTGCGAAATTGATTGGAAGATTATGAACCCTACACTAAGCGTTTCGCTGAGAAATCCGCCTGGTGTGGCGCAGCTTTGGCTCATCCCTTATTCAACCTTGACCAACTTAAGTGTAAAAATTTGGCCTACTGTAGATTCATTCCAGACAGCTAGGGATAGAATAGGGTAAGGCGTAATAAGGGAGAAGCGGACGGGTGGCCGACATGTAGCCGTCTCAAAACGGGCATAGTGTGGGGTGAACGGACGGAACATCCGGTGACAAACCGGAGTGCAGGTGGCGGCTAGGAGTCATATAGGCTGGAGAAGGAAAGGAGGGGTGGCAGTGATGGCTTGCTTTTCGGTTGGATGACCCGGTTCTCTGCTGCTATTGTCTATGTGATGTTTACCTCCTTTGAAAGGCCGTGGCTGTGAAGTAGAGGATGATCAACGCCAGAGAAGCTGATTTAAGGGCCTGGAAAGGGGTCCCCATACAAGAAACCCTGCACTCTGTACTCTGTTCTATCTATCGTCTAGACAAGGAGGTTCAGCAAGATAGACATTGAAATAAAATTATGTTTTACTTGCTTGAACCACTTGGTTGTTCGGAATTCGGGATTGCACAAATCGTGACTTTGCAGACAGTTCGATGCCAGACGTAGTCACTGTAGATGCACTAATTCATGATAAAAATTTATCCCGCACGTCGAGTGCACGGGTGTCCCAGAGATTCGGCCCTTGCTGCTGATTATCCTTGGCGCTGGTGGGGAAAAACCGAGTCTAGAGAAGTCTTACACCACAGTATATTCTACACTACCTAGGTAGATCTAATACTTGGTTTGGCCCTCTTAAGTGGTTGTAATCCTGAGTGTTACTTTATTATCGTCCTGCTGCGTATCATAAACTACCTAACGCAGACATTCGAATACAATATTTATTGTTAACTAATCCAATTTAAATAGGGGTAGTATATGTACATTAGGTAGGCTTTCCGCATATCACTCGCACGGTTCGCAGTGTCGCATTCGTTGTTGTCGGAGTTGACGGAGTAGCCACAATCAAACGTAACCTGTGGAACCATTGTGTGCCTGAATCGCCACTGACAGATTACCCAACGGGGCCTGTCTACATATGTATACATTAATGGTGGTTTTGGGAGTTGGTGACATAGTTCCACCTATGGGTATGGCGGGTAGGGGTCGAGCGTTGATGGGTTAAAGCTGTTCTATAAGGATTAAAGAAAGATAAAGTGAACTAGACGTCAGTCAATCAATGAGCATGACGAGGCTGGTTATTTTAGCTCATCAATAATCGCTTCCTATTCTAGTACCCAGCAGCCCGTTTTCAAATATGGGGGGAATCTGTACCGACCGCTTATAGTAGTTAATTTCTTGTTATATTAACTACCTCGGTACTTAAAGCATTTGGAACCAAGATTATAGTCACGCCATTTATTACCGTAGGAGCAGTCCCAAGGATCGGTTTGTGGGTACTAAGAACCCGGATACCAGGTTGAATTTGATCCGGTGGCGTGGGAAAACCCTTTCCCACTTACATCCAATCGTCTACATGTTCCTGGCCCGGATGATCCTATAGCCCCTGAATCTATAACCCAGTCCTCGTTTCAGTCCCTGTATCATTTTCATTTGCATACTCATTATAATATGACAGATCATGTTAGGGTCATGATAGGTCTTACCATTGTAGGATACAGGTAATTGTCATCGCTACCACGTTACTTAGGCTTTGCAAGGTTGCATCAGGATTTACTGACGTATACTCTTACCCCTAATTAATTATACCATAGGTATAACGTGTTACCCAATGGTAAGAAGAAGATGATGATGATGTGAATACAGTTTAAACGGTTAAATAATTAAGAGGTTTATATTATCGGTATAATCGGCGTCAAATAAAGAATGAACTATGGTTTTTTAGTTTCGTTATAATGCTCTTAAAGAAGCTCGCGTTCCAGTGATGGGAGCCATGGCCAGCATAGGTAGATAAATGAGCTGTCATATTCTCCGTATACAAGAGCCTCTGAAGCTCATCCAAGTTGAAAAGGTTTTGCGTAAATCGGTGCAAGTATGCCTATATTCTTGATATGGATTGCGCGGACTTGAAATTTAAAAAAAAATCGTACCGTGTATAATTGGTATGTGGCTATTGCTGAGCCTTCCCCCCCCAAACATTCGCTATGCTGTTACCTATTGAAGTTTTCATCTATGCCTAGGTATTTTTAAAGATAATCCATCCCAACTTTTAGTCCCGAGTGACAGCCCATTTCGTCTCAACAGCAATTGCGTTTTTTGCTGGTAACTGGGGAGACGTGGTTAGATTTTTCTCCGACCCAGACTCATCAGCGTACGTTTCCGCCGTAGCATCGTACTTAGTCTCCTCTGGGTTGTAATCGTCCATCTCCCAAGTTGTCATGTTCATAGTGTCCGTCAAGGTATTCGCGTTCTTGCTTCTTTGGTTGGAATGTTTCATGCCTTTAGATCCAATAGTCTGCTGATCTGAATATTCACGCAACTTGGAGGCGCCGTGTGTATTTTGTTTGTATCTGACCCAAAATGGTCGAAGCATCGGGATGCTAACGCAGAGAATAGCTAGGTTGGGCTCTAGGATGAAGAGGAAAATCGTGGTAGGCATTGTGCCTGTGATATTGGTGGTCAGATCCACCGTGGAAATGTATATCACTCGGAAGATGGCACAAATAACACAGCTTGAATTACTGTCAGCAAGGAACCTTGTGGATTAGGAGAAGGGGGAGCTTTACGCAATACCCAACGCGAAGCACGACGTAATTCCAATCTTCTCGGTAGTTCGCGTTTGTAAAGACCAAATAATTTTCATTGGGAGCGCCATGATGACAATGTCTCCGATAGCGTTTGTCACAATCAATGATTGAATCATGGGGATATATGCACCACATTGGCCAATACCAGTCCACTGTCCTGAGATGGGAGCGCAGAGGAAAATACAGGAGCCGAGGAAGGATACAAGCCAGGCCGCCACCAATCCCAAACAGATCCTGGCAGCGCGTTGCATAAAAGGGGTGGCGAAAACGCGTATGAAGAAGAACAGCATGCTCGCTTTTACTGATGCTAATAGAGTGACATATATAACTTGCATACAAAATGTCAACTGGTAGAGTGTAAGCAAAACGTCGTATGTGGAAGTCAGTTGAACATTGATAGAGCTCGTACCTGAAGGATGAATGGAATATTGACCGCAACTAATGAACGGTCCAGAAGTTAGTATTATCTCGGGTTTCGAAGGCTTCAGACATTACGGCCGATGTATCGAAAACAAAAAGAGGCTGAGAAGTTGGAGTCAACTCCGTGGTTTTACGTATGACTTACGTTCTGGATATTCAGGTAAATTGTAGCCATTTCCTACAGGAGCAACTAGGTCAAAATGTCAGTCTGCTTCCCTTTTAATATGATTAACAATTGAAGTCGAAAAGACAAAACTTACAAAGGCCTTGGCATGCCAACATGCCGACACCTAAAGGCTATAAAACGGTCAAAATATTGGCTGTGGCGCATAGGGCGAGGAACAAACCGTCGCGAAGATAACCATATAATCATCCCAACCCAGTCCCGGTCCGTTGAGTCGTCCCAAAACTCTTAACGTAACAGTTGTTAAAACTAGAAAGACCAAAACACAATTGACGGCGAGTTCAGCTTTCACGAAGCCTAGTACAGGCTTGAAAACCTGAGGGACCGCATTGACCGACATATCGATTAACGAAAACCCGAAAACGAAAAATATAGTCAACTTTTAACCTGGAGCGATGGTAAGCATTGTTCTTTATAATAGAAACAATATCCTAGAAAAGGGAGTATGCGGTATCCAGGGTTGTGGCGGCATGGCATCCGATTATCACCCTGAATGACCCATCGAAATCGAGTGTTAATAAACCTGGAGAGCCGCAGGGATACGTAGGCCTTTCTCATGTCTATTGGCGCCCCGTAATTCTCTCAAATGCCTGCTTCTTTTCCCTTGTCTTAGGTACTCAAGTCAACTGGCGGTCTTTGAATTGAAAACTCTTACGTTAATTTAACATAGTAGAATCTCTTATGAGATAGATGTCCCTGATTTTGGTTTATTGGTTTGTGGGATAGTCGCAATACTGTATACTAAACGATAGATCCGGAAGATAGACCAAGTTCCAGCCCTGATATAAGACTTAGATGAACGAATGACGGATCTGAAATGTAATAATCAGATATAGTTTGAATTTAAGATTTTGAAATAGAACCCGAGTAGAAAAGATGGAAGCATGCTACATACTCCAGTATATATGTTGATATATATTACAAATATAGGGTGTTTTAAGTAGTTATGCTAATGACTGCCGAGTGATAAAACCTAGTGTTGCTCCCGAGACTCTAGCATACCCTCGTCAATATATCCTTGCCATTAACACGCACAACAGGCACAGTAAAACAAAAAGGCGTCAGCCTTAGGTACCAAGGCGTTGGTTAGGCATTCGTTCTGGGGCGCAAGGCTGCTAGGAGCCCCTTTATATTAGGAAAATCTCCGATTAGCAAAACCAAAGAGGGGCATTCATATGTAAATGAGAAAGAGTTGTGCTAGCATCTCCACCGTTACATATGTAAAGCAGACCGCGGTCAATATGAAGCTGTGTATGTATGTATGTATGTACATATTCTCGGCGAAGCGGCCGCAACGTCTTACCCACCCGACTACATATGTACTTTACATAGGTAGTCAATCAAGAAACATTCCAAGACAAATTAGGGATTTTCGCAACATGGAGAAACCGGAGAAGGTGTTCCTTAAGATGATTTCTTTTCCGTAAGTAGCATGCGCTTGTCTGTTTGTGTATTAGCTCAAATTTCAAAAGAGGCTCTATTTTAGCTTGTTCGGGCCACGGGTAGCCCGCGGTCGATCTATCACTCACTAGACTAGACGGACTAGAATATTGCTGGCGCGGCCAAGTTGTCGTTATGTAGCGAGGCCGAAAACGAAGACGCAACTAATTAGAAGTTCTCGTTGAGACTTGGACGAAGACTTGGAGAAAAACTAGCTCGAAAACTAGCTCGAAAACTAGCTCGAAAACTAGCTTGGATAACTCAAACTAAGCGGATGCGCTACGGTGATGCGCTATATGTACTATGTACTATGTACTATGTAGAGTTAGTGAGTTAGTGAGTTAGTGAGTTATTAGTGTGACAAGTGTGGACACGCAACTTGCTGTGTTCCTTGTTACGGCATTAGAAACAGTACCTAAATCAAGTGCCCAACGTGTTTTAGCTTTACCAGAAACAACAATCCCATGATTATCAGATGTTATTTCTAATGCTTCAATAAAACATTTACTACCTTAGGTAGGTAGTTATAATACAAGCATCTTATGTTTGCATTCATCATGACTTTATAATAATAATAAGATGCTAAGGTTACCCCAAGATTCCCTACGTTATATATAGGTACATGTATCCGAGATATCTGATGCAATGGCTACGGGTAGCCAAGCAAGCTAGCTACCTGCTAATACAGCATAGCTAAATACCTACCTAGGGACAAATTAACAGCTCCTGGAGTTACACTCAAGTTCTATGGACTTGCAATCTAAAACCTCTCCAGCACATACAGGACCCCCAATCTATCACAGGTAAGAAGAACAAAGTCGAGACCGCAGTTAGGTCATTGCACCTCCTCTTGGAATGGCAGAAGCTAATATGTATGCGTACATAGTAGTATCTACATAGTAGTATCTACCACCTTCAAAAGGGGCATCTCGAAGCATGTGGATAAAGCGTCTAGCCGTTAATCGGTCATCTCCGTTCAACTTCTCCAGATTTGCTCTTGTTCCGCACCTTATCTGTTTTTTGAGCCAGTTGCGCCTTAGTAAATTGCTAGTATACCATTATCTGTCCCAACGTTTCGAAACTTGAAGACGGTGAGGTAACTAAGTCACATAGATCATGGAGATGATCGGAATGTGATACTAATTAAGGCGGTGTACATCGGAGATGCATACTAGATTCGGCGTCGATGAGGCAAACGCCAGCGGTATAAGTATCAAGGTGATGAGAGTTCAAGAAAAGAGTCAAATTCCACAACAACTAACTATCAAATATCATCAACAATGGCATCGTCGTCAACAACTCCTTACACCACGAAGCAATGGGTCCTCGCTTCGAAGCCCACGGGTGCTCCGGTGCTCTCCGGCCCTGATGCAACATTCAAATTGCAAACGACGACACTGCCGAAGCTTAAGGAAGGCCAACTCCTGTGCAAGGTGCAATACTTCTCCAATGACACCGGCCTCCGCAATTTTATCCAGAGCACCGTTGCGCCCGAGCGCTTCTACGTGCCCACGGTCCCTGTGGGGTCGCCCATGCGATCGGGCGTTCTTGCCGAGGTAATTGAATCCACGGCACCGGATTACAAAGCCGGAGATCTAGTTATGGATTATCACCTCGGCACTTGGAGCGAGTTCGTCGTGCTGGACGCCGTTACTCCGCAACGTCTAGCTCCTTTGCCCAACAACCTGCCTCTTACCCATTATCTTGGTGCATTCGGCGCATCCGGACTTGCAGCATACACGGGCTTGGCTTATGCCGGAGGTGTAAAGGCCGGAGACACGGTTGTGGTTTCGGCGGCTGCTGGTGCTACAGGATGCATGGCTGTGCAGATTGCAAAGGTGCTTCTAGGTGCGAAGCGCGTTGTTGGTATTGCTGGATCGGACGAGAAGTGCGCCTGGGTACGCGAGCAGCTCGGCGCCGACGCGTGCGTCAACTACAAGAGCCCGACTTTTGTAGAGGAACTAAAGGCGGCGACACCAGATGAGGTTGACGTATATTTGGACAATGTGGGGAGCCACGTGTTGGATGCCATGTTGACGCGCATGAAGAAGAACGGCAACATTGCCGTCTGCGGCGCAGTCAGTGGGTACAACTCGGATGAGCCTATGGAGCTGAAGAACTGGTTCGAGGTCGTCTCCATGAGACTCAACATGCGCGGGTTTATCATGTTGGACTACCTAGACAAGGTTCCTGCTATCCTTAAGGATATCATTGGCGCTGTGGTGGACGGCAGAATCAAGGTACAGAGTAGCGAGACTATAGTAGAGGCTAAGATCGAGGAGCAGCCCGAGATATGGATGAGGCTATTCACAGGAGGAAACCAAGGCAAGCTGCTCACCAAACTTATTATTTAGAATTAGAGGCTACTAGCTTAATTACCTACCTCCTACGACAACATGAAACGTATTCTTAACACAGTTCTGTCTGGTTCAACTGATCGTCGTCTGTGCACATCTCAATGTGCGTACCTCATTTCTTGGCTAGCCTCGACATCTCCACACCCTTTCGTCCGGCCGAACTTCAGTAGTTCGCGGATCCGTTCCTCTATGTAAGCCCGATATATACATATCAGGCATGAATACAAATCCATGTGCTAGGACGCGACGCGTGTTTGGATCTACTTCTCGGGCCTTAAGCTCACTTATAATCTCGAATTGCCTCCTTGGTGTCCGCCGGCCAAGACAGTAGCTACGAATCCTGTATACAGATTAGTACTAGCTCATCAGCAATTTTCACATGGTAACATACTCTTAGAAAACTTGCTCCAGCTTCACACTGGCATGATGATCCCGGTCCATAACTATCCAAGCGAAGAAGGTATCCTGAAGACCTTTTTGACATACTGATATCGATGACCTCTTAACGTACTCTCGAATCTCAAATTTATAATAGTACCTCCGACTGGACATAAGGTCTTACTCGTTTATGTGCTGGGCAGAGCAGCGTCGAGATAAATTTAATAAGATTTAATCATCGAATCAATCTTATACATACAAAGCCGTCCCGCCACGTTTTCGTGTTTAAGCAGCTAGATCAAGGTATACCTAAGGTATAAGTCAAATTGGCCATTGTGGTTCTTAATAAATGACATAAGACTAAATGACATAAGACTAAATGATACAAGACTACTGGAGTTTAAGTTTCGCGGGATATGAATGCTAATATTGGTGGAAGGTGCAATGCTCAGTTAAACGCATATATAAGATTTCTACCAATTGAAAGTGGAGTATTGGAATCTTTTCTAATACAACATCTTTTCACCTAGGTAGTTACAACATCCAATAACTACAGTATCTAGTCTTGCATAGCTGGTTACGGTCTTGGAAATGGGATATAATCAAGGTATGTAGCAGGGGAGAAAAGTGACAGAACGTACATTCTCACTCGGCCGAATCACCGCCGCCAGCCCTGATCCCTTCTGCGCCTTGAAGAGTGGGCGGCGGCCTTGATGCTCCCGAAGAAGAGACCCCTAGTAGGTCAACAACTGTTGGGGATGTCCTCAAGAAGTCTGGGTTTCTTCTCAAGTTCGATCTACAGTATAGTTACCGGGCAACATCGGCAACACCAAGCCAACTCTCTGCCATTTTTGACAAAATCAAGACCGAAACCAAGATTACTACCGTGTCTGAAATCCCCCTGTCTGGTCAGGTACCGTTGGGAATATTTACAATTGGAGAGTTATTGAGGTAAGAAGATGCTCACCTATACTTAAAGCCTGCCTTTTTTCAATATTCATTCATCTTATATTCACACGCCGACGTGCAGAGATCTATGCCGCGCACCATAGGCGATGTGCTCCGCGAGATGCCTGGATATGAAGCTATTGCTGAGTATCTCGGTACGACTAAGAACGGTAAAGTCGATGATGGCGGGTTCGATGACGACTAGATATTGTTGATGCGTCTGGTGGATTGTCAGTGTGTGAGTAGGTAGGTGCTTAGGTGCTTCAAGTACTCTATAGATAGGATAACACGAATCTGCCGTCATACTATCTTAGACTATGGTTGAACGTAAGGCCATGGATATTGGTGAAGGTGTCGTTACAAAAACTTCAAGCTTGATCAACAACCAACAAAAGCCAAGCAAGACATAATACACATAACCACTCCTCATCATAGGGATATCTATGAACAATGTACATATCAGCTGATACCCGTCAGCTGCTACCCATCAGGATCTTTAAGACGATATCTTTGTGCAACACTCGTCAAGCGATAAAGCCACGAGCTCTTCGGCGATAGGAATGTAGCGGGGTATCAGCACTGCGTTGGCAGCAGAACCCGACGTTGCAGGATATGCAGAACTACAAGCAATTCAACAATTCAACTGATGAACTGGAGAAAAGGGACATCTCTAGGCATTCCTTCGTTGCCAAATATCCCCTTAAATGGTACCTACCCCTATATCCTCGGCTTGCTTTAACTCCTATTTTTGTTAACTCCGAAGATCCATCCTAACTCCGCCATCCCTACATACGACCAACCGTTTCGGAGCCGGGAAAGGGCGAATGAATTTCCAAGTAATGCGATAGCCAATATGTCAGATGGGCAGATCGCTCTATCTCAGAGACAGCTTGTTGCCAGCCCTGAGAGGATTCAACTCCGGACCGAAGAAAGCCCTTTGAGGAGGTAAAATGTTAAACGCGTAGGTTAGTTACTTACACCTCGGAGGATTACCTACCTATCTACCTATGCATTCTCTAACTAACGACGAGCTATTGCTTACACGGAGATAATTAGAGATGATTAGATCCTCCTTTCCTATATAATTCCTCCCCTCCCTCACCGTCTATCATGGCCTTTTATATGATCATACTGAATAGAACAATTAAGTCATGGTTTGATGAATAGCGCCGTCTAGCAACAAGCGTGCGTAGAGTAGAGCTCCCCCTTACTTCAGTTTCAGCCTTTCCTTCAACTCCATCTCCATCTTCACCTCCACCCACCAGCCTCCCCCCCTCCGCCATGCCTCCGATAGCAGGCCATAGCCTCCTGGTCATCGGCGGGACATCCGGGATCGGCGCCGCGGTAGCCAAGCTCGCCGCCGCCTCGGGCCTCGACGTGTCCGTCGCATCGTCGAACCCGAGCCGGGTCAAAAGCGCCGTCAAGGCGATCCAGGACGCCGTGCCCGCCGCCCGCATCAGCGGCTACGTGTGCGACGTGAACCACGACGACGCCGAGTCCAGCCTCGAGCAGCTGCTCTCCGACGTCACCAACGCCAACGGGCGTCCTCTCGACCACATCGTGTACACGGCCGTCGTGCTGGACGTGCGCCCCGTCACCCACGTCAACATGAAGTACCTCCGCGACAGCATGCAGTTCGGCTACGTCGTGCCGCTGCTGATCGCGAAGCTCGCGCCGCGCTACGTCAGCCAGAGCTGCAGGTCGTCGCTGACGTTTACGAGCGGCCGCGTTGCTGAGCGGCCGCGTTGCTGAGCGGCCGGTTAAGGGTATGGCGGTCGTCTCGGGCTGGGGTGCGTCGCTCTTCGGCACCACGCGCGGTCTCGCCCTGGACCTCGCGCCCGTGCGTGTTAACCTCGTGAGTCCCGGCGCTACTGACACCAAGAGCGGCGAGGAATGGACTCGGTGGGTGGAGATGATGGCCAAGACTTCCCTGCTCGGGAAAATCGGGACTCCCGAGGAGGTCGCAGAGGCGTACATTTATCTGATGAAGGATACTAACAGCACGGGAAGCTGTGTAAGTACGAACGGGGGTATCTTAGTCCAGTAGAACAAGAATTGGCATCGAATGCCTGAAAGGCCAGAGTAGTGTCTGATATATGCTCTGAGATATACCAATTAGAAATGAGAATTATAAGTAGGTCGAAGTGGCGGTAATGGAGTTTGATGTTGCGAGCGCAAGTATTGTTATGCTATTGGCACTTTTTATTACCAAGTCTTATTATCCCCCTTTATTTGGGGGTTGAATGGAGGAATTAACTTAGACAGTCACATCTTACTACTGTTATTTAGCAGTGACGTTGAAAAAACACAAGATATTTGCACAAAAGAGATGATGCGTACCATTCATACGTACGTCTAATCACTAAAGCTACAACAATGCTAACGCCCTCATTTCCCGGCCCCGATCTGGCTGACCCCTTTTCAAGTTACAGTTATGAGATACACATCAGGAAATCATCCATGAGTTGTTCAATCCACAACAGAGCAATATTTGATCCAGTAGAAGACATTTTGCCGACTGTGTACCAGTATGAGCGCAGCGCATATTAAAACTTCGGGCGGCGACTGCGTACTACCGGTACGATCTGCGTCTCTATTGCTGACCGCCACCCCCCCGCGGCCTCTTTGCACCATTGCCGATTTCCGAGTCGCCGCGAGGACGTTTGTTCCCGGGTTGGAAATTATCGACCGAGGGATTCAGGCTAGGCCGACCCTGTCCACGCCCCCCACGGTTCCCTGCTCCACCACGGCCACCACCTCGCGCCTGGTTAGGTCCGCTCGGCTTGCGGGTGCCCGCTGTTGGCATTGGAAGACCGGTGGCTTTTGTCGGAATTTGCGATATTGCTGAAGGTTGAGCAGGTGGTTGTGAAGTTACCGATCCTGGTTGGGATGCAGGGTTCTGTGACGTTTGAGCAAAAGGGGTTTGAGGCCTGGAAGCCGACTGGGAGAAGGCATTATTGGCCGCGGGAACGTTTGGAACCGCGCCCGGCTTAGGAATACCGCTAGTCGGGCCCGATTTTGTTTCTTGAGGGTTTGCTACTGTGTTTGTAGGTTGGGTACCAGGAACTAGGGAATTGTTAGTAAATGAACTGACTCCTCGGACAACTGGGGTAGTAAAACATACTCGTTGCGGCGGTCGCCGTTGCCGGAACGGCTTGCGAATCCGTAGTAGTTGGCTGCTTAGGTGCCGGTGGAGGAGGCTTTGCGTCTTTTGCAATTTCCCAAACTTCACCAACAGGTCGCTGTGGTGTATCCTTTGCAGCTGTTTCCACTACAACTAACTTAGCGGCAGCAGCCTGAGCCCTCTTCTCAGTCATATTGAGTTTTAGGTTGCTCTTCGATGTAGCTAAGGCAGTAGCTTGCTCTCGTGCTTGAGCAACCTTTTGTTCCCACTCTGTTTTCAACATCTCTTGCTCCTCGCGCACCTTCTTGGTTTCGATCGCGAGTTTATTTTTAATATTATTCTGAATAATACTCTTGATCGTCGCATTAGTGGATACGAGATCCCGGATCTCCTTGTCATTTAGCGTACTCAAGTTCGTTACCGAAGTTGCAGGCGTCCCTGCAGGAGTAGTAGAAAAGTTTTGTCGAGCCGGGGTGGCGGGCGGTTTCGTGTCGCTAGGCGCGTTGCCGTGTTCTGCTTCCCAGATCTTCCGCTCTTGTTCCATACGAAGCCTGAAGTCTGCCTCTAGTTTTTCAATGTCCTGCTTCATCTGGTCTCTTTCCTCTTCCATCTGTGCCTTATAATCTGACAGGCGTTTGTTTAGAGCCTCTTTCATCTTATCGCTTCTCGTCTTGACTATCTGTTCATGCTTTTCGTCTAATTCCTTGAATTTGGCTTCCCATTCAGCAGCCCTAGCTGCAGCCTCGGAAATCCTCTCTTCGAGAGCTTTGCGCTCGTCGTCGGATAGCGGTGTTGCTGATGGCATTTCCTCCGAAACGGCCGTCCCGTTTTCCATCGTTGTGTCACCGTTGGTCGCTTGAGCCTGGGAATTGGCAATAGCCTGATCCCGTTCCGCGATTGCCGAGCTTAGTTGCTTGCGAGCGTTTTGTAATTCTTCCTCGATAGCAGATTTTTGTGATGAGACGTTGTCTAACTCTGCGCGTACTTCTGCTAATTGACTCTGTAAGGTAGACAACACCTCAGTATCAGACGAATCTGCAGGGGTAGGGGCGGTATAATTCTTTCGTGCCTCATCTTGAAGGGTCTCAACTTGTCGTTTGAAATTATTGATCTGCTCCTCTAAGCCAAGTCTCGCCTTCTTGGATTGTTCCAATTCCCCTTGGGTTGTCGAAAGTTGACCAGAGACTTCGCTTAGCCTTGTCTGAAGCCTGTCCCTTTCAGAGACAACTTCATTCTTGGCGTTGGTAAGGGTTCTAGATCGCTCCTTAGCAGAGTTGATTAGTTTTTCTCGTGTTACGGACCAGTAAGCTTCTTTTTCTTCAATGGTCTTTTCTAACTCCTGTATTCTCTCTTTCAAAGGTGCCTCAGCTTCCTGCAGAGCGTTTCTCTCTGACTCAAGCTTGGTAACCATTTGCTTGAGTTCCTCGACTTCCGCTGGGTCCGTCCTACCATGTTTCGAGAGAATATCCTCTGTTCGCTTTTGCCAGCGATCTCGGTCTTCGTGGAGCTGTTTCATTTCAGCTTCTCTAAAGGCCTGCTGACTCTGAAGTTCCTCAATCTGTGCCTCGAGGGGCTGAATAGTAGATTCCAATTCTGAGATCCTGGCAGTCTTCTCGGCTAACTGGGCCTGCGCTTGACGTGCTTCCGTCCGCAAAGCGGCGCTACTTTCTCGGAATAGGTTGAGCTCTTCTAGCTTGCTCATAAGATCTTTATGGGCTATAGAGCTTCGATCGCTGTCACCCTGTGAACGGCGTTCCTGCTCAAGCTTCAGCCTAGCATCGTCGAGCTGCGATTGCATATATTCGAGTTGTTGTTGCAGTCTCTTGGCCTCTTGCACTTTAAGATCATACTGTACTTCTAGGATGTCTTTCTCGCGACGAAGATAATTGCTCAGTTCTCGGAATTTATCAGCATCGGAACTGCTAGGTTGCGCGGCAATGGCTTCGAGTGACTCATCGGTAGAAGTCCGACTTTGCTGTAGGGCTGAGACCTGTTTTATTACGTCCTCCAGTTGCTGATGAAGTAGCTTATTTTGTGCACTGGCATCATCTCTACGAGCACGAAGTTCAGCGATTTCTCGTTCGAATCGTTGTCGTCGTTCATCCCAAGAACTTTGGCTCTGTATCAGAGTGGTTTTCGCCGATTCGGCTTCTGCTCTCCAGGTTGCCGAAGAAGTCTTCAGTTGGTTGTATTCGCCACGAAGATTGGATAGCGATTTCGCAGTTTCTCCATGTTTCATAACCTCACTTTCGTACGCTTGCTGAGCGTGGGCTGCGATCTCGGCCTGTGCACGAAGGTCTTGCTGATGGAATTGCGAAGATGCTGTGTATCTTTCCTCCTCATCCTTCAGGCGCTTAATTTCTTCATCAAGAATAGCTTTCTCATCCTCGAACCGTTTAGCGATCTCGGCCTGAGAATCACGCAGACTCGACAATTCGCTATTAGATCTTGTCAATTCTGCCGATAAGTCCTCCACTCGCTGCTCGAGTTCCTTGATCGTGGCATCTTTAGCTGAAATTGCCGCATCCATCTCTTGCTGATACTGCTCCTGTGTAGAGTTGATCCTCTCAAGCTCCTCTTCCGACGCTTGGCTCAATTCTTTGTACCTTTCAACCTGCACTTGGGCGTTCTCCAGATGTGACTTCGTCATCTCTAGGTCGCGTCTGAGATCTGTTACCTCATGAATCAGATCTTGTATGCGCTCATCGGAATCAGCTTGTGCGATGCCTTGTTCAGATACAGGGACGATGGATCCCGGCCTTGGAGTAGGTCTTGGCTGGAGTCTTTCCGCGCGCTCCTCTGCACTTCGTAATTGGATGGTTAGCTCGTCAACTCTGCTCTGGAGATGATCTCGACTGGTCTTAGTAGCCACAAGTTCTTCGCGGATCTGGCTTAGGTTTGTAGTGAGCTCGTCAATCCGTTTCTGGAACTGTTGAGCATCGTATTCCTTGCGAAGTTGTGCCTTCTTTCCCTCCTCAACTTCGTCAGTTAACTTTCGTCTAGTGGCATTAAGATCGGCTTCTAAAGAATCAATTTGGGATTGGAGACGTCGTTTCATTTCGGATTCGCTCAGCTCGCGTTCGTTCTGGAGAGTCTGCTGCGTAGCGACTAAGCCATTTAGACGCGACTTCTCCTGCATCAGACTCTCGTTGTCTTGGCTTAGTCTATCGTGGATATCTTTCAACAATTTCTTCTCTGCTTTGAGGTTTGCATTTTCACTACGCATACTTTCAAGTAATCCTCGGGCCTCGACCAAATCCTCAGCCACTTGCTGCGTGCGTATGTCTTGCTTCGCGGCGGACTCGGACATTGTTTGATTTCTCTTCTGGAGCTCCTGGTTCTCGCTTTGCAGGGCGGCAAAGTTCGACTGTAGAATTTCATGCCGCTCTGATGCAAGAGAGAGTTGGCTTTGTAACTTGGAAACCTCGGCTTGGAGTGAATTTCTCATTGCAGATAGCTTCTCTAGTTGCTCTTTCATGGTTTTGCGGTCAACCGTTTGCTCAGTCCGGTAGAGATCGAAATTTTGCTGTAGATCCCGGAGTAGAGTGGTGTAATCAGAACCATCGTCGTTTGCGGTAGAATTTTGCTCGATGCTAGCAAGAACCCCGTCCTGTGTAGAGCGGCCTAAGGCCGAAGCCATTTCATCGGCAGATGCTCTCGACTCCACTATGCGACGGAACATGTCTCTCTCCTTTGTGATGCTCTCAGTCTTCACCTGGAAACCTCTTAGTGTGTCCTTAAAGATTTCTAGCTCTTGCTCAAGTCGAACACGTTCCTTATGGTCCTCCATTGCCTGGCTCTTAGCGGCAATGGCTTCCTCATTCTCCATTCTCTCCGCAAGCTCATGGGTGACCTGGAGCAGCTGTTCGTTACGTTCTTGAAGCTCTTTAATATTCTTAAAGACGACTAAACGTTCGAGGATCGAAGTATGAGCATTCAACTCCTCGTCTCCTATCTGTTCATGTAGCTGACCTCTCTCCAGCCTCTGGAGTATCAGCCTCTCGTCCGAAGTGAGCTGGTCCAGGCCCTTCTCGAGGCAGTGCACGTTGAAAGTCAACATTTGGATCTGGGCGCTGAGGCTCTTCACTTCGTATTGTAAGAGTGTATTCCGCTTCTCAGCATCGGCTGCGGCCGCCTCGGCCTTGCGTGCAGCCTTCTTGGCGAAGTCTCGCTCCCTGAAGCTTTCATCAGAAAGTTGGGACATTGTCTTCATTTCTTGCTGAAGACGTTCATTATCAGCCTGAAGCTCCTCCAGCTCCGGTCGCTTAGCTTCGAGCTGGTCAATAACATCGTCCAACTCCTTTGCCAAATTGCTGCTGCGAAGCTTTTCGGCGTTCAGCTGTCCTTTGACTTTGTAGAAATCTTCCATTAGTTGTGTCGCCGAGAATGATTTTCGCGTTGAACCCGGTGTCGCAAACGGTGAGCCGGAACGGAACAGTGACCCGTTCAACGGTCGTGGAGTCTGTGGTGCGGAACCAAGTTGTGCAGGGCTACCTGCCGCGACCATGGCCTCCAAGCGACCAACTTCTTCTCGGAGGGATTCGATCGCCTGGGAAAGCTCATCCTTATCTGAATTGGCCCTAGCAAGTTCTTCGCTGACTCGGCGGATCTTATCTTCACATTCACGTTTCACCTGCTCTTCCCTCGCTTCGACCTCCTGGACCCGTTTCTTGTGCGTTAATGTCTGTTGCTCCTTCAAGTCGACCAATCGTCGTAGGCTATCACATTCCTGTCGAAAATCTTCTTCTCTGCGACCCGCAGCTTCCTGTAATTGCTGAATTCTGGTAAGAGCATCATCAGCCTTCTTCTGTGATTCGTCAAGACGCTGGCGGAGCTGCTGCTCAGTACGCTTGAGAGACTCCACGTTGGAAACTGCATCGTCATTTAGGCGTTGCAATTCGGCAATACGAGCTCCCTTCTCTTTCCGATACTTGAGCGCTTCAGCAGATTTATTTTTTAACTCTTTCTCGAAGAAGTCACTGCTATTCTGAGCCATCTGTAGCTGTTGCTGTAACGACTGCTCCCGGATCTTGGAGCTGCTCGCCGCGTTATTCGCATTCTGTACCGACTGCTGCAACGTTGTAATTTCTTGATTTAATTTCAGATTCTTCTGGTGTTGAGCCTGTAGTTCTTGTGAGAGCGTTTCGTTTGCGGAGTTCTTAGTGTCGATTATTGCAAGCGACTCTCGGTTCGAAGTCTCGAGCGAAGTAATGCGCGCACGGAGTTTATCGATTTCGGATTGGGAAGTCGAACTAGATGACTTAATGGACTGTAGCTCGTTCTCCAACGCCTGACGGGCAGTTTCTGTTTGCTAACATGAATATTTGTGATCTCGGAATAGAAGTAGAGCGGGGTTTACGAACCTTCATTCTTGAGTTTTTGGCGAAGCTCCTCCACATCCTTGAGTGCCTTTTTGGCAGTCTCATTGCTTGCATCGCGTTGGGCTTCTGCGCTACGTACGGAGGTCTCGAGCTCAACTTCTAGCTGAAGCTTCTGAGTAAATAACGCGTCAAAATCATGGCCTTTAGCTGCGACAGCAGATAATACGGCCCTGACAAGGTCGGCGGTAGGATCTGTAACGACGGTCGTGAGGTTTCCCTCGGGCATACCCAGGTGGGAAGCCAGGTAGCTGAGGTCTACCACCGCAGCTGCCATTTTGTCAAGTGCGCTTTTGGGATATGGCCATCAGGAGATGATATAGTTGTTCGGTGAGTTGGTTTCTCCGCTGGTATGCTTGATAAAATCTTCTCAACGTTGTGGGTAGACAGACAGGAGAGATCGTAAGTAGTGTCGACGATACAGACAGTAAGAGAAAAATTAAATGCGACGATACGGATTAAATAAAAGAGAAATTTGGTCAAGGAATGAAATCAGGGCAGAATAGACTGAGAAAAAGACCATCAATCCATCAATTCATCAATCAGTCAAGTCATCCAACACTGTAGGGGTGAAGAAGTGTTGACTGTGATGAAAGAGGCAAAGTGTGAAAATGCGAAAAGTAGAAAGTTCTGCTTTTCTTTTTACAAAGAAACGAGAAACGACACACACGTCTGCACTAATCAAGAACAAGCTGCTTTCGGTGGTAGGCGCGACGAGGCTGCCGCTCATTGTTGCTTCGGGTGCATACCCACGCTATGCCTAAGCTAAATATGGCAAGCTTAAAGAGCTTTGACCATTATGTAGGTAGGTACCTACCTTAGGTCAGGTAGTGTAGGTACATCTGAAGCTAACTAACCCATGTATTTGGGCAGCCCCCATATTAAAATGTTACTTATCACTTATACTTATCACTTATCAGTGCTCATAACCCATTCAAATCATCCTCGATCTAAATTCACAAGTCAACAGTCGTTTTCACCAGTACCTACATTAGGTGCCCATGTATAATCCGACAGCTACTAATTCACTCTTTCTGGTTTTCTCTACGAGATAGTATCAAGCCGGTTGATAGTAGCTCATTCCTAATACTTCGTCATCTTGGCATAAAAAGCAATAAGGAATGCCTCCCTTAGGCAGCATATCTTCTCTCGTATCACCAACATAATATTTACCTAGTTCCATTTATCATATTAACTCCTACCAAATTTTGGTTTCTTAAAGGGCATAGATAGCTCCATTTTATTATGTATGTCCAATTATTAAATATAATATGTATTATATTCCCTTCATTACTTACACTTCCACAGCAGTCTCCAGGTGCCATCAACTATTGTCCTTTATAGCCCCCGTCCACCTCGTGAAGCCCAGTCACAGGTCCGGATTGCCACCCCATACCCTCGAGTTCTGACCTGGGTTGGCCATGCGCTTCGTACACTCGAGGTTCGGTTTGAGCTGGAGCTTCGTGTACTGGTTGACCATGTGCCTCTTGCGGAGTATATGGGGAGATGGGACTTGGCATTTGTGACGCATGATTCTGACCACGTAGCTCGGGTATCTGTGGAATAGGCGGTTGAGGATAACCGCCATGGCCCTGGAGCTCTGACGTATTGGGTGAGCTATATGCGGACACTGGCGAAACGTTGTCTACCCGGGTAACTTCTTGGGTTTTCAGCACATCTGGATTTTGGCTACCATCAAGCTCAGGTTTCCCGCTGTATTCCGAGTCAACAGGCTGTGACATCGTCTGACTACCGTTTTGGCTATGCCTCCGTTGTCGCCAGAAGAAAAATATCGCGAGTCCTATAAGCGCAAGAGCGGCCAAGACCCCAACCACAACTCCAACAATTGTACCCGTATTAGATTTATTAGCAGAATCGCTACTCGACACTCCGGACTCTAAAGGCCTTCCACCACCTTCGGAACTTAAACTTCCAGATCCCCCTGAAATCCCGGTCTCTTTCGGTCCAGAAGTCCCGGTGTTCGAAGTAGCCATTGTTTGCTCCACTATTGCGGTTATTATTTATATGAAATGAAGAACCACGCATTGGGCTTACAAGATTCGGTAACTCCAGCTGGAGTTGTTAGCCCCTTGGCAGCACTGCAATATAGGTCAAACACCAGTAATGCTGAACTGACATCTTCGGTCGCTGTCGAATCACATGAGTATTTCACGTCGGATGTGATGACATTACGCATAGAGCCAGACATGCTACTTTTCAGACAAGCGCATGATGCGAGGGCCTTTGGACCATCGGGACAGAGATCATAGGTTTGCTTCGGAGATAAATGTCAGACTTCAAATGGCAATTATATGCAGGATTTATGATCTTACACTTAATACTCCATACGACACTGCAGATTGTGCGCAAGGGGCCAGCGAGCTATATTCAGGTAGCGCGGTAATATAATATGTCACTACCCTATGCATCAATAAATATTCAAATAAGACGAGAAGATGGTCTGTGACTTACTGTCGCCGGGGGGGTCCGAAGTCGTTGGGAATGACGAGGTTCCTTTGATCAGCCCGCAGTAGCCTGAGAAAACGGCTTGTGCCGAGTCTATATCCTCAACATGGGACGAGCATGAGGATTTCACGGACTTGTTGATACCCTGACTAGCGAGCAAAGAATTCTGGTTCTTATTGCACACACATGTTGCAAGAAGGCTCGGCTCTGCAGGGCATAGATCATAAGTCTGCCCCCCAATATTAGATGGCATAATGATTATATCAAATATCTAGGTGAAACTCACCATACTCCTATATTACGGTTAGGGGAAAAGTCTTCAACAAATACAAAGTTTAAGCAAACTACTAAAACTCACTGGACAACGTAAGATAAACCACTCGCGGCGCAAGGCGCAAGATCCTGCCACGCCGCAAAGTCGGTAATATATTGTGTGACCGGATTAGAGGGAGTTGGGAAGGGTGTAATTGACGCCTGGTTACAGTATGCGTTAAACACGCTCGCCGCACTCGCTTGGTCTTCAGACGCAGTCGAACCACAACTACGGCTAACCGAACTCGAAATTCCTGTCGATATCGAGGCGAAGTTGTTGTTCTTGGTGCAAACGCATGATTGAAGATCCGTTACTGCTTCGGGGCAGTTTTGGTATGTTTGCGCCTGGACATTCTCAGATACTGCGGCCGCTGCACATGGGGCCTAGGTACAATTAGCATCATCTTCAAATAATCGGCTGCCGGTCGAATCCGGATCTCTGAGCTTATTATATATTCTGGCTCATGAGGTCTCTCTAACAAGATAACACTATTAGTGAATAAACCAAACTTACCAATACGGTGAAAATAGAAAGATCAGTAACATAAACAACCTCCTGCGCTCTCGCAAATGATGCACCTAAGCAAGCCCAAACGAGCGATGACCGTAGATGAGGCATTATTCCCGCTTTTTCATAACCAGGCTCGAGAATAGAAAACCTTAAGAATGCCTCCTAAGGTAACTAGGTGAATATAGCACCTAAGATATACAAAGGTAGACAATACAGGTTAAAAGCAAGAAAGGATTGATGCAATACACCAAGAACCTGGCGCCGCAACCCTCACAGGCAGTCAAACGTCGACTTTTCTATCGGTTTCTCGAGGGACCACTCCCTATCTATGCCACACCGCGTGCCCTTGTTCACGAAGCGCCATACCCCTGACAGCTGAAGACTGGCGACGTCCGCCAAGTAGCCACGAGAGCGCCATTTTGCCCGGCTCGGGAAAAGCTGAAAGCTAGGGAAGATTGATGGAGCCACTAGCTGCAGATGAAATATTAGCGGCGGTTTTGAGATAAATGAGTTGCCCTTCAGTATCCGCTAGGTTAGTACTAACTTCGTGACAGAAATGCTAAGACTTGATCCACTTAACCTACACGTCTCCTATTTCTTTACTGTAGCTGTAAAGCTGTCAAAAATATGAATAGGTAGTTTGAGAAAATGAACCAATTAGCAACTGATGGCGGGTTAAGCCCATCGGATTCTTCTCAGGCCATTTAGGACCCTTAATATATTAATAAAAAGTTGTATAATATCAAACTCCGATCCCTTAAGATTTATTGGGATAAAATACGACGTGTTTGGTTATATAATCGTAATAAGCCCCCCACGGACTTTGTAAACTACGGCGTGAAATATGATAGTTAACTTCAACGACTCTTTCACATTTCCTACCATATATATTAGGCTAGGAGGTACTTAAGTCTGTGGTTAATCAAACCCTCGTTTTGAATGCGTGAGAAACCCGTCGTGTATGATCAGGTAGGTACCTATGAATATAACATTACCTCATAGTTCCCGTCACAACAGCACACTACGAAGTGCTAATGGCTGTTGGACTTGCCGGCTGCGGCGCAATAAATGTGATGAAACCCGTCCTGCATGTGACGTGTGCGCTGCACTCCACATCACCTGTCACTACGATCAGGATAAGCCAGAATGGATGGATGGCGGCGCAAGACAGGAAGAGATGGCTGAGCGTCTCAAGCGCGAAGTTAAAGAAAATGCCCATCTCCGCCGCGAGGTCCGCGCGATCCACGCCCCGGGCGAGTTTCTCAGGGCAACGACACCGGAAAGTCTCAACAGTGAAAAAGAACCACGCCCCGAGGTATCCGCCATCCGTCTTCAACGTGGGGCTGACTGTAAAATTGTCAGGAAAGACATTAACGACAATGTATCCTTTGGTCGATCTTGTACTGTTCTTATCACGTTCTACCTCGAAAACTTACTTCTATTCTTATTCCCCTTCTACTGCCCTTCTCCCCTCGAAGGCGGTCGGTTCTAGATCTTAGAGCTGATGTTAAGCAGTCCAGTAGTACGAAAGGCCACTTTATATCAATCTTCATACTTCTTCTCCCTCGCCCAGGGAACAGCTAATCACGATGCAGTCTGGGAGACGGTGCTCTCGCAGACTAGAGATGCATTTGGGGTGCTGAGACAGTCACTGCAGGTTATCGACGGCTCAGGCATCACCGAGCACATACACGGCGCTGTGAGGATTATGGCAAGCATCATGCAAATGCAGCGTTTCGAAATCACTATATTATGCTTCGATAACTGTCAAGCGCATCTAAACACCGGCTTGGCTCTGTTCAAACAACTTCTCGAGAGCCCTGGCTCAGTCGAATCAACAGGGCTTAGCTCAAACTTCAACGCTGTCGTAGATCGTCTAGGGCCGCCAACAGGGATTTCACCCGCCCAGGATGTGAAGGTTCAAAGTGCCGAGCAGGCCGCTTTCGTTTCTCCTCTGCCCTTTTGATCTTTGATGGCATCGTTGCTAGCATAATTCTTCAGGAGCAGCCTAGACTTTACGAGTATCAACGCTGCCTCCTGAGCGATGCCAATGGCACCGATCCCCTGGTCAATCTTGAGGCAGTTGTGGGATGTCAAAATTGGGTGTTGTTAAAGATTAGTGAAATCTCCGCGCTCGATGCATGGAAGAAGCAGTGCAAGAGAACATGAAATCTCGATGTCACAGACCTGGTCCGTCGTGCCACAGCTATAAAGGACTTTCTAGAAACTCATCTTGTTCGGCTTGAAGCCGAGTCGTCCGCCATTGCACAAAGTAGTAGTAGCCTATTAGATGCCTTCAACGTGCCTTATTACCAGCAATCAAAGACGTCTATTTGCCAGAGTCGTTTGACTACACAGGTCTAGGCTCATGCGGCCTTACTTTATATCATCATTGTTATTTCCGGATGGCAGCCCGCCAGCGTCGAAGTGCGTTACCATGTTTGTCGAGTCATCGACATTTTAGCACACGCAACATCGCCAAAATCGTTGCTACGTACGATGGTATGGCCATTGTGCGTAGCAGGCTACCTCGCAGAGCCAGCACAGGAAGCTGATTTGTGCAAAATAGTGGTCGCGTTGCAACCGCCAAGCGTCTTCGGTACGGTACGCAAAGCGCTTGAGATTATGGAGAATGTATGGCGCAACAGAGACACAAGTGATTCTGCAAGCCGCGACCTTTCTACGTGCTTTAGAAGTCAAGGTGAACTAGTATCACTTGTTTGAAGACAGTTGGGGAAAATGTAAGTGTGAAAACCTCTTTAGGGCACAGAGTTTGGCCATTTACATCGACGTAGACTTTAACTTCTAACTATGAAGATTCCCCAAGTTTTCATTCCGGCACGATCTTGTTGCTTAAACTGGACATAGCCCTTGTCCTTCACAAACGTGGCATGCCACGGCACATTTCCCTCATGATTCGCCAACTGCGCAAAGAATTCGCCATGCGCAGCACCATCGAGTGCAAGCCCCTTACTCTTACCATCTCCTTGGCGCTCATAAGCATGGAAGTAATCTAACGGGCATATAATGTTAGAAATACTCTGGACAGAACCTTTTATTTTTCTTGGGGGACTTACTAGAACCCCCGAGAAGAATATACCGTGTCCGCAACACCGACCCAAAATGCCGACGCCGACTTGCCCATGCCTAGATCTAATATAAGGGGCATCGAAACGACAGAGACGTTCAGGATATTACTAGTGTATATAAATGTCTTTTCAGCCTCCTTGGGTAACGTTGCCCACCCAATGACAGCCTATTGGGCTGCGACGTAGGGACTAACAGTGTTGACATTGAGATACGACACTGCCCGATGGGATCGAAAAAATGGAGTCCTTGTCAGGAGGGTTCGTGAGTGCTGCTGCGTTGTAGACAAAAACACTGGGAGCTTTCTTAAACTCGTTCTTCACTGCATCGAACAGCGCCGGAACCGAGTCGGGCTTGGTGAAGTCTGCTCTGAGTGAGAGAAACCCTTCAGTAGTTTTAGAGCCAGTGCCGCTCCTGGAAGCGATAGCAACTTTATAGCCGTTGCTAGAGAATTTCTGAGCGACAGAGGCGCCGACTCTAGGCCCAGCTCCGAGGACAAGTGCAACGTTTCCCGACATTGTGCTTTGATAGTTAGTGATAAAGATGAATCTTAAGGCTCTAAGTTTATAGAAAAGCTAAGATATGAAATGGAAGATGGACTTATCTCGAAGTTGATATGCCCCCTATTTATATCTACTGGAGTCTACGTTCAATCACGATATATCCGAACACTCCGCCATCTTTTATAAATTACGGATTTATAATCCTACTATTCCGAAGTGCGAGGTCAAAGGTCGAATAGGGCGAATTCCATCATATTAGTCCATCAAAGCCATCATGTAAAATATAACCCATTCGTAATCCAAAAGAGCTGTGATTGGATGCAATAGACATTGCCTGTTAATTAACACCCATGAGCTGAGGAAGAGGGCTAGGAAGCTAAACTTCGTCGCGCGGGGGAGTGTTTACTCTACAGGATGTTGAACTTCCAACATGCATGACCGGCCCTTCACATCGTATACCATCTTAGTAGTTTTCCAAACTTCTATGCTCTGTATATCTAAACAATTTATTTGTCAGCTCGCGGTCCGAGTGATTCGAATATGCTACATCTGGCTGCTTCTGTTTATAAGACCTATGAAGGTCAAGGAAAGATTAGGCTAGACATCGCCCGTCATGTCCTTGGCGTTGCCATCCTATAATTCTATTGTTCGATCAAGGTACATATATTTTGCAATTCTTCTTGTAAGTTTGTCCATACCGCTTGTCTGCCGCATCTGCCAGTCGTACACGAGTACTATTATAGGATATCCATAGGTAGTTGAGCCTCTCCACATTCTCGCATCCACAATTTCCTAAAATCCCATTCAAGTACACTAGGTTAGGTTAGTAACGGGCACGAAGTTGGAGAGTGTCTCCATTTCTTATTATTGTTATTATATAACCAAAAATAAAAAGAGAAGTATGAGGGAACTAAGAAGTATCATGCCAATCCTATAGGCTGTATCCATTGTTGGCACGTGACTAAATAAGTATTGCCGACTTCGCTCCAAGAGGTATTAGTTATCTTATTACCATGATAAATTCAATCCACTACATCGCGTATTTCATTATTTCAAACTAGATTTCATCTCCATAGATGATTCATGTCTCCGTCATGGCTTGTGTAATACGCAATTTATTGGCTATGCGTTGCCGCATAAGCCGTCTTACACCTACTACCCAAGTCCAATTTCATATGGGTGGACGGTTATCTTCATCGCCGTCTAGAACGCCGCAATATTTTAGCACTCAAGCTACCGACCAACAGGATGACCGACTTACGACCCTAAAAGTGCAGAAGAGCAGACTAATGGATGCATTGCATCATACGTGCTCTTTCGGGACAGGCAAGCGATGGGGAAGGCAAGTCAATTTCTAAAATCGATATTCTTACATGACAACATACTAATGTTGTATGCCACCAATTACAGCGCGTCAACCGAGACAGGTATGTCACGGCTTGCATTGAGTGACTCGGATAAACAGGCTCGGGATTGGTTCGTCAAGACAACCAAAGCTTTGGGATGCAACGTCACTGTTGATACTATGGGTAACATATTCGCTATCCGACCTGGTCGACGTGAAGGACCGGCGACTTTTGTTGGATCTCATCTAGATACACAGCCGAGCGGTGGCCGTTATGATGGGATCCTGGGGGTTTTAGCTGGTATCGAGATGCTCAATGTACTACAGGAACACAAGGTGGAGACCGAGTTCCCAGTTGGCGTTGTAAACTGGACTAAGTATGTCTGGCCCTATCTCGGGGGCTTTGTTACCTCAAATTGGGCTATATCTTGAAGGGGAATCGAACTAATAGGTTACAACAGCGAAGAAGGCGCTCGATTTCCCATCAGCATGCTGTCTTCAGGGGTATGGGCTGAAGAGATCGCCCTCGACCGCGCTCATAATACTCAGGAGGTAGGCGGGGGTACTGCGACGGTAAAGTCTGAATTAGAACGAATTGGATATCTCGGTTCAACACCGGCGAGCTACCAGAGCATTCCCATGGCCGCTCATTTCGAACTTCATATTGAGCAAGGCCCGATCTTAGAAACGGAAAACCAAAAGGTCGGAGTCGTAAAAGGGGTTCAAGCTTATAAGTGGTTCACTGTCGACATTCATGGACGAGGTACTCAATCCGTGCCTATTTCTAGGAAATTAAAAAACCGAGTGATTGTGAGCTGACTGTATGGGACTACTAGATGCACACACAGGTACTACGCCTCTAAAAAGCCGTGCTGATGCGATGCTGCTTGCAGCACGCTTGATCACCCATTCGCATCGCCTAGCAACTGCGCATTCCGCAGTTGCTTCGACAGGTATCCTCACACTGAGCCCCGGCAGCACAAACACGATCCCTGGACACGTGAGCTTCACGCTTGATGTTCGTGCGCCTACTGATGCTACCGTCGATGCCATGGAGGCTGATCTAAAGAGGGACTCCGCAGCGCTGGCTGCGGGCAACGATATTGGGGGACTTCTCGCCAACTCGACGCCAGGGAAGCCGCTAAGTGTCGAATGGAGAACGGACTTCGTCTCTCCCGCTACGATATTTCACCCAGACTGTATTGCCGTTGTAAGAGCTTCCGCCGAGGCGGTCACCGGCAACAGTAGTTTAGTGCGGGATATGACTAGCGGAGCTGGACACGACAGCGTATATGCTAGTCGGCAATGTCCGACGAGTATGATCTTCGTTCCGTCGAAGAACGGCGTTAGCCATAACCCCGAGGAGTACACTAGTCCCGAAGACTGCACAATAGGTGCAGATGTTCTTTTGCAGAGTGTACTTAGATATGACCGTATAAGGGCCGACGGTAAGGGACAAGTTGTCTAGGTCTCTCCATGGGAGAATGCAGATATCAAAGCTGACACGACGAACGTTTCCGTGTATTGGTATGGAAATCACCGTAAGTACTATTAATATAGTATATAATAGTCGGTAATAATTGACTTTATGACCCGACGACTGGATTTCCTAAATGTTATTTTGGGCTGTTTCTGCTCTTAGAGGGCTTGATGTTTGAAATATTCATAATAGGAGCTACACCGACTCAATCGAGGGGGATGCCCTTGGCATATTGTAATTCCGATGATGTTGTCATGGGGTCATGTCTTGTATGCTAGGTCTGGACAATCCAAAGACATTATCTACGACATGGCTGCAGATTCCTGATTATGACTGCAACGAGTTGTTTAAGCTTCAGCTTGAGGGGGGCGAGCCGAGCAAAACTTTATATACCGTGGCAGGGATGTTGTAGTTTCTTCAAACATTAAGATGTATATGAAATTCAGTCTTTCATCTGTCTGACGTTCAAGTTAATGCGCTTATTCCGCATCCATCCTTTCCATTCCTGAAACTTGTCGCCTTCGGCCGGCCAATCGGCTAGGAAATCTGGACAGGTGCCTTTAAGAACCTTTGGTACGCCATGCCAAGCATATCGGGATTCTTGGGTCATGTAAATGGCATCTCCGGATCGTAGTCGCAGAAGAAGGTATGGCTTCTCGGAAGCTTCTTTACCGGCCGATATGTGTTTATAGCCATTTGGCGCGACCATAAATAATGCATCACAACCTATGCTGAGACTTACAAGACCCTTGTCTGATTCCTCACTAACATCTCGATGCATCATCATCGTGTCCCCTGGGCTATAAAAGTTGACAATAGCGGCCTGAGCAGCAGTATCCGGGAAGAGGGTCTGAAGGAAGTTGGCAATATCATGAGGAAAATCAGGAGGAGCTTGATTAGGATATTCTCGATTGGACCAATCGTATTGCCCCCCGAGAGTGACCCAAGATAACCGCCGTTCAAGGACTTGCTTGATAGACAGCGACTTGTGAACGGTCGGGTCTTTGGGCAGAAACTTCGCAGATGCTTCTGGAGAGTAAGAGAAGAAAGACCGGGAATCAACATCCGCCTTATCTTGTTCTTCTAAGTAGGGAAGATCATAGTGTAAGTGTAAGTTAGTCTGGTGGGTAGGATTGCTTAGATCCCTATGAACCATGCGGTATAACAATGCTTTTTGCGTTCTTGGGGGTATTAGAGAGGGAAATATAAGCAAGCCTGTAATCTGGTATGAGAATAATCGCCGTAATAGTAACGAGTAGGCTTACCTGGGAGTAAAGGATGAAAATAGAAAGGAGCATCTTCAACGCTTTGGCTTCCATCCCAGTCACTACCTTCGAGTTGCTTAAAAGAAGCCGTGAGATTTTCACTTGGGATATGCCCTGCTAGCTTGAATGCGCCCACAGTGTTCGGGGGGTCTAGCTCATCTATGTCCGGATGACTCGTGAATTCCTCATGGTCAGTCCTCGAATATCTTTTCCACGTAGCCTTGAGCTCTCCATCTGGTTGCTCATGGGCGTCTAGGGTAGTGAGGTCAAGGGTCATAGTGGGCGAAGACGTAGGAATAGGTATTTGTGTAGATAGATTAGATAAGATACCAGCAGCACCCTTTTCCTTGTTTGTAGAGTTAGGGAGTTCGATCATGACATTTTTCATGCTCGGATGTCCCTGTCACTTCAATTGTATGCATGTGAAATGGAATGTATGCATTATGTAGAAATTACATTGTAGTGATAAGATACGGAAGAGTATTATGTACCGCATGCAGGTTTAAAGCCGAAAAGATACATGTAGGTACCTAACCTAATATAAGGTACACACTTGCATAGGTACATACTAGATTAGACGTGTATGTACATGATGTATCATAGCTGCTTATATAAACGTGCATTAGCGGCCTGAATCCCGAGCCACAAACGCGATTTGGCCTTGTTAGCCACAAAGTCGGCGCGTGTCAAAAGTTAGGTATGAATCCACTGTTTACCTGTATTATTGGAAAAACATCCACACTCATGAGCTATAAAATCCCAATTTCAGCCCACATACCGCCAACAACCCTTCCACCGATCCTCGCAGCAAACTGAACTTCGTGCAGTACTTAACATATCCCCGGTACCAATGGAGTTTTAACAGACTGCAAGATCGTACAGGATTAACTCTGTCCGCTCCTTTTGATACACTCAGGCAACGTTTGTTCTGGTTATCCTCGTCGAGATTCTCTCCCACTATTGCCCCTCGTTTTCTGTCGTTACCCCCCAACCCACACCACTATTTAAACGCTCGAGTAAATAGCAACCGAGTCCAACTTCTTTGGTGCAGGTTACCCCCCAGTATTCGAGATTCCCATAATCATCTAACGCCCCTCCTCCAATCCAAATTTTGTTTCTTACATTCCTTCGATCCAATTCAATTCTAGTGCAGTAGTAGCCATTCTTGAAAATGGATAACTACCAGAAACTTGAGAAGATTGGCGAAGGTAAGGCGAACTTTTGCATCTCAATCTTCAAACTCGCTATTTGCTAAATGAAATCTACTTCTAGGCACTTATGGTGTCGTCTATAAAGCCCGAGACTTGGCCCATGGCGGTCGTATCGTCGCATTGAAGAAGATTCGTCTCGAATCTGAGGATGAGGGTGTTCCTAGTACCGCCATCCGAGAGATCTCTCTGCTCAAGGAGATGCGTGATCCCAACATCGTCAGACTGTTTAACATCGTCCATGCCGAGGGCCACAAGCTCTACTTAGTCTTCGAGTTTCTCGACCTCGATCTGAAGAAGTACATGGAGGCGCTTCCCGTCAGCGATGGTGGTCGCGGTAAAGCTCTACCTGAAGGGTCGGGGCCCGAACTGGGACGTCTTGGGCTGGGTAGTAACATGGTTCGCCGATTTATGACCCAGCTTTGCGAAGGAATACGATACTGTCATAGCCACCGAATCCTGCACCGAGATCTCAAGCCGCAGAACTTGCTGATTAACCGCGATGGAAACCTGAAGCTTGCCGATTTTGGTTTGGCGCGTGCTTTTGGAGTGCCCCTTAGAACATACACCCACGAGGTCGTTACGCTCTGGTACCGAGCTCCGGAGATTCTGCTTGGTGGTCGACAGTACTCCACAGGTGTTGACATGTGGTCCGTAGGCTGTATCTTTGCAGAGATGTGCACCAGGAAACCGTTGTTCCCCGGAGACTCGGAGATCGACCAGATTTTCAAGACCTTCCGGTAAGTGTATCTTCTCGATGCTGTCTGTGATTACACATTGCTCATTGCATTTTTAGCTTACTGGGTACTCCTACTGAGGAGGTATGGCCTGGAGTTACTTCTTACCCTGACTTCAAAGCTTCGTTCCCTAAATGGATACGCGACCATTCGACGGTCTTGTGCTCGAACCTCGATGACAACGGTCTCGATCTTCTAGAAGCTCTGCTCGTATACGATCCCGCCGGTCGAATTTCTGCCAAGCAAGCCTGTCACCACCCCTACTTCTCTGATGTACCTCGCCAATCGACCCGGTATGGAAGTAATGGACACGCTTAAGTTATATTTCGTCTTGTTGAATGAACTAGGCATCTTACGACTCGTCCAAAGCAAAGTATGCTTACTTATACGGAGCATTAGTATTGCCTTTCAGGATACGGCGACTCGGGCATTAAACAACGTCGACAATACTATGTAACACTATCATCAGATTGTTCTTTATCAGGAATACTCTGTGTCTCCTACGCCTTGAGCGGATTTGTGGAGGAAGTATCCTCTTCCTGGGTTTTCCCATGCTTTCGCAACCTATGCAGTCCATGGACGATGACTTTACATGGCGTTAGGAGGAGGGACTCGGCATTCGAGAGGAGTCAGGAAGGAAAGGGAACTATGCATAAAGAATGGTTTCTTTTTCCCCTTGGGGGTTATGGATACGGCGGCATGATGATCATAGGTCTTCGGATCTTCTCGCCGGACCGGAAATGCCCCCTTTTTCGTTTTCTTTTGTCTGAACTCTGATCTAGTTGCTCGGCTTCAGAGATGCTGTATTTACCATTGCATGCCTAGGTAGGATGAAGCAATTAAGATTTGTTACATTCTCCGCTTGATGAGCTTGACGATTCCGTTCTTATGCATATCTTATAAGGGTTTACCCATAATATGTAGAAATGTCCTGTAGGCACATATTCCTTATACATGCATCAGCTGGCTTAGGCGCACATATATGTGGGGTTGCTAATTCCATACCGACTGCCGGATACTTGAGTCCGGGCTAGGCACACTGTGAGGTGACGTGAAGCTAAAGGTTAGGTACATGTAGGCAAGTATTCCAAGATGTATCGCCTAGCTGAAAAGAGAGATTACGTAAACTTTTAAATTGATCGAAACTCGGGCCGCGTCGCGCGCCACGGATTCTTCGTCAACCAACATTGTATTGAAACTTCTGAGCCACGCGCATTTATTTCTGATCGTTCCCATCTTAGTTTAATTGACGTCAACTCTATGCCGACATGCGAATTACAATCCCAATTATCGAATCACCATGCGCATCATTAAGCCATCATGGCTGAGCCATAGAGGTATGAGGCCTGTATTTGTTGATGAGCTTTCTGAAGATAGAGAAAACAAGGCTGATTATTTCTGAAGGCGAACAGAAAGACTTCGAAGTCTACAGCTGCCACATATCGCCTGATGGAAAGCGACTTGCAACAGCTGGTGGAGGTGCGTTTTTAGCAATGTTTGATCACTACCAGCTTTATTTGCGTTGATATCTTACTTGCTTTAGATGGTCATGTTCGAGTTTGGTCGACCGAATCTATCTATAATGCCGACGATCCTTCCTACACGAAGCCGAGGCAGCTCTGCCATATGAGCCATCATCTCGGCACCATTCATTCCGTGCGCTTCTCGCCCAATGGCCGCTACCTCGCATCAGGGGCAGATGACAAGATCATATGTATATACCAGCTTGAGAGTGGCCCGCCTACTATCGCGCCTTTCGGAACGAACGAGCCACCACCTGTCGAGAATTGGAAGACTTCAAGGCGACTGATAGGGCACGACAATGATGTCCAAGATCTTGCGTGGTCTTACGATGGCTCGATTCTTGTCTCTGTGGGTCTTGATTCCAAGGTCGTCATCTGGTCGGGTCACACTTTCGAGAAGCTCAAGGTGCTTGGAAATCACCAGAGCCATGTGAAGGGTATTACTTTCGACCCTGCCAATAAATTCTTTGCTACTGCTAGCGACGACCGATCTATCAAGATTTTTCGGTTTACTCCTCCTGCCCCTAATGCGACTCAACATGATATGGTTAACAACTTTCAACTCGAGACCACTATTAGCGCCCCCTTCAAATCATCACCACTAACTACATATTTCAGAAGGTGCTCATGGTCACCTGATGGTAATCATATTGCTGCAGCTAATGCGGTCAACGGCCCCGTAAGTTCGGTCGCTATAATTGAGCGAACTAGATGGGACAGTGAAATCAATCTGATCGGTCACGAAGGTCCTACAGAAGTGTGCATGTTCTCTCCTAGGTTGTTTCATACGAAAAAGCCTGTGGAGAATGGAGCAACTAATGGTCATTCTGGGGGGACTTTGGTGACGGTGATAGCATCGGCCGGCCAAGACAAGACATTGAGCGTCTGGAACACGAATACGTCAAGACCTGTGGTGATTTTGCAAGACATGGCATCAAAGTCAATATCGGACCTTGCCTGGACCCCTGATGGTCAAATTCTATTTGCGTCGAGTCTGGATGGCGGTATTGTTGCAGTTAAGTTTGACACCGGAGAATTGGGCTGGGTGGCCAACCTGGAAGAGACGGACAAGGCCTTATCCAAATATGGTGCCTCTCGAAAAGCTATGGGAATAGCGGAAGATGTCGATGGGCTTCAGCTTGAGAACCACAGCAAGGAAGGGGAGAGAAAAGGTGCCGAATCGCGAATGGGAGCGCTAATGGGCGACTTTCATCCGCTTCCTAAAGACGCTCCACCTACGACGAATGGAGTTAAGAGTAGCGCTGCAACACCGAATTTGCCGGCGACAAATGGACAGACAGATGTCCAGCCAGAGAAAGAAAAGGCCCCCGTCGTAGAGGAGTCGGCCGATAAAGCGGCCGAGCGGGTGAATGAACTGAAATCCCGTGTAACTATAACTAAGGACGGGAAGAAGAGAGTTGCACCTATGCTCATCTCATCATCTGGAACCGGTCAGTCATCACTTCCCCAGAGCCAGCTGGTGGGATCTAGCTCCTCCAAAGCTGCGCAAAACGATGCGCCACAAACGATACTAGATCTTTCGAAGCCATACGATGGACTGCCAGAGGGCGGTCTAGCAGTTATGCTTCTTGGGAATAAAAGGAAAGCGATTGCGTCGGAGGGCGAAGATGACGATGATCCCCCAAACAAGCGATCAGCTTCTGGACCAAGAACTATAGTGAGAAATGGAGTAGAAGGTCTTGAACCCGCGATTCTCGAACCCCCCAAACATGGTCTTATACCAACCCCTGAATATCTCCGACCAGCCATCCTGAATCCCTCTATCGCAGTTTCTCAAGTCCGTCTAGCAGTACCTAAAGTTAGGTCACATATTATCCGTCCATTAGAACGGGGCGTTTTGCAGGATGAAAGTAGCGTAGAGGAGGCATCGAAAGTGCCCGAAAACGTCATCTTAGAAGCAAAGAATCCGGTATCGATTCGAGACCCTTCGCATATCACGGCCACGAAACGTGGTAGTCTACTGTGGCAAGACTATCTTCCACGGGCCATTATCCTTGTAACTGGTAGCAAGAGATTCTGGGCCGCGGCATGTGAAGATGGCAGCTTGTATACTTGGACTCCCGCAGGCCGTCGATTGGTAAATGCGATGGTGTTGGAATCCCAGCCGGTGATTCTGGAGTGTCGCGATTGGTGGCTGCTTTGCATTACAGCGGTTGGTATATGTCATGTTTGGAATATTAACACACTATCCTCACCCCATCCGCCGGTATCGCTTGCGCCTGTATTGGAGATTGCCATCAGCTCGCTCCAGACGCATAGTGCCATGCCGGGTCCTGGTGTTACATCTGCACATTTAAACTCTAGCGGTCATATTGTAGTCACCCTTACAAATGGTGATGGATATTACTATTCCCCAACAATGTACTCCTGGCAACGACTTTCGGAATCGTGGTGGGCTGTGGGTAGCCAGTACTGGAACAGTAATGACTCTTCAGTTGGGACTTTGCAGTCTACTGCAGTTGGCTCTACATCTTCCAAAGACGGGCAGAGTGATGGAGCGACTGTTTCAGCTGGCATCATTCCCTACTTGGAACGACACACAACGAACGAGTTCCTGCTGAAGGGGAGAGCATATACCTTACAACGCTTAATCAAGACTTTACTGTCGAGGGATGGTTTCGAGACCTTCGAGTCTAGTGTTAGTATTGCTCATTTAGAAAACCGAATTGCTGGTGCCTTACAGTTGGGTTCGAAGGACGAGTTCCGACTATATCTGTTCATGTACGCGAAACGGATCGGAGCAGAAGGGCACCGAGGGAAAGTAGAAGAGCTTCTCAACAGCTTAGTGGGAGGTGTGCTGCAAGATAAAAAGGGGGGTAATACAGGAGGCAAGGGGTGGTATAGTCAAGATGATGATATTTGCGGGTGGGATCGTAAGGACCTACTGAAAGGCGTTGTGATGATTCTAGGTAAGTTGTGTCATGGTCGAACTCGGTCTTTTGGCTCAATACTAACTGCCACCCAGGAAAATTCAGGGAACTCCAACGCATTACTGTACAATATGCACGAATCCTCGAGCTAACTCATGAGGATGACATAACTGGCGACGCTATGATAGTTGAAACGTGATGCAGCGTTTCTAGTAAGGGGGGGGAGTTGGGGGAGTTAGGCAGAAAATAAGGGGTGTTCATTATTGGCTTCCAAGGCCTAGGTACCAACCCTCATTGTCCTTAACTAATCCGATATCACTTTGTATTATAACCTCAATCCATAACCCAATAAGACTTCAGAGTACAGTCTAGATGATCATTTACCTTCTGCAGTGCCTACTTTGATAGCGTTTACTTGGGCGATATGCGTGACCTACAATCGGATAAGGGACAGGTGACTGGTTCAGTGAATCGACCCCTGACCGGCATCTGACCGGTATCTGACCGGTGGACTAGATTCGTCCCTGTGGTTCCCGTGGTTCCCGTGAACTGTGCTGAGGAAGTTACGTCCCATGTCGAATGGCGGTGTTTCCCTGACATCCTATGACAGGTACAACTGGTTCTAAGGTTGTTTGTTCCCGGCCAACCAGCAATCAACCATATCCAATCTTAAAATGAAGTAGAGGCGCTATATTTTTTCTAAAACAACACTAACCGCCATCACGTCGTCAAAAGCCTTTTGTCAATTGTCAAGTACAAACATCTGCCGTTATTTTCCTTCACCTTTCACCGGTTTGCACTTTGCCCTACTAACTCTCCTTGAACAATTGTCTTCTAGGACAATTGACTACCACCTACCACCTACCAAAGCATCTTTGCCTTGATTTCAATCACGTCTTCTTTTTGAGCGCCCCCTTATTCTCACTGCCGTCACTGCCGATTAACCTGTGTCGCGTCGAGGTTAGTCTATTCCTTTTCTGTGAAGGACACCCTGCCGATTCTTTAATACCCGGTACTTGTGTTAACTATTACGGACTTGTCCAAGACAGATGGAGTTCCATACTCCCAAGGCATACTCTCGACATGCGGGCGGGGGAGGTGCTCATGTGTCCCGATCATCCAGGAGCAGAGGCCATGTAGCGTCCTTGTCGTGTTCTTCGATTGACGACCTTGTTGCTCCTCTGCCCCTGAGTCTCACTCCTCAAGAAAATGAAACAGGTGATGATACTCTGGCTATCGCTCCTGAGAATGCAGTTGAACCAACCCATAGCAAGATCCAAGGGTTCTCCAATTGGAAATTTCTTCCTCGCCGGGTCAGGTACGTTCCCAGTTATACCAACCGATATGACCAATCAATTAATACTACTGTATTTTCTGAAGGCCCTTCTCCTTTCGTAAGATTGTCATCTTCTGCCTAGCATCTGCCCTCGTAGGCAGTGCTTGGTTGTCTGCCTGGGAGCCGGAGAAGACAATCCATCTAGAAACTCCAGTCATTGACGCTTACGTACCCCCTATGCCGCATCCACCTGCTGGATATACTATTCAAGCAGATACTAGCCATCCAATCCAATGGCTCCGCAAGAATACCATCCTAGATCTACGAGATCTACCGACCCAACAGGTACAGGCATTAATCGAGACACGTCCAAAGGCTGCGTTTATCTCTCTTGTGAGAAACGAGGAGGTCGAAGAAATGGTCACCAGCATCCTCCAGGTGGAAGCTCGATTCAACAAGCGGGAAACCCATAGATACGATTGGGTCTTCTTTAATAATGAGGAGTTCACTGAAGAGTTTAAGACAGCCGTGTCTGAGGCTACCAATTCCCAATGCTACTTCGAACGCATCCCTCAAGAACACTGGGGAATTCCGTCTTGGATCGATATCGACCGGTTTGATATTGGTCGTCAATTCATGGGTGGTATTGGTGTTGGCAAGGCGTGGTTGCAAAGTTACCATCATATGTGTCGTTGGAACGCTGGTATATTCGCCTCGGAAAAGCGTCTTGCCAATTATGACTGGTTCTGGCGAGTTGAGCCCGCTGTAAGTTAGCTTTCTTTCTAATTTGTTTATGAAAGTCACTATATTTCGTCCCTGTCGGAGATGCCCCTTTCGATACCCACGGCTGACGAAGGCACTGCAGGTACAGTTCTTCTGTGATATCAATTACGACGTGTTCCGATTCATGCAAGACAACAATATGGCGTATGGATTTAATATGGCCATTCTCGACGATGCTCGATCTTTCCCTTCGCTATGGGAGCGAACCAAAGAATTCATCGACCGTAATGAGGAGTTGATAGATGACGATGCAGATTTCGACTGGTTACTGTACACGGCTGAAGATCATGATGATGTGATTCGTCCACACACAGGTGCCAAGGAGGGCCTGGGTGATGGGGAGTACAATAATTGCCAATTCTACTCCAATTTCGAGATTGGTTCTCTGAAATTCTTTCGCAGCAAAGAGCATAAGGCGTATTTTGAACACCTGGACAAAGCTGGTGGGTTTTATTATGAACGATTTGGGGATGCTCCTGTTCATACGCTCAGCGTTAGCATGTTCTTGCCTAAGAGTCGAATCTGGTACTTTCGTGATATCGGCTATGCGCATGGTCTCTGTGAGCAATGCCCTCCCCATGAACACCAGTTAGCGCCTATATTGCAACAAAAGACGCTGCCGCCACGAGAGGTAGAACAAGAAGTACCGGAACCAACCAAATATGATACACGAACAATGATGGAGGGTCCATTCGAAAGCTTCGGCAGCAAGCATCAGCGATGGACTACAATGGCACAAGATGTCGAACGTCAAAATGGAATCCCTAGCCTCGCATGCGGCTGCACCGTGAATGCTATCGACAGCAACAATGCAAAACTCGTGCCCTATGAGTCGAAGCAGCGAAAGCCTTCGGACCCATGCATTCGTAAGTTTCTAGGGGGTAAATGGCTCGTCAAGAAGGACAAGGTATCTGATTTCAATAGTGACACAGGAATTATTGGGAGCAGTGATAGTGTTGAGTACGTTCTGGATGGTCGAGATGGTAACCCCTTTCAGTAGAGGCACGTTTCGCAGAGCTGTACTCAACACGTTCATTATCCTAGGTCCGTTTTGGGCGACTCTTTGGGTGGATAGTAAACTTAGGGTTTCGTTTGATATGGGTAACCCTCATGAATTGGACCTTGTCGCTCCGCTCAGCTTGGAGTAGGCCGAAAGGCGAAGTGAATCCCCAGGACATGGGGCTATAGAGTGACCCCTATTTGCATGAAGCCGATCGATACACGAACGCCAACTTACTGCCATATTATTACCCCCGCAGCTCACATTTAAGTGTTAAGATCTGAAGAAGCTCCGGAGCTATTTCTTCGCCCTAGCCAAGCCACCGTTATATTTGCGTTGCATTGCGTTGCGTTATGATCTCATTGGTCGTATCGAAGTCATTCTTGCACTGCTGAGAATATTATTCGATTCACAGGAGGGCTTACACATTACTGATTTTCCTACAGCATTCCCTTCTTTGTACTAGCAAGGTTCACCAAGGAATACCCAGTCCTCATTTGGTTTTACAATGAGCTGCTTTTTATCGCACCATTCTGACGCAGGGACAAGGGCCTCGAGCTTTCAAAGCTAATTAGCCTGATTTCTGGTGCCATGTCGACGTTAACTAGCCTTTCTTGCAGAAAGTTTGCCCTAACGTCAGAGTCACACATCCATCCAGTCCATTGCGTTGTGTTGTTGAAACTTGCTTAATATGGCAGGTCAGATACCTAGATAGTTAGGTAACAAATGACTCTTAAATCAGACCACGGCTTTGAGTTATGATTCGATATTGAAACTACCGCGGCTGTGAAACGTTAGTGATGTAGTTGGCAATGGCAGTAGCAAGTTATATCAGCCTGTTTCGTTTTGAGAAATACCTATAGCAGAATGAAGCTGTACATCTTGAAGTTTTCTAATTTTCTAAATAATTATTATTTATAATAACTATAAATTAGTAAGTAAAGGACTCCGCCACTAGTTTAATTCTTCTTCTTAAAGCAAGCTTGCTAACAATTTCACGACTTTTTCACGAGTTTCATCCATCATGCTTGGAGGACCAGACACCACAACTGCGAAGTCTCCATGCTGGCTCTCTAGAATAGATCGGAGATTTAAACGATGACCCACTAAAATCTTTGTATTGAAGTTTTGTATCAAAGGCTTCATCGAGTCGACAAGTGCTTGGGTGAGGGAGCCCCAGTACACCCCAGTACAGATATATGTTGCCGAGGTATGCACGCATGTAAGGGAGAATAGACGCGGCGGCAACACCACCTGCTATGCACACTAGGGTTGGATATCTGAGAGGTCCTCCTGAGTGTTGTATTAGAATGCGGATAGAAACATGTTAAGAAGGATCAGATACCCTATGAAAAGTGCCTGGCCTTGTGTTGGCGGGTCACCAATAACACCGGCAACAGGTGAGTCACGCCAAGGTCGAAGAAGCGGAGGATAGATGAAATAACCGTTGAGTGCACTCGCCCATCGTTTCGAAAAGGGAAGAAGCGCAATAACGAGAAACCGATGGGGATGACGATACCAGATCAGAGGATCACCAGACCAAAGCGTTCATGTTGGGTCTCTATGTTTTGATTAACATGGCTGTGATGGGATTAACGCGAGCGCCGCGTCGTACGAGAGGGATGGCGGTGGATCTGATTATAAGTTCCCAACCATGTATGACTGCCACAATTTCTCGATTTTTCAGGCAAGCTTGCCGTTGCACTTTTGATGGATACTAGCGGATCGGACCCAAAGGAATACTGACAGGTGTATGCGCAGACAGGGATATACATCTGAATATTTGAAACCATATAATGTTATTGAAAATAAAATAAGTCCATTTAATGAAAGGCAGGTTGATGTTTTGGAAGTTTGAGCCGTCGCAATGGAAACCCAGACTCTATTCGGTACGAACCTCATCTAACACTCCAGCCAAAAGCCTCGCTGTGAGGATTCTGCTATAACATATGGCATAGCCCCATGTGATTCTAAGTCTGGGCTATGTAGTAAATAACATGTGATATATGATTTTATATAGAACAAGTCCTAGGTATCAAGTAAGCCCTCAGTACATACAGACAGGCAACTATCAAGTAGTGACAGGTTAGAAGTCATTTTATTAAGATTACGTCGATGGATTATCTTTTCCCGCTTTTAGATTCTCGCATAATATTATATGTGTCTTGTTTAACTGGTAGTTATCTCATATTTCGAGGTGATACAAGGTGGGTGCGGCTGACAGCCAAGACTGGTGAGATTTAATAACAGTATGTATTGGATTTGATTTTCTCCTCGACGTAATGTTTTTTAAATTTGCTTCTATGGACAGAATTTCATAAGTACCTAGAAGGTAACTTCCGCTATGTTGACAACCTTAGCTCTCGAGCCATCGTGCTTAACCCAGCTCTGGGTGTCTTCAAACGGGGGGACCGACTCGGCTCTCGTCCTCGGCAACCCGCACGATACGGGCTGCTGGCCTGCTGGCAGAGACCTGGCCACCACTATCTCGCCTGCAATATGCCCGTCGGGATATGTGAGTGCATGCGATATTACGTCGAGCCATAGTACCGATGAGACTGTGTGGGCGTGCTGTCCAACGTGAGTTAATTTCGTTCGTGACGTACTAATGCCAGCTTTGCTGGTTAAGAGGTAATTGGCTAATTATACCCAAGCCAGTTTAGTTGTGATGGCGGTTACTACTCTTGCGTTTCGGGTTTGAAGCCCGGGGACACAAGGGTATACACCGTGACCGACACTGATCGCCTCGGAAATACTTTCACAACGACGTTGTCAGGGGACGGAGGTGTAAATGCGCACTCGATCAAAGTCGCATTTCATTCATCTGATATTATCGCGACTTCCACGTCGACGCCCGGAGATTCCGCGAATTTGTCGACAGGCGCTGCTGGTGGAGTAGGGGTCGGGGTCGGCATTGGCGTATTCCTCCTGTGCTCCGGCGTTTCATGGCTTGTGCTGAGACGGTATAGACGCAAACGACTCTCCACGGCTCGTAAGCAGGATGCTCCTCAGCAACTCCTAGGATTAGACTCCCGTGGCTATCGTATGGACCCGTTGTCGATGGGCATAACCGAATTGGATGGCGCTCCGCGTTTACAAGAGTTGGGGACGAAGAGAAAAACGGGTGAACTTCCAGCTAGTTGACTAATTGGCAATATAAAAGATATGGAGAACCTCCTGAATAAATGCTGCGAAAGCTTAATGTGATTAGTATATTCGTCTTGTCTACCTAATTACTTTAGTTTTCTCCGCATCTCGAAGTATTACCTAGCTCAGATCTTCTGATCTCGCCGCTACGCATTCTTAATTCCGCCACTGACGTCCGACATACCGTGTTTAGACTCTCGCATTTCCTACTGTGAAACTAGGCAAAAAGTGAGTTTTTTGGGTTAATAGTAAGATGCCACATTCTTACCGCCCTTCGCTACCTACTTTACGAATCAGGGCGTATTCTTCAAGCCCTGAAAAACGCCTTGTTGTCCACCTGACCTTGCAACATCTTCGCTTATAAGATTGGGTAGGTTAGGTAGTTCAGCGATGAAACTTTTAATATGAATAATGAAAAAATGATACAATGTATACACCTCTTAGACGGAATACTTGATTTCTTATATTAAAAAGTCTAGCGCTAAAATCAAACTTGAACACGCGACACATACGGACTTGCCAATCGGCGTGCGGGCCCACATAACCGTACTGGGTTTCCCGCACCGGTCGACCCACACTGTAATCTTCCGTCCTCCGGTATATGGTGGGGCCGAACATACATTTTCTTTAATGCGAAGCTGCTGAGCACGATCACGCGAAGGCAGTCTTTGATACGCAATTATATTTAAAATATTTAATCCACTCTGCAGTCTTTGCTCATATATTTTGCAGTGTCTGTCATGACTCACAGAATGAGAAGATAGAACAGTAGGCGGCAGTACGCTTTGGGGGTCGTCTGGTAACCTCCTATCTTGCTTAGAAAATAAATAGGTGCCTAGGTACCTACCTACCTATTCGGCGGGGATAATTAGCTTAGTCCCATGTAACAGTCAACTGATTGAAGAGAAGAATGCATTAGGTACCTAGGTAGTATACATACCTATCCAGTACAATACATTATTTTAGTGCTACTTTAGTAAAGAAACATCTAAAAAGGAGAGCTATATCTTAAGAGGTACCTGAGGTAATTTGTATCTTGCTAATAGGATTGTTACATCGTGACTAATGAGAACTACGTAAATAAAATAGAATAGCGTATCTTCACTCTATCCTTAATATCTTCTTCCGGATTATGTCTTGTGGACACATAATGGATGCAACCTTAATACCTTCGTCTCGACAGTGTGCAGTCGCGTAAGGCACTTACGGGTAGTAGTTAAGTACCTAATCTACGGTATATAGGAGAGTAATAGGGAATATAATATTTGTAGCTAGGCTCTCTTTGGTAGCGAGATAGGTGACAGGGACTCGCATATGTATTCACCCCTGTCCTTATATGCATCTTAATACATCTTACATTAGTATCCTGAATTTGGTTAGAATAATTCCTTTCAAATTTCTCCATACTTGGCAATCTATCGACTTACTCTATACTTTTCCTTATTAATAAGGGACGTTCTCATTCTGTTAGGGATAGAAGATGTCACCGACACCAATAAACACCTGGTTCATCACTGCGTAGTATATACTGCATGCTAAATTGTTTTCAATTGGCAAAATGGAGTCTCTGTCTGGTATTGGATTGAATCATATAGCCGTCATGGCAGTCACTATTCTTCTCATTTTCCCGTTGACGGCTATCTTCGCCTTCATGAGACGAACAGGGCCTCGTCGAGAACCACCTTATCTCAAGGAAACTCTTCCCTTGGTCTCGAACACATACGAGTACTTGACTGATTTGAGTAGATTTATGGATAGAGCTACGTAAAGTCCCCCAACCCTGCTGGAGTTATCTATTTCTCACACGAAAGAATCTCAGACAAGCTTTATGCGAAAGTAGTATAATCAGGTTTACGTTGGGGACGTATAATGTATACTGGGTGGCTGGTGCAAAAAACACGCAAGTGTTATTTGGCCCACCTCATATTGTTGACCCAGATATGTTCCAGCTGCGTCTTATGGATTCCCATTGGGGTATGCCGATTAAAGAAATCAAGATGTTTGCAGACGACAAGTCTGGAAGGAAGAAAGTCCCTTTGCCAGGTACAGAGAGGATTCCCCTAGGACGTCGCCATTGGTATAATCACCATACCTTATATGCCCAGTATCTTAGCAGTCCAAAGTACACAGAGGCTATAGCCAATACATTTTGCCACGCATTTCTTCGACATCTTGACAATCAGCCCGATGAGAAGTGGACATCTGTACGGCTTTTTCAATTTCTTAAAAATGACATGGCCGAGAGCGCCATCGAATCCTTGTTCGGCTCTCAAATTCTTCATCTCAATCCCGACCTTATCAAATGCTATTGGGAATTCGATGAAGTCGCGGGCGAACTTGTATGGGGTCTACCAAAGTTTATCAGACGTAAACCTTGGAAGATTCGGGAACAGTTACATCATATGGCCTTAAGGCACATCGAGTCTGCTTGGAACAACTTCAACTGGAACGGTCCAGAATGTGAATCTGATTGGGAACCCCATTTTGGTTCACGTTTCTCTCGTGAAACTGCCAAATGGTTCAGAGAGGCAGGTTTCTCCGACCGAACAGCAAGCGGGCACACTACGGCCATAATGTTTGGGTAAGTTGAACGTTCATCGTCGAAATTATAACCATACTAAGACGCGACCAGACTTAATGGAAATACATTACCTATAGTGGCATGGGCATTGATGGAAATAATCCAAGATCGGCCCCTGCTACAAGCTGTAAGAGAAGATGTATTACGATCGTTTGTCAGGGACCAGGGAACCGGCCAACGCCGCATCGACACAGAGAAATTGTTATCATTGCCTCTGCTCTCATCTATATACACCGAGGTCCTGCGGATGCATATATCATTCAACGTCACACGCATGGTTCGGCAAGATCTTCTTGTAGATGGATACCACGTTAATAAAGGGTCTATTTTACAAGCACCAAGTCAGATTGCTCACTACGATGAAGACGTTTGGGCCGTGGATGGGCATCCTGCGTCCCAATTTTGGGCATCACGACACGTGAAACATGTCGAGAAAGCAGACGAAACAGGATGTATCACCGAAGAGACTCACTTTTCGATGAAGGCTCGGCCGACTTCCTTCTTCCCCTATGGTAAGTGGTGGGCAAACATATGATCGTTTCCGTCATGGGAGCTGAAAGCTAACTGAGGAATAGGGGGAGGTCACGCAATGTGTCCAGGGCGGCACTTCGCAAAGCGGGAGATTATGATGACGATAGCCATGATCCTTGCCAAATTTGACTTGGAGTTTGTTGAATGGACTCAGCTAGATGGATCGCTATCAGATAGGCCAGCTCGAAATGACAAGAGGTATGCGGGAGCGGCGGCTATGCCACCTGACCGGGATATGAGAATCCGCTGGAAACGGCTTTGGTAAATTGCCTCGTACTATATTCTGCGATGTGTACATAGCTACCTGATAGCAGCTCGAGTGGAGAACCAAAGACAGGATTCTGAATAAAAGATAGATGCACATCGCACAGAGTTACCGTATATGGAAACTGGTAGGGTTGCAGTAGAGTTCTTCGTAGAGGTAAGCATATTAATTAACTAGTTAGAGGTCACTCTTCGGGTAACACAAATGCCTCTACAAACCTGTCTCTTTTTCTTTTGGTACAAAGAGTATACTGTTTGAGCGTTCTAATTCACAGCGCTTGTGTATAGAGATATGGTAATGTTACCTTATTATGCGATAGCATCATTATTCAGTACTACCTTAACTAGGACTCTTCTAGAGATGCATTAACTATGGGCACCTTAAGTACCCAAGATTGATAGGATAGTCTCGCCATGATCCATACGTGTGTTCTTGCATGAAGATATACATGAATTCATGCCTACTTATAATTACAAAAAGATTGAGCCATGCCGGTATATTCTTGTAAATATGGTCAGAGTTCCTCGTCGATGGTGTAGGATAGGTAACTGCAGATAACTAGTCTAACCGTATCTAGGCATATTTTAGAAGAAGTGATACCTTGGGTACCTATATATCATGATAAAGGATGGCCCTCGTTCACGGGGCTTTATTCTATATAGATTTCTGCAATCTGGGAACAATACAAGCTCTACAAGACACACGAGATCTATTTTCCTTTATATACAAGTATCATATTCAGATATCCCATGCGTATCTTAATATTACTCCATCCTGTCACCCCTTGAACTTGTTTTCTTTGCAAAATGGACAAGAAAATGGAAAACAGATGCAGCATGAATGACAACAAAAACGAATCTCTGTCCCAGCAATACGGAGGAGTTCACTCTAGCGGATGGGTTGATCTTCTTCCCAGCTCATGGGTGCCCTACGTACAGCTTGCCCGTCTTAGCCCGCCAGCTGCGCTCTTCTTGATTTACCTTCCTCACTTCTTCGGTATCATACACGCAGCAAGGATGGAGAGGCATGATCTGTCTGATGTCCTGCGATCATGTATCTTGCTGCTGGGAGGAAGCCTTTTTTACTCGAATGCTGCACACGCTTGGAACGACCTTATCGACGCGCCGATCGATAAACGCGTAGCTCGAACTAAAAACCGACCCATAGTACGAGGAGACATAACTATGACGGCAGCGTTCGTGTTCGCCTTGTCGCAAGCGCTCTGCGCTGCTTGCTTCTTATCTTTCCTCCCTCGATGCACGGCGATATCAACAATACCGAGTATTATAGGGGCAACGTATTACCCGTGGGCGAAGCTACATACACACTTTCCCCAACTGATCTTGGGATTTTGCTTATCTTGGGGTGCTGTGGTAGGAGCCTCAACTTTAGGTATAGAGAAACCGTGGACTGAGACGCCTGTTATATGTTTGATCGCCGCTTTGATTCTCTGGATAACTATCTACGATACTATTTACGCATATCAAGATATCACCGATGATGAAAAGGTAGGAGTAAAAAGCACAGCCGTTCTATTCAAAGAGAGCACGAAGAGTATGCTATGGTTTCTTCTCATTCTAAAAGGGGGGTTCTTGGTTGGATATGGGGGTTTGACTGAAGCAGGAGTTGGGTATTATGTTATCGCCTTTGGGGGATCCGTGCTATCATTAGGGGCTATGATCGCGAGTGTCGACCTTAAAGATCAGGCCAGTTGCTGGTGGTGGTTTTCAGTTGGCTTTTGGTTTACCGGAGGGTCACTTGCATTCGGTCTAATATTCGGGTGAGTATACGTCAAATTCCTCATCAATATATAATTATGGCCAATAGAAGCTTGGGGTATCCAGGTTAGGTGCCCATTTTATGCAACCTGCTCTATCCCCTGCACTAAGATTACTATTCATGACCCAAATGAAGCAATTTAATGCGACGAGTCGTTCTAGAAACGATGCTACATCACTAAAGATTGCTAATTATATTGCTAAGTCGTTGAGAAGTCTCTATTGAAGCTCTAAGTGGATATGTTAGTCAATAACAGCCCGTATATACTTAACCAATTGCCACGGGCGATCTCTGATCCTTCGTAAAATGTGTAGAGTACAATAATGCTTGCATTTATCCTTGATCATCTGTAATATTGTAATATGAGAGGGGTTCTATACACCCTCTCTAGAATATTATATACCACGGTGATTGTTACATCTCACACATACGCTTTCCCAATAGCAATCCCTGACCTTAGTGTAATATTGTGGTCGAGAGGGAAAAGAACTTCATCGCATCAAACGCAATTGGATCTGTCTTCTTAGGAGATGAAAACTTAGAAAGGCTTGTCTAGGGATTATGGAGTATGCCGACTCAGACCAAGTGATCGAAGTGTAAGAGCCCCCTATTTTCTACCCCTTTTCATATTTCTCGAAGGATGATCGGCTTCCGTATTCTCTAGTAGTCTAATGAAATTTTCTTGCACCCATAGGCTTGACGGTGCTGTTAGCACACGAGTTATCCGCCACCCTGACAGATCATTCGCTTTTGAAGTGACCCTTGACCTAGAAAAAGGCTCGAAACACTTTTCGCGCAAGCCGCCAATTCACTTTCACGCAAATCAAGATGAATTCATACAAGCAACCGAGGGCAAGGTAGGACTCGAAGTCGACGGGATGGAGCACGTTCTTCTACCCGGAGAAGATGAATACCGCATTGAGGCGTGGGAAAACCATCGCTCATATCCAATTGAACAAGAGAGACAAGAGGGGAAAACCATCGTCAAGTTTCTGCTATCGGGTGCGAAAAGCTCTGAAGTTTACGAGCTTAACACATTGTTCTTCGAGAACTGGTACAAGTACCAAGAGCATGTGGCCAAAAACGGAGGAAAGATCAACATCATCCAGGTCTTAAGTGTAAGTTATTTCTCCCTTATCATTGGCATTCATTGATCTGTGGGAGCTCACAAACAAGGTAGACATTCGATGCCGGTGGGACATATATTGCGTTTCCGCGCTGGGTACCATTTGGAAGACGAGTATCGCAAGTTATGGGCATCGTCATCGGTAGATGGCTAGGGGGTTTACTTGGGTATCAACCTTTCTATCGGGAGTGGTCTACTGACTGGCAATTGGCCTGCGACAAGATGGAGTCGTCGATTTTCCAAAGGCGTTGGGCAGACCGTTCGAAGGTGGACTAACTAGGCTTGTCTAACTATGAGAAATTCAGCATTAAGAGACTTATCTTGATGATACCGAACTGGATAGCTAGAGGCTAATTTACTGTCGTGGTTACGGGCTGGCATTAAAGGGCTACGTGTAGAATCGCCGGTCCTATTTGCCACTCGTTCGGCATTCTATTAAATTAAGAAATGTATTAAACAAGGCAATTAAGCAAGTAGCAATTCCTCGCAGAATGATTCCATTTTAAGAAATATCCGAACTACTCCCCGGAGTCTAAAGGTAATTCGAAGTTTACCTTAGCATATTGTGCCAAGTTAAGAGAAATATTCCTTAAATCGGTAGGTGGTATGTGTTTTATTTGATTCCCGAGTTATACCATAGGTTTTAATGTCGACTATAGGGTGCTGTCATGTTCCTCGCATTATTATTCCGTTTTTCGTTACTCATGAGCGCCTTGCAAGGGGCCGGGGACTGAGGAGGCGGGGCGGATCGGAAGATCAGCATAGATGCGGACCAGACCGGGAGTGCCAAGTAGTGGGGGTGAAGATGACAAGGGTCATCAGCTAGGCTGCTAGGGCTGATGCAACATTCGTTACATGCTTCTGGGGTGTTAGAGGTGTTCCTACTATTATGTACCTGATAGGTAGGTAGTCAGTCCAAGTATCAAATAGGCCGCAAACCCCGACTGTTACGCTACGTTACTTGGTTTTCCATACATATCGCTTTAGTTTGTGGTTACATGGCATTATCGTTAGGATCCTACGAATAACATGGGCTTCGTCTTCTACATATTGTAGGGTCATAGGTGATAACTCTAATAGATATTGTAGTCACTTAAAAAGGACGGTATCACTATAGTTGGTTGAATTATATCAGTATATTCTAATATGCCTTTACCCCCTATTCTCGTCTTTTTCTCATTAGGAGGATTTATTCTTGGCCATGCCTTGATACTCGTTTTAAAGCTCTAGGAAAAATACAACAGCATGTAAATCGAAGCAGGGCATCTTATTGGTGATGAGAATAAAAACCCCATAGGTTCTGAGCGATTAAAGTGTTGCTGTTGCGAAGGGTTCTCAAGTACGATTACTTGTCAAGTTACAATTCGACTTGGTTCTAAGCCCCATGCCTATGGTCGTGGAGTTCATCATTTGTACATGTACAGGGTAGATATATGAGCTAAAATGAATTGGCTAATTACTACTCGTCTATATGGTTTTATTACTTGCATCTTTCTTTGCTTGTTAATTGCTGTCTCTGGTGCTGCTACTCTCTCGACTGCTAGCTAAGAGTTATGTCGGCAACTAGAAACTCTTTGTAATTATACCACCGAACTAAACAAATTAAGCTATGAGGTTCTCAGAACAAGGAACTGGTAAGAAAATTTCCTGTGCCGAAGTTCTGTCGGTAATATTCTGTTTAATTCTGATAGGGTCGAAATGGCATGGAGAGAATCTACGTGCATCTTTCAGCCGCGGCACGTGAGCGAGTTGCGAAAAGCGATACCTTTGATCCTCGATGCAAATGTGAGCTTTGCTGTTCGTTCCGGTGGCCACTGCCCGCATCATAGTTGCGCCAACTCAGATGGTGGGGTCCTAATCGACATGGCCAACTTTGATCAGCTAGACTTTAAACAAGAGGGCCAAGTTGCTACCGTGGGACTAGGCCTTACTTGGGGCGAGATTTACACTTATCTTGAATCATATCAACATGTAGTGGTAGGAGGACGAATACTAGATGTTGGCGTGGGTGGTTCCACATTTGGAAGTAAGCTCGTTATTGTATCTTCTAGTACTCTAGTAGTAACCACTGACATGTCTAAGGTGGTCTTTCTTGGCTCCGGATCTTTATGGCCTGGCTTGTGATAATGTTGTCGATTACGAGGTATGGGTATTACATATAAATTTTTTATAATTTGACCTAACGATGTCTAGGTCGTCCTCACCAATGGCTCACTGGCCCATGCCAGCGCCGAAGAAAATGTAGATTTGTTCTGGGCTTTAAAAGGGGGAGGAAATAACTTTGGTATGTGTTAATTTCGGTAGAATACGCCCCCTCATACATGTTAAGAAGGCTGATCGATAATAAAAAGGCGTGGTTGCGGCATTATCACTCACAGCATATCCCCTAGGCCAAGTCTGGAGAGGAATAAATAAGTATAATATTGAGGATCTCCCGGCCCTTATGAACGCCTACAACGAATATCAGAGCGTTATTAACAAGGATCCCTATGCTAACTTGATTATGTTGGCTTCTGCAACGAATGCGAGTTTGGGAGTTTGGGTCTCAATGATATATCTGAAGCCCCAGGAAAACCATACTGCATTTTCGGCCTTCTACGGCATCAACACGCGACAAGGTTTATAAGGTCACAATCGCTATATGATGAGGTAGTTGATATTATTATAAACTCCTCAGCTGTAGACATCATTAGATCCGTGGCTGGGGGGCTTATGACAGCTACTATACAGCCTATATCTCTGCGTGCAGCCCAAGCTGAAAAAGTTAGAGGTGAAAATGCTTTGGGCTTAGAAGCGGTCGATCAGACTTGGCTTGCATTTACTACTTCATGGCTATCGCCAGACGATGATCAAAAGGTACATGTATAGCTTCATATTCGTTTTCAATAATACACGATTTGTATAAGATATACAATACGCACAACCTCAACAGAGTCCTATTTTACGGGAACAGAAATAGGAGTTTCTTAAGCACTGAGCCCTTAGATAGATTGGAAAAGCACCTTCCAATGATAATACATTTAAATCAAACAGTGCACTGGTTACGCTATTTGTAACAAATAAGCAGCTTCCCAGTTCTTGTATATCTAGCCCTAAATCTATTTGGAACCTTTACTATCGTATTGTTAGGGTATAAATGGGCTAGGGGTATATTCAGTGGTATAGCTACTAGGATTGGGTATATGAGAGACGCACGGCGCCCTCGTAATATGGTAGAAGGCCTGCGTTAATACTTCAATTATATTCATCCTGAAATCAACTCTATGTACGTTGTTCATCATTAAGTGAATCCTTTTTCGATCCGACAGCTCTTGGAAAAGGCGCCTGTGTCGGCATTTCAATCGCCACGGAGGTCTGTTTGTTGGATAGTTCTTATTCACAGAAATCCCAAATCGTGTATCTTGGGCAGGGAAGTTGTGACACGGAGCGAGAACAAGAGCGCAACTGATGGGGAAGACGGAATGTAGGTAGTAGGGTAAGAATGCATGGTAGATGATAGACAATAAACTAGCAATAAGACTTGGCTCCTCCAAGCTTTATAATTTGACATTTGGTTTGTGTCAGTGCATGCCCTCCAACATATTGCCAACATTCTCATCGAAGATGGGGGCTGCGAAAGCAACGGCGATGCTTTGGCCCGAGAGGCCAACACATCGCTACTGGCGTGCTTTAAAGGCCAAACCATTTCCAATACCCACATTAAGAACCACATCTTATAGGATGCCGCCTAGACAAGCCATTGATTTTTATTTAGGAGTGAGGGTGAACTATAAATTTATTGGTGGAAGGCGGAAAGCTGTCGCGGGTCGCAGTTCGGCCGCAGACTTCAGACCAGTGTCTTGATCAAAGGCTACAGGAGCGGCATACACGCTTCATGCAACATCGATGATCTCCAAAATTGAAGATTCTTTAAGGAGCTTATAGACAGTGATCGGGGTTACCAGATGGGTTTCCCCACCATGTTGGGAATGGGTAAGCCGTTCCACTGGCACCGAAGACTGCGAAAGACAGGATAAAAATCACCAGCTGGGATCCTCCATCCAATGCCGCCCCGATAAGGTAGTTATACTTGTTGTAGATCCCCGGTAGTCGACGTCGTAGCCAGAGTTGCGAGAAGACCCCAACCGCTATGGAAGACCAAATCCACGACGTATTTCCGTAGTAGTTAACACCACTATAGGCCACAATTAAGGCCGTGTTAATAGGCCATTCCTTTAAACGAGGGATCACTTTAATCAAGCCCCAGTGGAAGACTGGTATGACGAGGCCAATAACGATGCCAAGGGGAACAATTAGATAACGCCCTGCCACTCCGTATATCTGTTTCGCCAGCGCCCACGTTACTGCTTGTGAGTTGAGACTTTGTACAATCGATCCGCTCCAGATGTTGTTACCTTGAGGATCAAGAAGGATTTCCCGTTGACTATTAACGATGATAGTCATGACGGCGTAGTTCAATCCCGCCCCAAGGAGAGTGCCGTAGATCTGGGTAGTGAACATGACACGATGAGGCACTTTCGTGTATTGTCCAACCTTGAGCCAGTTTGCCAGGTTTACGGCGAGGAGAATGACTTGATGCGACCACGATGCGAAAAATAGGTTGGCTAATGGCAGGTTCGGGTGCACAGCGCCGGCGACCATCTTAGAGATTTGGTTGGTTGCCACTCCACTTCCGTATAGGCCATAGAGGATACAGGAGAAGGGCGCAATGAAGGATCCTAGAAGAAGAGATATGATGTATCCCCAAACAGGAAGTGTGGTCTCGCCTATGATATTCACAGCTAATCCGGCGAAAAAGCAGAGAGCGAAAAGCACTAGGTACCACCATTGCGGCACTTCCTTGTATCTCAGCATCGCTTGGTAATGCGGATCGGGTTGAGTTCTGCTACGTGCCTGTTTCCATGCGAGAACCATGTCTTTACCAAAGAATATAATGACATGGGTTATCAATGCGCCTATTGCGACATTTTGTGTAAAATACCCCCAAACGGTGCTTGATGTCAGGTATGGTAGACCGACTTCGTTTAATTTGGTTTCGTCAATGACACCTCGCTCGTTCAAAATTGAGGTTGGATGAAATACAGTACCGTTTCCGTGAAAGAGAGCTGTCGACATAAAAGGGAAACTCTTGGCGTTCCAGGTATTGCTGTAGTATAACCCTGGCAGGGCGCAATATAAAATGACATAGCCGATCCAAGAATTCAGCTGCTGTTTGATCGGTAGTGACAGGTATTGACTTTGAATGTACTGCCAGTCCAGGGAGAAATTTAGAAGCCCAAGCCCCTCGTTGGAAGAGGCCCCTCCAAAGATGGTAGAAAATATGGTACGGGTTCTTGCTGGAGCGCCCAGTGATGCTAGGCAGAAGATAGAGATGCCACTAAACCATGGTATGATATACGCCGGAAATATTTCCCAGACGGCGGCGAATGCAAGTGCCCAGCCGAATTTGATAAGACGACCCCTGTTAGCCACCCGATCGAAATGAAGATTCTGGAAGAGAACTACCTGTGGCAGCGTCAACCAGTATACCATCTCTGCGGGGTAAACGATGAGTGGTCGTAAAAGACCAGCTACTACGAATCCACAAAGTGAGATGGAGAAGGTAGCGAGGACTGCGGTGGAAGCAGAGACGGATCGATCATAGAATAATCGTTCTATGGCGTAAACCTCCACGCCAGACAATCCATTGTTACCAGAAGATGCGATGAGCGATGCTACCACGTGCTCTTTGATCCCAAATGGTTGCCCAAAGTTGATGAATCTGAGTGTTTTCTGCACCCACTTTGCCTTGAACCGTTCTGGTCGCGGAGTGGAGAGGGCCCATGCTTCCCCGAAAATAAATACCAACACTATCGAGTATGAACGCGAAGAAGCTAGGAGGGAATACTAATAGAGGGCACGTACGCTGTATGAATACGGCTGAAACCTGTACTTGAAACGGCTTGAATATATAAAGCATAGTAATAACACTGTTTTTTTTATTAGTTTATCTTACATAGCAGCGTTATTTAGCCCCATTGATAGAATGGAAAATCGATTATTTACCTTGAAAGGGCCGTGAATACGGATCCCAAGATTATGGAGCGGAATGTCAACGCAGGGTCGCCATCATCGCGAACTGATATTAGGAATTTCGATACATCGAACCCTGATCAAGTATGTTAACCACAAGAACCAGAAAAGGTGACTCTATTGCATTACCATTTCGAATAACAGGATGCCCCTTTACATATTCGGCATCATTATCATGATGAGAGTCTTCGGTGTTGTCTTTACTTGCTTCATCCTGCAAGGTTACGGTTGATTTGTTGCCACTGGGTGCGACGAGTGCTTCCGTCACCGTCGCTTTCTTGTGTACTTTAGCCGTGCTAGGGATATCTTCCAGGACCGAGGTTGTTTCGACGGGGCCCGACATTGTCCAGAGAGCTTAGGTCAAATTAAATGGCCAGCTGAAAAGCTTCACCTAATGCCACCTCGATGCATGCGCGTTAAGATAGAGCATAGTATAATAGAGGAAGAAGACGAAAAGCTTGATCAGTTATATCTTAACATTCTTTGTCTCGCGTAAGTTTAACGGCGGCAAATGACATTTGCTTGATGGTGTGATGCTGAATCGGAATGGCGCCCAATAGCATCCCTACTTGGTACTGGGGTTAATACATCACCTGCCTGTTGGGGAAAATTCCTCAGATAGGAGGTTTTGCAAGTGGACCAGAAACACACGGACGGGCTGGGGCGGTTTTGACATTCATACTTTGGCTAATAGTTTGGCTAAGATGGCATCAATATCCCGAGTGATGTCGTGACCGAATTTTATGTTCTAGATAAAGCTGTATATCATGGGTCCCTTAACCCGATTGTTTGTCAGGACTACAATGTAGGTATTTTCCATGAAAGATAAGACAACACCGATTGATTCGTTGGTCCGTAACTTTATGGAATAGCGTCGCTCAGGGAAGAAAAAGAATAACCCCCAACCCTCCCCCCCGCATTCCGGGCTGTAAACGGCGTGGTTTTCCCCGGCCGCTCGTTCCGTAGCTTATTGCCAAGACGGATAATCCGAAAGTACGCGAGGAAAGCGGACCGGTAGCGCTATCTTGGAGAACATCTTTCACAATACACCATATTCGGCACCCAATAGTCCCAAGTAAGGGGTTCAAGTGCCTGAGCAATGATGGGGATAATGAGGATGCCGGGCGCGTGTGAATCAAAGTCCAACATTAAGGCGGTGCACTGACGCATCATACTTTGCGCGGAGGCTTGCTCGGCCATACTACCGTTCGTATAACGCCTCAATAATTACGCCAGACGGATGAGGGGGCGAATAGTGCGTGGTAAGCCAACGCAGGTATCTTCAGTGGGCCCGACTGGTGGTAAGAATGTGAGACTATGACGAGCAGTAGGAATATAAGCGCGACAGGTTATAATTCGGTACTGCGGTTTGATATACATATATACCTTTTATCTAGGTCTTCTTGATAATCCTGTGTTGGGAACTCAACGTGGAATATGACTTCCCACCTATCCAGCAAATATACTATCATCGCATACAAGCGCTAACAGGATACCGTTTCACAGCCTCATCAGAGCCCATCTAGCGTTCCTTATAATCTCATCTGCTAAGCGCGCAGAATCAACGACAGCTCAAGGTGCTACAATTGTTACGTGTGTGGTACCTTGGTTAGTAGTTGTAGAAAATGCACGACAGCTACAACAATAACTTCCAACATTGACATTAAGCAAAGCTCTTCACTCTGCAATATATAGGTATCCATTGAGGGCTGTTCCGCTTATATCCCACCTCATAGTCAATCAATAACCGGATAATAGCTCGGTCCTGTTCGTTCTCCCACAAAAGCGCCAATCTTCGGAAGCGTACATCATGACCACCAATACCAACACCCGAAGCTAGCAACGCGCCAGCTACGCGTACTTGCCGCTTTCTTGCTGCCTTTATCAACACCCTGCTACCAACGAAAGCCCAAGGCCCATCTCTGAGACCACGGCTTAAAAGTAGCTGAGTGATGGTCTCTATTCCCCTTTTATTGCTAAAGCCAACGGACTATTGGGGTACCCTTGAATATTGATATTGGCTCCCTTATGTAGCAGTAGCCGTACAATATCTGAAGGATTTACGACCTTCAACATAAGCTCCTTTTTCAAGTAACATTCTCACGAGTCTCATATTTCCCCTGATAACTGCGTCTTGCAGTAGGCTCCGGTAGTCTCATATCTTCTAACGCGACGACTTCTTGTAGTAGGCTTCTATCTCAGTTAGTACCTTCAACTTTAAGTCCCCCTCAGAGTAATTATTGAATGAAATACTTGTAGCCCAGGCCGCGGGTATATATTTAATTTTACAAGCGCTATATCTTCGACCGAACCAACATTTTACAAGTGAAACATAGGTAGCCACGTCCTCGGGTTCAATCCCCGACATGATGGCAAAATATAGCTCCTCGAGTCGTAGTGGACGTGCTGCAAAAAATATCCATTGGATACAGACACGAAGCCCATCCCGCCTGACGGCGTACCGCGCGGTAAGTAAAAGCGTCCCGAAATCATGCCCAACAGCCAAACCGCAATGGGAGAGTATTTTCGACTAGGACAGGCCTCATACCCACAAAAGTGTGATAGAATAGTTCAGAGGGGACCAACAGCGCTGGCCTTGGCAGAACCGAGGCCGTGCTACTTACGCCAATCGTATTTCCAGCCTGACTAGACAGCAACTTCGCCCCAGCAGGCTGTACGGTATTTTGTGATCGAAATTGCGGGGAATAGGGAATTATACCGCTGAACTGCGCTTAAGCGCCGCGTGCTGATGCATGTACGGTTGCATTGCAGGGGATGAAGTTACGAATGAGGAAATTCTCTCTGTCAGCTTTCTCATTTTGTAGTTTCACCCCAGCCAACGTGCAGCGAGAATAAGGCAGGCTGGCAACAACCGACAGAGCCTCGTAGACTTGATGAATTATATAAGAAAATCAAACCACTCTAATAACGACATACTATTTACTCGCCAGGATATTCACTCTTCACTAAGTTTTTTAACCGTTTAGACCTTTCACTGCATTGACACCCGATCTAATGGATTACTTACAACCTGAAGAGTATGATATCATATGGATTGCACCATTGGAAATCGAGGCGCAAGCCGCTTTGAATATGCTAGATCATCGGCATGGCGGTAAATTTCCAATGGCCCGGGGCGATGATTACATATTCCAAGCTGGCGATATATGCGGACATAATGTTGCAATTGCAACTCTTCCGGTTGGTCAGGAGTATGGGGAGGGTTCAGCCGCTGCCCTTGCCAGTCAGGCAAAGAAGTTTTTTCCTAACTTCTGGTTTGGGCTGCTAGTAGGCGTGGTAAGTAAAAATTATTTGAAAAGTCAACTCCTGTTATTCTCCGGCTTGGAGTTTGCTATGCCTGTATTTCTTTAGCTTCTAAAGCGAATTTACTAACCTGGTCGTCGGTAGGCCGCTGGTATTCCTGATCTTGAAAAAGATCCTCGACAAGACATTAGATTAGGTGATGTTCTTGTCAGCATCCCAGACATGTACCGCCCAGGAATTCTTGCATACGACTTGGGTAAAGATAAGGGGGGTGATACACTTGAGCTTCTTCGTGATGGCTATATCCTTGCTCAGACTGCGCAAATCGTGAGGGCAGCTATTGGCAGCATCAAACTTGGATCACCGAATGAGGCCGAGATATTTCGTCCGTTTTACGAAAATATGAAGAACAAGGAGAGGTTTATTGATCCTGGACAAGATCAGGACGATTTCTATCAAGTAGGAGCCGATGGTATCGAGCATATAGTAGAAAGACCAAAACGACCTGCTTCAGAGCGCACTAGAGTGTGGTATGGCCCAATAGGGTCAGGCGACAAACTCATGAGGAGTGCTTCGAAGCGCGATATGCTGAGAGATAAATATGGAATTATTGGCCTAGAGATGGAAGCAGCAGGTGTTATGAATCGAATTGATGTCGGCGTCATCAGGGGCACATACAACTACGCAGATGAACACAAGAACAAGAACTGGAAACCATATGCTGCGGCTATGGCGGCGGCATATGCCAAAGCACTCCTGTATCAAGTTCCACCAGTACATAGTGAGTATCAGCAACACCATTGCAATCACCCAATTGCTTCGTTACTAACCCCAATAGATCGATATGATACCCATGCGAATAATAAGCGAGACGAAGATTATACGGCCGAGTCACCAGCATTTAGTAGTAATGAAGTCGAGGAAGAACACAACAACCCTTTTAATCTAATCGAAGACGTACCTGAGAGGAAAGCAATTACCTTTGGGGATCAGGGCAACCACAATATAGACTCTGGAAGCATTCCAATTGGTGAAGGGCAGTACGTTTCTTGATTTTTTACGATAGGGGATTGTATTTTCCCTGGTCTGCAGGCTGAAGATGTTTCCTTAACTGTGTAAAAGTAAGAGCTCAGAGGAAGAATAACAATAAACGATACAGTGACACCTACCTCTTGATAGCGAATGTGATATTTATAGCTTCTCCCCAGTCCACTATATATAATAGATGAGCTGCTGTTTCTAGACCTTCAAAGAATATTAGTAGGGGTAGTAGCTAAGGCACAATTGTAGTATTATATTATCGATTATTGTTGGCACCTACATGTAGGGCAGAAACAAGAGATGTTAACATATCTCCTAAACCATCAATATCTTAACGTCCGGAGTGAATACGCCCCGGTCACTATATCTCGGCGTCACGGAGCTCCGATCACATCACACTCTATCAACAGCCTATAAAATACATAAACCTACACTCTACTCGAAACCACGAAATTTTAATAACTTAAATTTCATCAAGTATTAGCAATATTCTCAATATGTCTATCACTGTCGGAATCGCTGGCATAACCGGCAAATTCGCCCGCGAACTCACGTCAGCACTTCTCAAATACCCCGATATTACGATTAAGGGGTACTGTCGTGACCCATCCAAAGTTCCGGAGTCGTTATCTTCCAAGGTCTCGCTTTCGAAGGGAGACGCCTTCGACACATCCGCCATCCGTTCCTTTGTCGCCGGGTGCGATGTGGTTGTGTGCTGCTATCTCGGCGACGGCAAGTTGATGGTGGACGGGCAGAAAGCGCTCATCGACGCCTGCGCTGCCGAGGGCACCCCCCGCTACGTAGCTTCGGATTGGTCGTTGGATTATACTAAGCTTAAGCTGGGAGAACTCTTCCCCAAGGATCCGATGATCCATGTTAAGGCGTATCTAGATGCGCATGACAAGGTCAAGGGCGTACACATCTTGGTCGGAATGTTCATGGAGGTCTTCTTTAACCCAGTATTCGGTACCTTCGATGCTGCTTCTGCAACTTTCAAGTATTGGGGCACCGGTAACGAGATATGGGAAGCTACTACGTACCGGAATGCGGCTGAGTATACCGCAGCGGTTTGCGCAGATAAGGATGCCGTCGGTGTTAAAAAATGTAAGTCACCAGCGAATAGACCCTTTTGAATAACAGCCAACAGGTTTCCTCTCATAGTTGTCGGCGGACGGGCAACAGTCTGCGAGATCGCCGAATCGTTCGAGAAAGCCTATGGGGTAAAGCCTAAGCTCGAGAGCCACGGTTCAGTGGACGACCTGTTCAAGCATATGCATGGCCTACGAGAGAAAACCCCTCAAAATATCTACTCGTATATGTTTTTGTGAGTATTCGAAACTTCTCTGCACGTTCTTGAGGTTAAAGCTGATGCAATATAGATTCTTCCAGTACTATGCGATTAACGGACAGACGCTCCTGGGTCCCGAGTACGATAACAGTCAATATCCCCAAGTCAAGCCTGTAAATTGGGAGGATTATCTCAGATCGGTTCCGAAGGACCAATTGTTGAGTGCTCACTCAAATGTCGGAAACACCATGTAAGGAAAGGATGAGACGAGTTCGTAATTAACTAGGACACGTATCCACCCCTTTATATATGCTGAAAGCAATGACCGCTTTCGTATATTTCGTGATATTTTGATGTTCGTTTCGCACATAAATGAATACTTCAGGTACGCAGGTAAGTAATCGTTCTCATTAAGGGGTTTGGGTAGGAGGTAAGTAGTAATTATACCGGTCGTAACTCTTCGAGTATAACGAGGTAGTTATTTTCCTATGAGGTAGTCGTATCATAAGGACCATATTTCTTCTTTAATTATGACCGCTGATATTTGGTACATCTTCTACGCTAAGGGAAAAGGGGAGGGGGTGGGGGGGGATTTCTTTTTCAGGTATCTCCTTTGACTACTAGGACTCTATCGCCTAGGAATGAGACCTACGAAATTTACATTATAGAGACTATAACTAATAGTAGCGATTAGTTATCTAAGGAATTCAAGATTGGGCATAAAAGAGCTAGGCAAAAGACAGAACACTAGGTTCATAAAATATAAAGTATAAAGGCTTCATATATAACCTGATTGACAGACCGCCAGTCTCCAAATATGAGAAGCCTGGCTTGCATACAAAACATTATTGATATTAGCAACAGTCTCAACCATTTCTTCTAACAAACAGAAACTAACTAGCTATTACAAACCCACACTTCTATATTATATGGAAAAATCCCTGCCTATGGGAGAGTTTTGAACTGACTTTCCGTCTCCAGCCACGCCCCAAAGTCCTTAAGACCAGGGTTCATTTTCCTCAGCGACGCAATATCAGCTCCATAGCCAACATTGCGGAACCATTTAAACATAGACCCAAATTCCTTCGACATCCAGTTGATGAAGGCGGCGATAAAATGATATGTGGTAGGCATATCATCACCCGTCTTCTGCTTGAAAACCGTGGTGAACTGATCATACGTCAGCTCGTCCCCGGCCAGACTCAGTTTCTTGCCCTTCCACTGCTCCGGATTCCTAAACGCTTCGGCGGCGAAGAAGCCGATGTCGCTTGTCGCGACCAACTGAAGCTTCTGATCCTTCTCGAGTGTAATCTTCCAGCTCGTGGAGAAGACCTTACCGAGGAAGCCTGGGACCAGATTTTCGAAGAAGGCTACGGGTCGGAGGATTGTCCAATCCATCTCGCCGCCCTTAGTCTTCTCCAAAAGATGTTTCTCGATGTTGTATTTGCTGCTGAAGTGCGGAACGTCGGTAGGATCATTATCTGACTTGGCGCCACCACGGTCAACTGACGAGTACACCATATGCTTAACACCGTTCTTGAGCGAGGCATCGATTAAGGCCTTGCCTTGAGCTTCTTCCCTTCGAACATTTGCACCGCCGCCTATAGCTACCTATAGAAGTATTAGTATATTAACACATTTCCAGTTTGCAACTTCTCAACAACTTACCTGTACACTAAAGACCCCCCATATCGGTGTTTTGGCTATCTCCCTAGCATTTCTGAAGATGTTTTCGGGTGTGTCCATATCACCTGTCACTAGTTTGATCTTGGGGGACTTCTGTGCTAGCCGTTGAGCAGAGGCTGATTGAGCATCTCGAGTAAGGGCGAGGATCTCAAAGTCGGTATTGGCTTTTAGTAACGCGCTCACAACAGCGCCGCCTTGCTTGCCTGTGGCTCCAGTGATGAGAACTGCTCGCGACATGATGGTTGAGTAATGTTGGGTAAAAGTACCTAAACTATATAGATTAAAGAGGTATTGTAGAATACGGATGATGAAGAGTTAGAATATGGTATCTAAAAATCATCGTGGGCGGTCTTTTATCTTGAAACAATAGCGACCTAAATTCGACGTCAATATAATATTAAGCCTGAGTAATTCATGGAAGAATGAAGCAATGATTGTTGATCTCGGAGTTCTACGGCACCGGCCGAGACCCCACAACCGGAGCCCACAGCGACCGATTAAAGACACGCCCGGGTGTTCCGAGCTAGCCCGACTTTAGCGTCCCGCGCTCCACCAATCCCCTAGGTTAAGTTGAACACATAGACTATCAATATCTCGGGGTTGGCTGGGGCCGATTATCTTCTGTCATCATTTCCAATTACCCCTGTCGACAAGTTTTGTAAATATTTATAATCTAAGCGCTGACAAAAGGCGTCCAAGTTTTTGTATAACAGGTAGGTAACTTGGTAATCCTATAGTTCCACTCATTTCTAGAGGCATATCTATCAGGAATCGCATTGCTGCCGAGTTCTCGCCAGCCTAAGAATTATAGCACAGCGAGATCGCCACTTAGTCTACCTAGTACTATTTGAAGATTGCCATTTGTCCCCACTAAACTGCCAAGCTGTCCTTTCAGAACTAATATCAGGTTTCTACAGTATGGACCATAATCCTCCGTCAATGCCCTGCATCATAAAGTCATCAATGTCTTTCATATCACTAAGGCCGAACCCAGTGTCATGCATGTCGGTACTAAAGTACCCAGGGTCATAAGTCATATCGGAATTGCCATTTGAAACACCAGCGTTATAGGTTGATGCTTTAACATGGTCGAAAGCATAAGAACCTAGGTTCCAGTTGATATCTGGTTGTTCCGCAGGCTGGATTTCAGCTATCAAAGCCGAGTTGTTTGATTCTGCTTGTATCTCGAAAGTGGTTCGCAAGTGGCCTTGATAACCTGGCTGCTGTCGGCCAGACGTATGAATATGTGACTGCGGAAGTGACGGGGAGGCCGGTGGGGTTTGGGTTCCAAGCACATCGTGGACGATTTCGGTACTTGCTTCATCACAGCTACCATTGTTGTTGATGCAGACCGTTTTCTTTTGTTGAGACCATCTCTTGAGCTTCTTAAATGCGTCTAAAAATGGTCGCGACTGAGGGAAATACCCGTGCAGGGTTAAGGTAGTGAGCCTTTGGATCATCGCATCAAGAAGATCTAAAGGAGATGGCGGATTATAATTGTCAGGGCCTCTTGTTTGGGAACGTGACAACTCTTCAGCAAAATGTCCCAGCTTCAATAAACCAACTACCACGCACAGATTCCATACAAGAAATACGTTCGGAAGAGAACGTGTAAGGTCATCATGCAATGATAGATAAATATTCAGGGCATTAGCACCTACTATTAGGCTATGGCAGAGTGCGTCGGTATGTGTTGCGGTGAATGTTGGTGGCGGCCCGTTTGGATCTTCACTGTCCTTGATCTTAAGCCAAGTACGCATCCGATAGCTATAATCTCTAACCGCAACTTGGTGAATGTAGAAATCAGCAACTGAACCTGCGTGGTTTTTAAGACCTTTGAAATGCCAAAACATTAGTAAATTCTAAGAAACAGTGCTGATGAAGTCACACTTACGAGGATCTAGGTCTCCCGAGGATGATAGTTTCCAGTCAGCTAATCTCTGTCTGAAAATGCCTAGTAAATGCTGCGTTCTGAAGTTATCGAAGGATTCGTCCGCGCATGAATACGACGCATTTAACGTCTTTGAGGCATCATCGAAAATCTCTTGGAGAGCTACGAGGCTGCATAACCATTGATCGTCACTCCGCGTACCATTCCCTTGTGTCAGAGCTTCTATGCAAGCTTGGTGCGAGGTCGAAAGTATAAGGGGCTGATGCCGACGTAGAAGCGTTGCCGAACTATGAAAAAGCGGTATTAGTTAACTTCTGGGCAATGGATGCAAGATAAGTACCGACCATGATGCACCAAAATACACGGTTAGCAAAGTTCTATATGTATCTCTTTCTTGGTCACTGGTTCTATTATTATCTAGCTTAAGTGCGCCGCCTAAGTTAAGATCGTGAGACATGACCACAGCGCTGTATACATGCTGAGGGAGTGCGAATGCCTTAATGTGCGGGGGCTGTATGTAGTACTGTGAGAAGAGGACTAAAGACTGTAATAAGTCAAGAGATTTTGCGCCTTGGATAAAGACATCCTGAGCTAGGATGCTGTTGAGTTGTCCTAGAAGAGGATTCACGAGAGACGGCCTGAGCGATGTGCTAGCTATCGTTATGATAGTTAGGAATAATGTAGGCTTCGTCGCTCGGATAGCGTCTACATTTTCCTCAGCCGGGAAGCAGATCAAAGGCATCAGTGGCCGCATATGAAGATTCCAGTGATCAAACAACGTAGAGGCAGTTCGGATATCTACCAAGCCCTGACTGACAACATCACGGCTGACAATGAGTTCCGCATGGCGATCTTGTCGTTCGCTGAATGGTGGGGCATCGTCATCCCTAGAGCTCGAGTCGGGAGTTCTAGACCACCCCGCGTCTTCTCTCACTTCTTTGAGGGACTTCTGGTTTCGCCTTCGTTCAGCTTCCAGCGCGCTAGTTAAAGCGTCGATCTTCCTTTCGAGTTCAGTGAACTTCTGGGAAGTTTTCACTCGCGCTTTTGGCGGCCCCGGGTCTTGACAAGGACGAGAAAATCTTATGCAGGTCTCGCAATCTTTAGAACCGGGAACCGAAACGCATTTTATCTTCATGTTACGACATGCAATGCAGGCCCTGATTTTCTTGTGGCTCTGTTCATATTCATTTATGAGAATCCTGTCTTCGGACGAGGCGGGAGGTGCATCGATTGTTGCACTGGAGCCAGCCATGGCCTATGGTCCCTTTGAGAAGAATCCTACTTGGCGACCTGATGCAATCCTTGTGCGTATAATTAAGTGCGAGATCCAGAAAAGAATATGGAATTTGGAGGTTACTGCAATTCGATGTTTGATCGAAGAAGGGTTCATATGATGTAAGCTCCCCCATAAATGATAACGTCGCACTGGGGTCTTAATAGCGAGGAAGCAAATCCGATAGGCTTCTTGATTTTCAGGGATTTTAGTTCTATACTTTCTCCAAGATGGAACCTGTAGCATCAACCTAAATAGTTGTCATATTACAGGTTTGCGTTGTGAAAGTTACAAAGTACTATAAAACATCTCATTGATCATAATAGCAACGGGAATAAAATAATTACTTAAGAGGGTAGAATTGGTATAAGTTTAGAAGTAGCTCCTAAAATTATAAAGGCTACTGGTCTCATGTCGTATTCAAAATTTGTTGATTATCACCTGGTATGGCATGTTTACACCGAGCTACTAATACATTATACTAGTCAACGTTCATGATGTCGAAAGTTGCCCAGTTTAAGTCTCGTTGTAAGACACGTTTTTGGCGAAGTTTGCCAAGTGCTGCTTTAAAACCACATAAGGCCTACGTCATCGACAGACTGTCCAGGGTATATTTCCAACTTAAGTACTGCTTGTAGAAGCTAAAAACTGAAAACTATTATCTAACATACATTAGTTAATTTTTCTATTCAACATTTGACTTTGCTGATAGAGATTCCTCTCTAGACGGATTAACTCAGAATCAATCGATACGTGGTCTTCTTCACACTTACATGAAAACAACAGTCTACAACAAATCTATAATTCAAACCAAACACGCAACCATGCCTAGAGCGTTAAAAGTTGCTCTGAAGAATAATAGCAATTCAGATCAAGTCTATGCGTACATCACCGGTATAGCCCTTCAACACAGAGGGCAACGTTGCTTTCTCAAAGCCGACGGAGAGGGTCTTTACTTTCCGCAAAATCCACCCCGCATTGGTTCACCGCTGACCGAAGACTGCGCCATTCCCCTCGGAACGCCGGGGAACACGGTTACCGTCACGATCCCACAAATGGCCGGCGGTAGGATCTGGTTTTCTCGCGACGCAAAGCTTACCTTCTTGCTTAACCCCGGCCCTGGTTTAGTCGAGCCCAGCGTCTTAAATCCGACCGATCCCAATGCGGATGTTGATTTTGGCTTTTGCGAATTTACGCTCAACGATGCGCAGCTTTACGCAAATATTAGCTATGTAGACTTTGTCTCGCGTCTGCCGATAGGCATCTCACTGGAGCAGGCAAATGGCTCGGTCCAAAGTGTTACCGGCATGGCTCCTGACGGCGTAGATCGCGTCGCTGAGGGGCTGCGCCAGCAAGCGCAAAAGGATGGCCGGCCTTGGGACAAGCTTGTAGTCAACCGTAAAGGTAAGATTCTCCGGGTACTGAGTGCGACGCACGGGAATGCCGTGCGTGCGAACTTCTGTGGTTACTACGAACCGTATGTGAATGAGGTGTGGGAACATTTCCTCGCAAAGCAGAAAGAAGGCCAGGTCCTGAAAATCAACACGCAAGCCGCACCAGGCATTTTAAGTGCCCAGTTCATGAGTAATGGCGAGGTACAGATCGGTAATGAGAAGTTTGGTAAGCCAAATACGGCGGACATCTTTGGTTGCAACAGCGGTCCGTTCACAACAGGACCGTCCCCTACGCGTAACGCCATCATACCGCGCCTAGCTGCTGCATTTGTGCGCACTGCGCTGCTAGAGGCGTACGAACATCCTTCGCAACCGCACACATTCTACCAGAGAGACCCGACAAATCATTATGCTCGCATTGTACACGAGCACAATGTTGATGGAAAAGGCTATGCCTTTCCTTACGACGACGTGCAGCCAGATGGCGGTGATGATCAGTCAGGGAAGGTCAATGCTGGCGATCCAGTAATATTCACGGTTACCGTTGGTGGCGTTCAAACCTAATACATGCAATTCGCTACCCCTAGGTTCGGAAGTTTTCATAATATCTTTTTTCTTTAGGCGTGTACCTGGTCAGGTACCTACCTATCATGGTATCAAGGAAGATTTCTAGTTAGAAAGCCTCATGGTCAGGGGATCACGGTTGAATAACAAGGTACTTGAAAAAGGGAACAAAATTGGTAACAAACTTAATAAAGCAATATCGAAATAAGTATACCTCATTTACCATCTACGATTAATATAAAAGCAATCAAGTCTAAGTCCAATCTCATGCTCATTTACTCCGACTATGACTCCAAACTGTTCTTGCTAGGATCTTAGGGCTTGTAAACACTGTGAAAGTCACCTAGAATCGAGGTTGTATTAATCCTCTACTAGTTGAATTTTAGAAATTACGAAACTGCAAAGCTTGAAGTGTGCAACGACTAACAATTAGATACAGATTTACAAAATATTTCACATCCTAGAAGTTCAAAGCACGAAGGATTACAGAGTTGAGCTAACTAGCCCATATGATATATTTATGCGTAGTGCAATAAGTTAACTGTATTTATATCCAAGCGCGTTCCCATCACCGTGCCGGCAACGGAACTAGTCTAACCTCTATACCCAGACGACTGAATAACAATGGGTATTAACGCCATAACGCGCTAGGAAGACCATGATGATTACAATATCTATGCGAAGGAAGTCTATATGATTGTATCTCTATTTTCATAATACTGGCGTTTACTATGGAACCGTTAGTCATTATAACAAATAAGTGCATCAGCAAAGGATTAAACTTACGCAAGAGAGGTCGTAGCTCGCCTGGACCGTGTTAAGGTCACCCGCCGGGAAGATGCCGAAATCTGGCGAGGCTTGTCCCCATTGGGATTCCTGAAGGTCGTACCACCACAGGTTAACACCGCGCGCGATCAGGCTGCAGGCAATGTCTTGCCAGTAGATGCGGGCGTTTTCGGGACTGGCTACGGCTTGGCCAACAGTCTTTCCAGATACGGGCCACCCGGTCTCAGTAACGTAGACAGGCTTGTTTCCAGCTAGAGCAATAGTCTTGTTGAGTCCGCTATAGAATCGTTCGTGCGCGTCGCCGATGCTGTTAGGCAGGGCCTGCTCCCAGTACGGGTAGCCGTCGAAGCCAAGCCAGTCGATGTTATCGATGACGGCTCGGTTGGTACCGTTCAGGAAGGAGTCGTAGGTATCAACGTGGCCGATGGGCACGCCGGCAAGAGGAGTACCGGCAATGGCGCTTCGGACCTTGCTGATGCAGTCGATGAGCTTCTGGGGGCCAATGCCAACTTCGCCATTGGCGTCACGGTAGAGATCCTCGCTACCAACTGAGATACCAACAACTAAGTCGGTGAATGCGGATCCGTATTGGCTGATCGCAGCCTTAAGAGCAGCGATCTCGTTTGTGATGGCTTGGTCACTACCCGAAACCCAGAGACCCAAGAGTAAGGTCGTCTTTGTGTTGATGGCCGCCGGGATTGCGCTGATGACGGTGTTTGCGGTTTGCCATTGGACTGTTAAAAAGGAGTAAGTATAAAACAAATATTTCTACGGATTAGTTCGAATATGAAATCTCACTTACTCATAGAGTAGAGACGGGCACTCGTCCATCCACTTGTGCCTTGGAGGTCCTTGGCGCGGTTGAACTCATACTCGAAGTCGGCTTGCTGCTTAGCGGCCTGGTTAAGGAAGAAAGCTCCGTAGTTGAAGCCCCTGATACCAGTGTTGGCAGCAGTAGCAGCAGCGGCGGCGGTGCTAGCGGTGGCAGCGAGGCCGAGGACGGATGAAGCGAAGCGCATCTTGTATGTATATAATTACTGTATTAACAAGTACCCAAGACCAAAAATTAAGTAGCAAAGCGAATGACAGCTACGATATTGCAGCGATGAGGCGTAAGAGTAACGAGTGAAATGAGTATTAAAGAAACTCTATTAAGTCTACTCTACTGACTGGAACTCAAGAAGTAAAGAAAGAAAAAAATCAAGAGGAAGGAGATAATATATAAAGGGATCAGCAGGTTCTAGAAGCTGCAAAGCAACTTATTCGGATAAGGGATCGAAAATCGGATCGCATCAACCATCCCTTGCACCGACCCCCTGTACCTACATCTTCATTCGTCCCGGAATTTCAAGAAGCTCCACAGACGGTGGAGGACCAGTCTGTCTGCCCAGTCTGCCCAGTCTGCCCAGTGAGAGAGATCAGTGGAAGGCCAGTGGATCTGCCGGCGCCATAACGGCTAACCCCCTGAACTCGTATTATCGACCCACATGCCGCTCAGCCTCAAAATCTCAACCAAGACCGACAAATGGCAACGCATACTGTACGAAGCTAGGGTCGGATCGCTTGCGCGGACGCGTAGTGCATTTGGGTCGGCCGTGAGAAAACCTGGCAGCCCTAGTTTTCGTAGTAGCGGTTGAACCAGTTGTTAATGTACATTTATTGATTCCAATTACATACATTTATTTTTGTCCACTAAGCTCCGACTTGGCACCTAGGTTAGGTATGTACCTAATGTATGTGAAGAATCTCAGTTCTGATTGGATCTGTGAACGAGTCAAGATTACATGTATGTATTTATTGCATATGCCAATACGTACGTATGTACCTCATACATAGAGCATTACATATGTACTTAGTAGACTGATAGATCGTTTTTATGCAGATCAGACCCGTCCGCCTTAAAATATCTCAGGAGTCAAAAGTGGACCTTTGCAATTCTGAAAACAAGGAATTGATATATCGCCAAGTTGCAAACTTGCAAAAAGTGTATCAACGAATGCGCAAGCCCTAGAAAAAGAGTGGTTCTTCAACGAGATTTCTAATAGTAAGTTGCTTCTTCTTTTTTTTTTTTTTGTAGGCAGGTATATAGATAAATGTATTCAATCCGAAAGCCGATTGCCCGTATTCTTCCAAAGAACAAAATACTTCACAATTCCTTAACCATCAGCAAATACATAACAAGCCCCTAAAAAAGACGCTAAATGCAACATTGAAGTTAACTTAAGGCTTGCCACAATCTACCAATGCTAGCTATTTACATCTCGCTCACATCCCCTTAACGTATTGTACAATTATACTCCTATTTTTAGTATCAATATATAGGGGTTGGCCAGAAAAGAATAGCCTACAGTACTAAATCGACTGGTTGTATTTACTATTCATAATTTCAGAAACTAATTTCACAACTCTCCATCATTTCGATCATTTAAAAGTATTCCTTAGCTTTGCTCATTTCTTTTATGCTTTTTGCCCTATGGGAGCTTAGTATCTTCAAGATGGGAGGAACTGAGCATGTGGTACAAGTTACCTACAAACTAGAGGTCATTCGCACTGATCTATTAAGTGTTATTAGTCAACTTCTAGGTTTAAGTATCTTAAAACGCAGAATACCAATAACTTCAACGCTGATCACCTTCAACCGCGGGCGATTAAAGTTCAATACTCAATGTCAAGTTATATTACGAGAATATCATCAATAGGGATAATATGTACATGTTATAGCACACCGAAACTAATAATCTAGCCCTTACTAACCATCTTGCTATAAGGAATGCTATTTGCAAATTACTCCGAGACGTCGCCCACATCACTAACCTTTTTTTGTCCATATGGTTGGTACACAGCACGAGAAGTTTTTAGCAACTTCAACACGGAGAATTGATTATCATCCGGTCTTAAGCCTACCTAGGTATGTATTCTCGGAATACTATGTATGGCTATTTTCGCCTCTTGGTGGACAAGCCACTTTGAGAATCATAGAATACAAGGACATCTCGATTGTGCTTCAACAAGAGATAGGTTACTTGGGCCTGTCCAAAGCATCATTCTCTCTTGGAATGAAGATGAGTGATAATGGGGAAGTGTTTGACAATATCAACACAGCTTTTCTGGCTTCTCTTGCGTCGCCTCGGGCAATTAAAGACGGCCAACAAGATACTTGGGCTAACATCAAAGTACCGATGATCGAGGGTATACTAAGATATATTTCGTCTAGAGATAATTCAAGTGACTGGATAACTCTCCCCGACCATCTTCCCAACACACGATATTCTTTACTTATTGGAATTCCTACAGCAAACATCCCCGATACTGGCACCACTTCATTCACAATGGAAACATCCTATCGGACTATACAGTGTCCGGAATTGATATACCCAAAGGATTATGATGATGCATATTGGGTCCATAACACACTTCCGACCTTCAATGGAATTTTTCCAATCGCTGGTCTCAAGTTTGACCATGAACGATGGTTCATCCGCACAAAGTGTACGAAGTGCGTGGGGCTGGATCCTTTCAGTTACGAACAGTGATAATCTGAAAAAGCGCCGTGAGTCGAAGCCTAGTGAGAATGCCCCTCTACGAGAAGTCTTTTCCCGCAGCGAAAACGTGGGCAGTGACTCCCACCTGAACCCTACCGCAGTTAATTGCAGCCTAGCAACGATCTACGTTGAGGTGTCTATTCAATGTACAGGGTAGGAATGCAAACTTGATCGGATGTGGAAATCACAAAATAGTGTGAACGGTCGGTCGAGCTAATGCATGGACTACACTCGACCTATGCCCTGGAGATGATTTTCAATAGATGTCTGCCCGGTTTCTATCACATTTCGTGGAGGCAGCTGATTACTAACGGAATAGGGGTGCTACACTTGGAGTGCTACAGAATTACATACAGTCTCCCGCCGCCTCTTTCACTACAGACAACTATGTTACAGACCTCACAAATGTTGGGAATACTACGCCTTCTCTACAGCTCGCTCAACTGCTGAACACTTACTAGTCGGCAGTTTATGGTCATAGCATCACATTCGAAGGTCATCCTCAGAAATTCCTTAACATTACAAACTATTATTTTTACGCGCACAGCCCATTTACCTATGTGGACGGTGAGTACACACGACCTGATACCCGTTTTGTTCATAATCGAGGCTGGATGGCAATACTGATCATTTCTACAAGTGCCATGTTCGCAGCTGGTATTGCAAAACTAGTACTAGACTTGAACATCTGGATACCTGGTCTTCTCATGAACGTATTAACACACGAGGAAATGGATATAACTGTCCCAGCCTTCCATATGGAGGATCTACCTTGGAAGATAGTAGGAGGTTGAGATACTTACGTGACCGGATGGTCAGGTTTGGAAATATCTTGACAGGGGATGGTCATGCGGGTGAGCTCGGCATAGGAGAGTCCATAGAAGCCGAAGGCATGGTTACGAAAATTAGGGGCGACATGAAGTACTGGTAAGAAACTATCACCTTATAACGATCTATAACCTCTAGGTTAGACTTCTTGTTCTTATTATGAACTCCTAACTTATGACCTCGCAAGATCGTTAAGACCACATAATTACTAGTTGGGGTTGTCCTTCCCTTGACTACGCGTAAGTAGTACTACGAGATTCACTAATAACGATCTCATGTAGGTAGCTAAGATGGCTACTTGTATTATGGGTAGTTAGGGTTGTGCTATGTGTACGCAGTAGTCATTCTATTCCTCCTTACTCCTTGAAAATAAAACTACCTGCTGAGAGCTTGTGTTATGAAGAATGATACCTGTACATACCCAATCGGCTTCACCATGACAGATTATGGTTACTTCATAATGTGAACAACACCCATCCATCTGATCTAAGCCAGGTACCTAATTTAGTACACCTTTTAAAGTGATTCTTAGAATTAACACATTTATATCAACTTGTCTAAGTCAGGTAGATACGCTGTTTCCACGTATATACTTGCGGTGTAATAAAGCATCAGTCACAATTTCATCACACATTTCTTCGATTCCCGTACTACGTACCGATGTACCTACTAATATATATATATATAACCTCTCCCCAGCAGCAAAATGGCCTTGGATCTGGTTATGTATGCTACATCCACCTTCACCAGCACTCTATCATCTCATCAAAGAAGCCAACCGATCCACAGTTAACTTCGACCGTTTCGCCGTCATCGCAAAGCTAACCATCGTCTATCCCTACTACACACATTTCGAATTACCCTTTCTCAGCAAAGACTTCATGTGTTCCTACATCGCTACCTCTTGGTTTTGCATCGTTTGCAATAAGGTTACCTGCATCGTCAAAACTGATCGGCACTCATGCGGACACGAAGGCACTTCTCGCTGCGTATACACTGAGAGAATCAGGAACACGATTCGTATTCGTTGCGTCGACTGTCAGAAAAAGGAGGAGGAAAGGAACTCCGGGAGACGTTAATATAGGATCTCTTTTTCGTATTCGACCGTTTCGCCGCCATCGCAAAGCTAACCATCGTCTATCCCCACCACGCACATTCCGAACTACCCCTTCTCAACACATACACCATGTGTTCCTACATCGCTACCGCTCATTTTTGCGTACTCTGCAGTAAGACAATTCGCACCGACAAAGCTGATCGGCGCTCATGCGGGCACGAAGGCACTTCTCGCTGCGTATATACTGAGAGAGTTCGGAACATACAGTATGTTCGTTGCGCAGACTGTGTGAAAAAGGAGGAAGAAAGGAACTCCGGGGGACGTTAAGATGGGATCTCTCTTTCATATTCGTGGTTTAGTATGATGGGTTTCCATCCTAACCATGGCAAACATACGGGACTTGCGGGATTCGATATCCCTGTGCGAAGAATTATTTTATGTAGCATGACTAGGTAGCCATACAGGTTAGCTTCTTGCTATATACATGCATTTATATATCTTATAACTAATGATTTGTGTCTTACTCGTGTGCGTCCGTTGTGCTATTAATCACGATTAGCTTAGTGTAGTTGTGCGAATCACAGATGATGATATTTTAATTGTATTACCTTCTTCCTCTTCTACGAATATATAAACCAGCCTCCCCAGATCTCAGAATGGTTCTCTACCCAGACAAACCAACTACATCTACCTATCCACCAACAACTTCCATCACAGACAGCAACCCAATCCACGGCAACTATCAAGTTACCCACCACATTATTATCAAGAGCCTCTTGACCACGAAACCCATACGTACCTACCTAGACAACTTTTTGCTAGTACAGCTAACATGTGTACCTACACTACTAAGGTATATAGGTGCAAAAAGAATAGCTGCGGAGCTACTCTCTTCTCCGAGATGATCACAAAACGGCGGTGCGCCGACTACGGTACTCCACAGTGCAGACTAACGGAGACTGGTCGTGTGTACGACGACTCAAAGGTGTGTGCGGTGTGCGAGGAGGAAGCGGCTGAAAAGTCGAAGTGATGTTCCCGACCTAACGGCATGCGTTGTCTCATTTGATTCCTTGAATGAGCGCAGTCGTTTGACTTCAGGAGATAGCAAGGAGAGACTTAGGAGATATATCTAGTGTTCATGCCTTGCCCAGAATAATTATAAGAGACCTTAGATATCCTAAGGCTCTTACCGGGCTAGATCAATATATTTAGTTGACCCCTATTATTGACCCCTATTATTGACCCCTATTTTTCTTGATTTGACGTAGAGAGTGACATGCAAACAGACGAATGAGATGTCCAAAACAGTGTTCATATACTGTTGCCCTAAGATACCCACCAGTTAAATGTATTCCATACTTCACATCAGGATAATCGACGGCCTTACCCTCCAACACGACCGCCGTATATATATGTACTCGCTTCACCCTACTATGTAGATTTCAACATACAACCCCTCTCCTGCCCTATCTACCAACCACCCCCCAATCCACTACGCCTTAGCCTCCAACGCCCTGGCCCTAAACAACTCCTTATAAGTCTCAACAGCCGTATCCTTCAAAGTCCCATACTTCAGCCCCAACACCCTAGTCGCCTTAGACCCATCGATACGGTACGCGTCCACCGGCGACCAATCCCCCACCTTGCCCACAGGCAGGCGTTCCCGCGCCTCCGGCAGCGCCTCCCGCGCCGCGTCGACCGCCGCCTCGGGGACCTCCAGGGCCCGGATGTGCGCGGCCGCCACCTCGCGGGAGTCGGCGTAGCCGCCGAAGTCGAACGGCGGGACGGACGGGCTGTCGATGATGTTGTTGAGCAGCGCTACCGACTCGCTTATCGCCGCCGTGCTCGACAGCTCGTGCGCGTATGGCCCGAATACCCACGGCGGGCAGATCGTCGCCAGCGCGAACCCGGCGTCCGGGTGGCCGTCCATCCACGCCCACATGGCGCGCTCCGCGAGCGCCTTGCTGGACACGTACGCGATGACCGCCTGGGCCTTGACCGCCGAGTCCCACGTCACGGGGTTCCAGTCCTTCTCGTCGTAAGAGTGGCCCGGACGCGTGCCTTTCTCCGGGTCTACGACGGCGGCGAGCGAGCTGGTCGCCACTACGCGCCGGACTTTACTGCCGCCGTACTTCAGCGCGGCCTCGAGGATTGTCGTCGCGCCCTTGGTCGCCGGGTCGAGAAGGTCGCGAACATTGTCCTGGGGATTAAAGTTCAGGGGCGACGCCGAGTGGACGATGCCCTCAATAGACCCGTCTGCGAAAGCCGCGGCGTAGGACTCAAGGACCGTCATGTCTGGGACGATGGTAGAAGAAAGAGAGGAGGCATAGGAGGGGTAGTGCGAGATAGTACGGGCTGCGGAAGATTCTGTGCGTGCCGTAATACGTACGTTATACCCGGACTCTAAGGCCTCCCTGACGATCTGACCACCGACGTAGCCACCAGCGCCGGTGATGAGAATAGTGCCTTTGGTCTGAGTAGCAGCCATGTTAAAGTTAATAAAGAGGTATTTGTAAGGTTCGGTAAATAGTTAAAGAGGTGTGTGAGAGCAAAGTAGTTTTAATGAACGTAGTCGACATGAGTAGAGGCGAGCAACGGGGTTTTTATCGAAGGGTTCTACAGACAACAGCCGACTGACAAGCATAAATACATCATCGGTATGGCTACTAGTGTGCCAATGGTGGTGGCTGCATACCCGGGCTTAAGGTGCGCTCTGCATGTAGCTCAAGTGTGTGTGTGTGGTTGTTTCTGCAGACTAATATACCGATATATATAGGTAAGTGATTACTCATGTATAAATCTAACTCACGCGAAGATAGGGGTGTGGCATCTCTACGGATCAAGTCAGTAATTACTTACCTAGGTAGGTAGTTTACTGATAGACTTCCATCCAACATGCAATCTCAACAACAAGTTAGTAAGCGGCTTAAGATATACTACTGACTGTACCGGCCGCATAATGGCGTGCCCGTCACCAGTTGATTCCGTGATTCCCCGTCCCCGGTTTTTGGTGTTTTAGAGGTACTTAATCGGTCCTCCGAAATAAAAGCACTGGTTCCGGGGTTTGTTTTACCTACCTAGATACCTACCCAGACCTAAGAGAATCCCAATAGGGGAACACACCGGCCGGGGTTTAGCACATCGTACAGATGACCTAACTATTTCGCTGCACACTACTTGGACTATTTTTATTGAAATATGGGAATAATTTACGACATGTTTATATAGAGCAATAGCGTATTGGTGCAGTGTCGGGCTAAAATATGACCGCATATGTAATGGAGGCTTAATGGTAAGATAGGTGGTAGATATATGGCAGCTTCTATTGGTTTTATAGCCGTCGGATCAGAACGGAGAATTGAGACATGGTTTTTCGGCGATTCGGCGATTCGGCCGTATACACCGAACGGTCCCTTTTAGGGAGTTATTTTATCGGCGATGACCATTTTTGAGCTTCACAAAAACTATGCTTTGTGATATCTATTATATTCCGCTTCCATTGTGCCGAACGAGGGAAGAAAAACAAAAGCCTCCCAGTCAATGTTTAACCAAGGTAGTAAATATGCTATACCGTACACCCTATACTGTACACCTGTACACACCATACTAGAATTTCCAGGTCCATTCTATGTACGTATCCTGCGTGCTAAAGTCAACAAAGGTGGCTCCTTGGCAGATAGTGGGTATATATGAATGAAATGGAACTTACCCGCACGACCTGTACGAACAACCTTAACTCCGGAGCTTCAATAAGCAACAGGACTACCCAAAATCCTTATTTATATTCCCGCTTTAACTCCATCAGGCCCAACTTCCTTGGTTATCGATTAACCTCGCGCTTCCCGAGATACTAGCCCTGGCATTGGCACTGCCATGTACCATCTCTATTAGCTTGCCCCTTTGCCGTGCGCGTAAGTTTTCGAGGTATACGCCCACGTCCTCGAGGCTTTTTATCTGCTCCTCGAGAGAGAGGGTACTGCTGTTTACGCTTCGTACTAGCGGCGAAACCAGCTTCCGTCTCAAAGTCTCAAGGTTGGCTTTTAAGGTAAGGAGTTTGCCATTATGCTCTACCAGTATGCCTTTGTTGCGCACTGTCTTCTCGCGCACGTTCTGAAGTAGTTCGCGGTTACGCTCATACTTCTTCACCTCGCTTACTTTAGGCCCTAAAATACGTGTCCACAACGAAGAGAGGAAGTCGGCGTGCTGTTCATCTTGTTGCGATGACTCTCGCACGACGACACGCGCCAAGTTTAGGAACTGACGGTCGATAGCTTCGAAAAGGGCGAACAGTGATAGCGAATGGTGTAGTTCGTTCTCGATAGCTTCTTCCAGGACCGATAGGAATTCCGTAAATGTCCGTTGAAGCGCGTAACGAGTTCGCTGCGGATGCGACATACCAAACATGGTTGTCGCTATATCGCCCAATCGCGTCGGCATACCTGTGTTGGGATTCTCGAAAACGCCAGCCACGGAGAGCAGGGTGTGAATGTTGGCAAATGCTGTGGAGAGAGGTTGGCTTGGGACGGCTTGCACTTGCGATAGCTCTCGCCGCGCCCAGTCCATCACAATTAATATACTGTCAATGTCGCCGTCAACATTGGAGAAAAATTTTGTGAGCTCAATAGCCAGAGTCTTCAAGCTTTCTGAGAGTTCATCAAGTGACTTTACAATAATAGGCGCCGATGTCATATTACTTGACCGAACACTCTCGCCAAGATCCCACACAGCAACACCGGTTGCTTGGAGGTCGCCAACCTGAGAGACGCCATTTTCTGAGTAATAGATCAATGGTTCGAAGGAGCGCGCAATACCTGCTACCTTGACCAGATCAGGCGACGGTCGCGGCGGTGCGGGCTGGAAAAGTGTTCGGATAGCAGTCATTGATAAGAATGCGACGAGGGTTGCGACGATGATATTTCCCCATGATTTTGATCTTAGGAAATTGACAGCAGCCTCAATGGGCTCTGTTCGCTGTTGGATATCAGCACGTAGCGCTAATCGGATATCTAAGTTGAAGTTAGAATGGCTGTCCGGATGTATTAATTTGCTAAACTTACAATTATCCCTAGAAGCACCAGGCGACATGGACGCTATTATACCGTTTTGTGTCGTCCCTCCATTTAAATGGCCATTAGCTGGCGACTCGCTCTTCAACTTGACCAGGGTATCATCCTCAGTTGGGCTCTCTGGTTCTGGTGTAACCCCCTTTTCGGGACTTAAACTTCCTGTTGGCAGGCGCGTCCTACGAGCCGCCTCGAAGATATCGTTCTGGAAGATGCTGTTATTGGTATGATTTATGCGCCTCGGCTGGTCGAAACCTCCCAAGATGTCCCTACTCTCGCGCCAATTTCCGTACCACCGATCTCCATTCTCAAGCCTTTTCCATGCCGGTGGACTGTAATTACGATCTGACAGAGACATGTCGTCCATGTCGCTCTCTTCTTGCAGATCGAGGTCCTCGTCCGAGAAGCCAAAGCCTAAGTGGGTTGGCGGAAACCCGAACAGTTTCTGTCGCGACGGTGACATCGGAGTCGCGAAGCTTGTGTCGTCTCGACTGTTCTCTGAGTACATAGACGTCATGATCATTGAGGGCGCCTTGGCTGGTTGGCTTTGAAATACTATTTATACTTATAGTTGAGCTCGGTGTCGGGCTTGGAAGCGCTAGTTTGGTACGTGAGGAAAAGAACGAGCGCAAACTTTGAGTTGAATTCTGCGCCCGGTTGGTGGTTAGGTGGATAAGAGACTTTTCTGAGTTTGTCACTGATCCGGGCGCAGGCAATGCTGGCAGAGCCTTTTGTCGATGCGATCTTTGAGTGGGTGGTAGCGCCTTTCGTCGTGGTAGTGTCTCAATTTGCGATCCCGGTCGCGGTATAATAGATGACGGCACCCTAAAGGAAAACCGAGGAAAGTGGGTAGGTAAGATGTTCCGTAGCGGTATATGGCCGATTGAGATAAGGTAAATGAAGAAAAAGGCGAAAGTGAAGGCTAGTGCGACGAGGAATGTGCTGGGCGCAATGGTGATGCTGAAAAGTGATACGTGATTATGAGTCTCGATAGATACCAAGGGGCGCATTGAGATCGGAAGCGACCGGCCAGGTAAGCTCTGGGGTCGTCTAGAGTATTCAATCTAGTCGTCCGGAATGCTATCGTCGGCGATACTAACCAAAACGACTAAAAGTATAGAGGTAGGTATGCTGTGTTGGTATATCGGTATGTCGGGTATGTCGGTATGTAAGTTGGGTCGGCAACTTGGTTGAACGCTGGGATTAATCACGATAACAGTGTGGTTTCGCAAGTAGTCAAGGTTGGTTGGGCTATAAAGCTCCGCGCTTATAATCTTGGCTTGATTCTTTACTTGATTGAGCGTATTTGAGTATGTTGAGTGCAGTAACAAGGCTGTATACTCAACTACCAGTAGTTGGGATCCTATCGAACGATGTCGTCGCGGAAGATGAACTTCCAAAGATTGCGCAAGAGAGTAGCTAGACTCTTACGAACCGAAGAGGAGCGGATTCGTTTGCGCCGGTAAGTTCCAAAGCGCAGTAAGGTGGGTAAGGAAAATGGACGAATGAACGACAACTTTGGCCGGTGGTAAGACGGGAAGTAGAGAAAGTAGAGAAACAGCTGTGCGAAATTAAGAGGCTGGGAAACTCTGGGAAGCTCTGCACCGTCTCAACCTTCTCTGGTTACTCCTTCCACTTAGCCACTTAGATCTCACTTTTGAGACCCCCCACCTTCGGGATGTCGCAGGAGAGGTCCTATAAGCCAATAGATCTGCTTCGTTTTTGGTCTCTGTACGACAGACCAAATGCAAGGGTCAATTAGGTACCTTTAAACTCTATAATAGCCTGTTTTAGGAATGCACTTGGACGAGAAAGTACGACAGAATGATAATATGTTGATTAGATATACCTAGGTAGGTACTAGGAAGGGGGATTCTTGCCCCCTAGATACCAACTTAAAAGTCTGTGACTTGGACAGCCAAAGAGTAAGTGAGTCAGTAACATATCCTGTACCTAAGTACTACATATGGTAACTTCCTCTGTTACTTTGTACCCCCTCTCCCCCTTGTCATGGTAGCGTCGGAAGGAATGCGATCATAAGTTCTTGACCAATCATAATAAGATATTTAACCTATGAGTTGTCGTTGAGTTAAGTGCTTGCATGAACGAATCATCTCTCACGGTTTCCACTTAGCCAGTCATATCTTAGCGTGATTACAGCTGCAAGCACTTTGACGCGTTCCAAACAACCCAGACAACAAACCACAAGTAAGTCTGATATAGTTCAATCAATAAACATTAGGTAAATATGGCATTATGATTGGACAAATAGCAAACTTGGATCTGGTGACCTATTGTAAGTTGCCTGTTTAAGTTGTTTACATACTGTACATACTACATACTGGCATTTGGTTATCCTACCTACATGCTAACCTAGGTAGGTATTTAGGTATTATACAGGTAGGTACTTATTATACTCTTTTACCCCGCACGTCATGCTGCTATAACGTCGAATCTTATCGCACTATCGCGCCATCGAATCACTTATCACCCCGCAGTTGACCAGTTGCCGGTTGACCCCGGCCATTTCCTACGACCGAGACCCGCTGTAAGGTACCTACCTAGGTACCTACGTATCCAAGTACCTACATGTATGTCTTCCTTCTCTTGCCCTTCCCCCTCCCCCTCCTTCTCCCCCCTCCACTCGATTTATGCGGCGATGTTTCAACCATCCTCCCGCTACCGATGGAACAATGCATTGTTACCTACCTGAGAGCCTGCAAAAGATATGTATTATGTATGCTATCGATTAAAAACGCATGACTTTTATGACTTCGATGTCTCTTTTGTTAATGAATCCTTAACTTATCCTACTTTCATATCTTACATCCACAACACAACACAACACAACACAAAAGATTTATCCCGACTTGGGATATATTTGTTTGTATTATCAGGTACCTAGACCTTATCAAATGGCGATATGTCTATTCCTTACCTAGGTAGCTCCTACGGCTATTATAGGTATAGTTGCTACTCTTAATATCAGCTGGACACAGTGGTATCCTAACTCTTATCGTCGAGTATTATGTTTCATTTCACACCGTAATACCAGATAGGGTAAGTGGGCCAGAGACGATAGAGCTAGATTCGCGTAACGATGTCACCACAGATGTTGTCCCACATTCCAACAAACTCGTTCGAAGAGACACCATTAGAACCTCCTCTTCAACCCCGGAAGTGAGCTCGAAGGGTTTCTGGACGGGTCCTTATTTTGATAAAGAAGGCAAAAAGCTTAGACCGAATATTAGCTAGTTATCCCCTAACACAACTCCTTAGGATCTCATACAATCCCCTACCATCTCATTTACATTCCTCGCTAATTCTGCTTTTTAGAATTTGTGTTAACTACCTGAAACATGCATCTCGTTAGATAGAACCCTCTAACATACACATATACATATACACAGTGTATAGCTGCCAACTTATGTAACATAAAAGCCAGATGAGGTGGCGGATCCACAGCGTCTTCCTCTATATCAACAAACCCACAGGCTGCGAAAATATGCGGTAATTCCGCGGCCCATGTTGGCCGGACCGACATCAAACTCCACAATTCTTTCAGTTTGTCTATTCCGTTCTCTGGTTTCGTGGTCTCAAATCGTAAATCTGCCGTCTCTAGTTCTCCCCACTGTATGCATCCACTAGGTTCTACTATTGTAAGACGTCTGCTGTTAGCAGTAGAAGGCCAACATCTAGGAGCATGCGGAGTATACGGAGGATTGGTTCACGAGGAATTTCTTTAGTCAAAAAAAACGAAAGCAAAGAAATTGATGTAAACCATGTTTAAAACACCGATGAGGTCTTCTGGGACGTCGGAAAAGACACCACAGTGCTGAAAAGGTCCAAAGGGGTGCCAACATCGGCCACTCGTAAATTAGTAGTCTATGTAGGGATATTTGGTTTTACAAATATATCCGAGTGTTTTGGTCCAAAGGATATTCATCAAATTGATAATACAATCACAACAGGACTTGTTAGCTACCTAGTTAACCATACAAACCCCAATGATTGATCAAGACATTTAGCATGATTTTTAGGTATATACTGATTGTTGTTGTTGGTATAATCCGAGTAAAAACATAATGTGTTTTTGAAGCCATCTATAAATCTAGGGGAAAATAGGTGTCTAGACCTAAGATTCCGTATAGAAAAGAGCAGTGATATCCCTTTATAGCAGCCGCAATTTATGGTACATGTTTGTAAAGTCGTGCAAAACACTAACAACAAAGAAAAACGACGGATATCTCGATTGCTTGGGAATATTTAACAATATTCAACTTAAATACCTATATTATTAATGCGACTTTACAATGGTGCCCCTAACCCCTGGTAATAAGCGAGTAGTATCACATCAAACATGACCTCTAAACCCAGTTTTCCTCACGATGCCTCTTAGATAATGCAAACAACGAGGCAGCCAAGAAGTGGTCTATCGAACTGATCTCAAATTAAATTACAACACTGGCCAGGAAAGGGCTGACAAGCCGTTCGATGCGTAGGAAATTAACAGTTAGCTACAACACAGCCACGGTTGCTTACTTTGCTCTTCCATGTGCACGGGCTAGGTCTTAATTAAGCCTTTATATCCCGATCTACTAATTTCGCTAGGCAGAGCTATACACAACAGCCAATGGGGAGTTGAGTACACACCCCCTTACTTCCCGTGGGGGCGGAGAATTGGGAATACCCTCGTAAGGACAAGCAAGGAGATACGAAACGGTAGATTTAAACTACCAACGGAAACACCTACTGAATAAGATTGGCTCAAGACGGATAGCATAGAATCGCAGAACTCTAAAATTAGATAAAATGAGTAGTAGATGGGCCAGCCATGAATTCATTGCCGTTTACTTGAGACGTAACTAACCCTCGTATAAACAGGACAAAGACACGCTTAATGTAAATGCCTGCATTTTTATGTTTATTTCCAACCAACAAGAATTGTAAAAATGAATTCTATAAATCTTGCCTTTACCTATTAATCTTTTCTTTCTACATTCATTACCATGTCAGGCACTTGATCTACCAACTCATATTCCAAGGTAAACCCGACAAGCCAGGTCACCACCAATATGAGCGACAGCAGTGCCGTTGGCACGTCCGCGGACGACGCCAGCCACGACAAGAAAGAAGAAATCCTAGTGGCCCAAGACGACGCAAGCAACGGCAACGACGTCAGCCAGGACATCGACCCTAAGAACGAAGTTACCGGCGTCAAGCTCCTACTAATCCACATTTCTCTTTGCCTGTGCACTTTCCTAGTCGGCCTGGTAAGCATGCTGTATGATTCCCGAGCTACCATCTTCCCATACCTACCAGCAAAGCAGCAATTCTGACAAAACCCAAACGTAGGACTTCAACCTAATCGCCACGGCGGTCCCGGTAATCACAGCCCAGTTCGACTCGATCCGCGATGTAGGATGGTACGGCGCGTCCTTTATGGTAGCACTGTGAGTTCCCCCTTTATACCTAGGTAGCTACCTATCTACCTACCTATCCCTAGATATATCTATATCTTCCACGAAACGCTAACACCACATCTTCCACGCACCCAGGTGCGCGAGCCAGCCGCTCGCCGGCAAGACATATACCCTCTTCTCGAAGAAACACACGTTTCTTCTGTACCTATTCGTGTTTGAGCTCGGCAGCCTCGTATGCGCGCTAGCGCCTACCTCGAACTCTCTGATCGTAGGACGTGCCGTCGCCGGGCTGGGCGCGTCGGGGATATTCGCGGGCGGCTTGACGATCCTCACCACGATAGTACCGCTGCGCAAGCGGCCGATTTGGACGGGGACTTGGAGCTCGGTCTTTGCTATCGCGAGTATCGTGGGCCCGGTTATTGGCGGTGCTTTGACGCAGCATGTCACTTGGCGGTGGTGCTTTTATATCAACGTATGTGTTTGTTTTATATGTCCCATACCCACCAACTCTCTATATTGCATACCTACCTAGGTTAGGTACTTTAATAAAATGGCATGTGCAGTTACCTATAGGTGGCGCCGGCGCCGTGATATTCTTTTTCCTAGTCCATCTCGAGCCTGCTCCGACGGAAAATACTCCGCTTCGCAATAAATTAGCAGGGCTTGATCTGGCCGGTTTCGTACTACTCGGAGGCGCAATCGTGATGCTTCTGCTTGCGCTTCAATGGGGCGGAGTCACATACGCTTGGTCTTCGTCTATCGTTATTGGGCTGTTCGTCGGTGCTGGTGTGGTCTTGATGCTCTTCATCCGTTGGCAGATCTACCAGAAGGACAAGGCCTTGATACCGCCGAGATTATTCTCCATTAACCGGAACCCCGGACTCATATGTGCAGCATCGTTCTTCATCAATGGGCCCTTCCAGCTCATCATTTATTGGTTACCTATTTGGTTCCAGGCCGTACTAGGAACATCGCCAACACAGAGTGGTGTTAATTATTTCCCTACGGTTATCGCCGACGTCCTCGCCGCATTCATTGGTTCGGGCATCGTCATGCAGTTGGGATTGTGGAACCCCTTTCTCTTGTTTGGAGAAGCTATGGTATGTCTCGGCGGCGGCTTGCTTAGCACACTATACCCTGAGATCTCGAGCGGGCACTGGATCGGGTATCAAATCTTCGGCGGCATTGGTTACTCTCTCGCATCTAGTATTGTAAGTCATACCAGAAAGATACGAGTGAAGTTGGATCTTTGCTGACTCGAAATGCTCTTGTCTAGTCTCATCTTGGAATGCAAGCCTCGCTTCCACAAGACCTCGTGCCCGTCGGAGCGTCTACTCTATTGTCAATTATTTCAACCAGCTGCGCTATATTTAACGCAGTTGGTGAAACTGTGTTTCAACAACGGCTAGAGATAAATCTTCGTTGTGTCGTGCCGTCAGATGTTATTAAAAGGATTATATCTGTTGGTGCAACTGATATCGCTTCAGTCGTGAATCCGGACCAGTTACAGCCTGTAGTTCGTCAATACAGCAAGTCAATTACTCAGATATTCGTAAGTTTTCTAGGTTAGGTGTTTAAACTACAGTCAATATTCTTAAAATGATACCCGGCTGACAATTGGGACCACGAACAGTACATTCCGGCCGGCGCGCCTGTCATATCCTTCATTTTAGTTGCAGGGTGTAAGTGGATCTCGACAAAGAATAAACAAAGTCCGGCTCAAGTCACCGAAAGGAAGGACGCAGTTTAGTTAGCACATTCTCTTCTATTTTATAACTTACTTACCTTAGGTGCTTTCTATGCTATTCGTATAACTTCACACAGCTAGAAGCTAGAAGCTTGAAGACAAAGTTCGTGCCTGTAGTAATACCACGTTCACGATTGGAGCTACTTAGAAGCGAGGGGAAATGAACGTAATTGATTTTCTCTTAGCACTGCCTATCCGATAAAACTCGACCTGATAAAAGCACACGCTCATAGCTTCATAACCCTGAATAAACATCTCGACGGACTAGTTATAGGTAGGAACAGACTCGATTTGTATGATGCAGATATATCGAGTAGAGGATTGTTTGCACCTTGCGTCCTGCTTAGTATCTATCCTTCAGATAGTTGCCGCGGATCTAGAGGTACACTCTAGCATTAGCATTACCCGCCCTCCTAAGTGGCAGGGGGTCTGTTCTTGGTTCTTTGTAAGAGTTGTGTCTAGCTGATGGTTCGTTGTTAAAACGATTAATCAACTCTTGCCGTCTCGAGACTTCTTGCCGATGGATTAGATAAGTTATTTACTTGCTTCACCGGCGGTGGTTGATATTTGCTCTTCTTACGTAGTCGCTTACGCGCAACCATGACCGGGACTGAGCTCTTGGTTACTAGGTAATTTGAGAAAGACCCAAGGAGCGTCCTAAGATACCACATTAGTCCTTATCTATATATTTGTAGACGCGCATGTTTGAACTTACCCTTTCAAAGCACTCCTGCCGCGGCTTCCCAGAATTACCAACGTCGGATTCAAAATATCGATCACCTCTGTGATCAGGTGCTTGGGATTCTTGCAATGAATCACTTCTACGATCACCCGTACCTGTAGCTGCGTCTTTCGGAGCAGTTTTGAGACCCGCTCGGTAATGTCATGAACGGCTCGGTCCCTCTCTTCTTGTAATCTGCTTTTCCCGCGAGAACTAGGCGCCGGGGAGGGGTTATTGCTACCATTGCCGTCGATAGCTCGGACACGCGGTGACATCGAAGATCCTTGTATCTTAAACGGGCCAGGACTAGAGGTACGGTACGAGGGTCTGGACATGCCCTTGGAAATTGCGCTAATGGCCATCGCTTGCTCCTTCATCGCCTTGGGCTCATCTGCTACCATGTTGCTAGCATCAACCGATCCGCTGGTCTCCTCATCCATGCAATACATAGCTATTAGTGTATCACCATCGCGAAGCACGGTTCCAACGGCCCATTCTAACGCGTGGGTAGACTCATCACTAAGATCTGTCGCCACTAGGTATTTACGCAAACGCCGGTGGTCATCCTCTGCCTCTCGCTGTATTCTGGTAAATTCGCCACGGTAGAGAATTCGGATGGAGCGGTGAACTTCAGGGGTTGAGAGAATCGGGGTAGAGGATAGTTGTAGCCCCTGTGCAGCTTTGATAGCATCGACGTCGGCATCTAGATCTGGATCGTAGGGTGTTTGGGTGCCAGACAGAGGTTCCTGATCAAAACTAGTGGACGGTTGAACCACTGGCTTTCCACCCTTACCCAGCCTCCCCTTTTCTCCTCCGGGACTTGTAATCGTAATTTCGGGCTCATCGAAGAGTGATCTGTATTGAGGCTGAGTAGCATTGACATGTTTTCCTAATGATGCTGTTAGCCATTTTGAAGCCTCCGGCAACATATCGTTGGTTCATGGACTCACGCTCATCTTCAATAGCAGCGAGTAGACTCTTAGCTGTGTTCCCATCTTCAGAGTCATGCGACTCGGCGCGCGGAGTGAGTTTTCTACCCCTTTGCATCTCTTCGTCGGACGAGTTCCCAACGTCGTCATCACTTTCATCTGGGAGCAGTTCTCCGTAAGGACTCAGATTATCCTTTTCTAGCCGACCGTGCCCTTCGCTTTCTTGCCTCTTACGTGCTAAGGATGCTAAATTAGAGCCACCATAGAGTAAGTTGGCATCCGACAATTTCCTATAAGCATTATTCATATCCAATACCTGACCATTTGTCATCATAATGTCTTGTGTCTGATTACGCCCAGAAGGGTTCCCAAATGGTGAATTTGAGCGCAGATTAAACCGGTTGTTAGGTGACTTCGACTTGTCGGTTTTCCTTGAAAAGCGCCCGTGTTCCCCAGGAAGCACTAGGTTGGATAAGTCAGGTCCGCGAAGCGCTTCACCTATGGAGCTTGACCGCATGGCATTTTGACCACGTCTGATCGGCATAGCTTGCCCAACATTGGTTGGCAATATATCATGAAACTTATATGCAGATGTTGGGTCATAGTTCCTTGGACTCGGTAGAGGTGGCGATCGTGGCCCAAGGTCTACAACGGGGGTTGAGGCCGCATCCGACATACTTCTACCACGAATCGAATTATCCGAAGCCGGGGCCTTGTAAGAGAGAGTCGGTGACACAGGCGTGCTTGCCGGGACATGAGAAGACGGTCTGCCAACATCTAGCATGCTTCTCGTCTGGATTGGAGGACCGTCGACGTCTAGCATGCTACGAATTGGAGGGCTACGAGTTGCATTTCTAGACACTTCGCCAATGTCTAACATGCTTCGAACAGGCGATCGAGGACTCGTAAATGGTGAAGGAGATCGGTGGCCAACCGACGGAGCTCTTCTAGGTTGTTGCCACGACGACATTAGACTCTCAACCTCCTTCCGTTCCTCCTCGAGCGCTGCCTCGAGGGACATCAACTTCCTATTGTTTGCCATTGTAATATATGTTTGACGTAGTGGCGCTGGTGGCAATGCGAGGAGGTTAGTCCTTGTTTACAAAATACAGATATCGAATCGAGGCGTGTTTAATCGAAGACGTCTGTTAGAAGTGGGTTGCTCGAGAAACGAGCTTTGAGTCACGTCAATAAGCCCAAGCGCGTAATACGACGAATTCTTAGGCTAGTAAAGAGTATAAAAGGTAGTAATCGAGAAACGCCGAATTGATGCTATCGTGGGATAATAAATGGGCGTCTTCGATGGAGACGGAGGAAGATCATTGTGCGCTGAAGATCTTTCTCGTTGTTGCGTTTTTTGACTCGACCTAGACCCGAGCCTTCACCCTCTACGCATGGCTACTAGCCAAAAAGAAGAAGAAATCGGGTTACTAGGTTCAGACAGGAAGCTGGAACTGGGGGATTGGAACCAACTTTGTGAGTGGTGAGTGGTGGTTGGTTGTAAGTGGGTTGACGGAAAGGAACGATGGAGCAAGAAAAAAAAGTTCAAGCTCAAGTTCAGATGATGTGGGGTCTTCTTAGCTAGCTGTATTTATAAAGGTGGTTAGCTGTGGCCTGTGTAGGATATTTGTGGGATGTTCCAACGCAGATACAGCACAGTAGCAGCTCGAACGAAGAAATCAGAACTTGGAACTTGGGACTCGGAACTCGGAACAGAAAGAATAGAAAGGAGGCCTCACTGCCTTGCTTGCCAAGATCTTTAGGGTGAAATATTGATGTGAAAAAGGGAGATATGATGAACCGTGACGAGAGGAGAAGAGGGGTGTTTATGAGGATTTTGGGGGAAAGACCTATCCTGCTTATGTATGTAAGGTAGGTACCTAAAGGATAGGTACATACCACCTAGGGGTTAAGCTTGCCTTGTCGTGCCCAGTCTTCAGGTGGAACCCGGACTAGGTATTTTTTCCTTGGGCTACTTCCCTTTGTTACTTCAATTAGGTAATAATTCAACCTCTATACGTAATAATAGTAATACATACATACATGTAGGTAACCTAACGAATACATAAACGTCCACGCGTATTAGATACGATAAAGTAGACAGCACACGCAAATAAGTAAGATGTAGCACATGCGAAAATGAAAAAAATCGATACTATTACAGTAAACTTTAGGTGCTTTTTAAGTAGGTACTTGATGCATTAAGATGTACCTAATTCGGGTGGTTTAGGGAATTTACAGCTTATCCGGTACAAGTACGCGGGTGCGTTTGTTCGCAAGTGGCTAAATCACTATAGGATATACTTAACCGAGGTACCAGATACTTTATAATTCATGTGGCATTAGATCTTAGTACGTAGATCATCCTATCAGACCACTTCTAGTATCCACTCTGTTGAACCCTGTTGAACCCTAGTCCTGACTTCCTCTCTGCGCGTCAGAGGCTTCCTTAACAGCGGCCAGTACTAATCTTGAATTCCATTGGCTCGTCTCTCTGTGTCGTCCTACATCCGTATAAGCGATATACTATAATGATACACGTATACGCGTATATTAACTTTATAGAAATACCATAAATATTGTTTACAGGCTACATACATCCTTAACTTACCGGACTTTAATATATATGTAGTCGAGCGGAAAGGGGAAATCGGTATACTTCTTCTCTTTGCTTCTTTACCCTTCATAACTCTGACATCTTCCCTCTCACGTCGGACATTTCCGGCTGATCGCCTTAATATGCACCCGCGTAGCCGTAGAGGATTCGGTTGGTAAGTGATTCGTAATTACGTGGTGCATATTGTGCAGCCGGGATTGACTTGACTTGAAGATTATTTGGTGAGTTCCCTGAATGGGTTTAAGGATTGAGAATAAGTAGTTGGGTTAGATTGTAACTTGGATGAAATAAGAAATAACTACCTAAGAAATACGTAAGACGTAAGACTTCGGTATTTCCTTATCCATACGCAAAGAATACTAGAGTGCCATAAATAATAGGAAAAGGGGAAAGAAAGAAATAATTCTCAATTTTCAAAATGATAGATGGCTCAACACCTTCTATAGATGAATAGTCCTGACTTATACGGAATAGAATAACTAATAGCAGCTAGGTTAGGGACTTTTTACCTCAGGTAGTAGTATAACAAGTACTTGCTCGTTCTCTTCCTCTTTCTCTTATTCTCTCTCTCCGTGGCGTGTTACGAACGGTTGGACAAGCAGCGTTGCAGAACACATACGACATACGATAACAATATGTAGCAACGTCTTTAATACCATGTGGCCCTCTACTACCTACTGTTGCATAGCTCATTTCCAGCTTCCGCATCCGCTTGCGGCGCGTGTTCCGGCATCAAAATTTCGTGCAGCATAGCTACGGTTCGTTGGATAACCCCAACTGCATATGTGGTGTGATTAATACATACCTCCTCACACGGCTGTTTGCACAAGTCTGCGGCGTGGCGGCGAAATTCATAAAATTACGTATCGTTAGGCAAGTCAAAAAAAAAAAAAAACTACCGTGCAAGAAATCATTTTTGTTCATTACCAGAAGTTCCTATTTAGAATAACCTCTGCTTCATTCTGAGATGTCCCTTTCGGCAACCTTAGGGGAGGGGGTATTGTATCAGAATCATTGGTGCCGCCTGATTTCCGTTCGGTGCCAGGTCATCAATTACCATGAAGCTGACCGACTGTGACCACAAACGCCTGATGACCGAAACCCTAGCTTCCGGCCAGTGCTCTAAGCGAGGAGCAAATAGTCTATCAATACATGCAAATAGTACCAGAAGAATATCTCTCGAGTCGGACACTAGATGCAGCGGCACCTAGAGGGAGAGGAGATCCGTTCCGACGTAAAAAGACATGATGGTCGTAGAGGGCATGAAGGATGAGATGCGAAAAAGAATGAAGAAAATCAATACCGTGTCGTCCGCGCCAGGACGCTAAACCATCAAAATCATAACTTTTCCGAATCCCGTCGTGAAAAAAGAATCGACGCTCTAAATCATCCGGATATTACGAGGAATCCATACCGGTGGAATAGTACGTCGAAGAAACCTTCGGGGTGTGGACATCTGCATATTTGCTTATGCTTTTTCCTCGGCCTTCTCCTCGTTCTTTCCAGCCTCGCCATCGGTAGAGCTTTGAGCCTTGACATATTCGTCGTAAACAGCCATGGCTTCCTCTACTTTGGCTCGGAGAGCGCCGTCGTCCTCGATCCTGAAAGGTGTTAGAAACGTTGTATACCAAAGGGGGTGGGGTTAACTTACAGATTAACGAGCTCAGCGTTGTCCATCTCCAAAAGCATACCGGTGATTTTGCCTGCTAGATCGGGTTGGATAGCCTGGATCTTAGGGAAAATGAGTTCACCTAGCATCTGCTTCTGCTGTTGGGGGTTGTTAGACTGAGCCTGCAGCTGCGAATGAAGAAGCGAGGTCGGGGTTAAATCCTGCTGCTGCTGTTGCTGCTGCACGTTCGGAGCACCGCCAACTTGTTGGTTAGGAGCACCACGTCCGCCCTGAGGAGGGAACTGGCCGCCCTGACCATTCCGCTGGTTTTGTCCACCACGACCAGCGGGGCCACCCTGTCGAGCGTTCGGGGGGTAGCCAGGAATACCACCTGGTCCGCCCGGAATTCCCATGTTGCCCGGCATGCCTTGCATCGGTCCACGACCGGTCGGTACGCCTCGACCACCTCCAATTGTGGCCTGCTGGACTTGTGCCATTGCGGCTATGAATTGAGGAGTGCCAGGTTGGGCGTACGGAGCGCCAGGCGGGAATTGGCCGGGAATGTACATGTTTGGAGGCAGTTGTGGGATGGGTCCGCCACGTCCACCTTGGGGACCTCCATAGGCATTAGGATTGAACTGGCCGGGACGGCCTCCTTGAGCGCCGGGCATACCCATCCCGGGGAAAGGCAGGCCACGACCGCCCTGGGGAGGGAAACCTGGTTGCTGACCTGGGGGGTAGTAGACGGGGGGTTGCATGTACTGTTGGGGCATGCCAGCCGCCGCCGCAGCCTGCTGCATCCGGAGCTGGTTGCGAGCTTGGATACTAGCCTCAAGCTGGCTCTTCCGAACGTCCTTTCGCTGAGCTAGTGCTACGTATAGAGGCTTGTTGTTGATCATGCGCTGGTTCATATCACCCACGGCCTTCGTGGCGTCGTCAGGGTTAGCAAAGCACACAAATCCAAAACCCTTGCTCTTGCCAAGTCTCCTGTCCGACTTCTTCTCTTTCTTTTCACCTTCCTCCTTGGCCTCATCGACTTCCTCCTTTTGGTTCTCCTTATCCTTGCCTTCCTTGTCGTCATCAGAGTCGGTGGCGGTGTCACGCATGACCTTTGCGGAGGTAATGGGGCCGAACTCCGAGAACATCTGGCGCAACTTGTCGTCGTCGATATCATCATCAAGATTCTTGATGTAAAGGTTCACGCCTTGGTACTTGCTGGCCTTCTCCTGACGAGCAGCCTCGTAGGATTTGCGTAGCTCCTCCTCGCGCTCGTGCTTCTTCTGAGCACGGCCGACATACAAATCCTGACCGTGGAAATCGTTGCCGTTCAGGTCATCGACTGCCTTGGCTGCGCTTTCGTGAGTAGTGAAATTAACGAAGCCAAAGCCGCGAGACTTTCCTTCATTGTCACGGGCCAACGAGGACGAAGTGACGTCCCCGAACCTCTCAAAGAGCTCTCGAAATTCATCATCGGTAACGTCAGTTTGAATGTTCTTGACGTAAACATTAGTGAAGTTCGCCTTCATCTCCTCGAACTTGCTCTGACGATCCTTCTTGGGGATGTGATGGCCGACGTAAACCTTCTTCTCGTTAAGCAGCATTCCATTAACGTGCTTGATAGCTTGAGCTGCAGCCTCGTCTGTCTCGTAATGGACAAATCCGTATCCCTTCGAGTTGCCATTCTCGTCCTGGGCAACTTTGCAGCTTAGAATGTTACCAAAAGCAGCAAAGGTGTCGTGAAGGGCCTTGTTGTCGATAGCAGCGTCGAGGTTCTTGATAAAGATGTTACCCTGTCCACTCTTGCGCAAGTTGGGGT